AATTATAACTTTGAAGTATTATTAACTTTTATACCTTCCTTCCTTGGAGCTATCTGATGTCTTTGTGGGTCCCCAAAATGAGTCAATCATTGCTGAGATAATGATTAACCTCATACTTAAGATCAGAACTCGATTTTTGATATAGGTAATGTGATCCTTGTGGTTAATGAATAGGTATTGTCAATCTAGTTCTACCGTTTGTGGCAGCCAGTGTAGGGTGACTTTTCTGCGGGGTGATTTTTCCAGGCTGGGCCTTTCTGTTGACTACGCTGGCTGTAGGTTGCTTCCGTTAAAAAGGCTGCATATATTAGGCATGGGACTCTATTCAGAGTTGTAATACATGGTGTTTCTAAGCACAGCACTGAGTAACCAAAGCCATGGCTATATATTTGCTGCGTCATTTCACCCATATGCCTACGATAAGTGATATTGACCCACACAATGGAAGGTACGCTACAGGAAAATTCTGGCTTTGTACACAAGCAGTAGAAGACCTCTATCATTATGTACTATATTGCCCTCTGTATCCTGAACGGAGAACTAAGTATATTCTGGAATTAATGTGTGAGATGCCTAATTTGGACGACTGAGTGAAAATCGCATAGTTATTGTCTGGCACGGAGAAGTTTGTGACTGACAACATTGCAAGATTTGCAGTTGCAGCCCAGAAACAGAAGAATGTTCATTAAAGATATTATGGTGGACTGTAAAGTTTGATCGGCAATGTAATACAGAAACTGATTCGTGTTGGTCTATATTTTAAGATATATCTGCATACATTGGTTAACTCTGCTTTTTAACCGTGTATTTCTGCACATTCTATATAGTGTGTATAGGATGTACAATTCTTTCTGCTGGTGCTTGAAATGACCATGATGGTCATAACAACAAAAATTGAATTTGACCAAGAAAATGGATATAACAGTACAGCAAATTGTAGTTTATCATTATGCGAATAAGCCTCATGTTCACACCTTGCCCTTCTCTCTTCCACTCCAGCACAGATAAAACGAGGAAACTTTAACCATCTGTTTCCTAACTGCAGTTTATTATAATGCCCAAAAAGGACAGACTGTTTTTAGCTTAAACTATGGTTTATTAACACACGCTGGGATCAAAGAATGGTTTGTTGTAGTTTAAGTTAACCAGAGTTCCCAATTTGGGTGTAACAAGAAACTGTGGTTAGCTTAAATCAGGAAGCAAAAATGTTACATCCCAACTGAGCCATTTACACATTAATAGAACCCAACTGAGCCATTTACACATTAATAGAACTTTCTAAATGCAATGTAAATAAGCATATTTTCCTAAGTGGTTTGATTTTTCAGAATTATTTTGGATAACTTTGAAAATTAAGTCAGAGGTTTCTGAAGTAATTATGGAATGATCATATTTCCCATTTTTATTTTTATACAGCTCAATGGTTATTCGAGATTTAACCTTGCGCAGTGCTGCTAGCTTTGGTTCTTTTCATCTGATCCGTCTATTGTATGACGAATACATGTTTTACTTAGTTGAACATCGTGTTGCTCAAGCCACAGGAGAGACACCTATTGCGGTTATGGGAGAAGTAAGTCCACAGCCAGAACACTTTTCCAGCTGATAAAATTGAATTAGAAATAATTTTCTCTAAAGTGTATTCAGTTAAGAAATAAATGTGTCTTGTGGGGAGTACATGGGATAATTGTTGGACTGAAATCTCTTTATGTAAGATTTGGGTGTGACAGATGTAAATTCCAATTTTCAGTTGTAGTATCTAATACTTTAGTTCCTGAAACCATGCTGAATTGCTCATTCTAGTTTGTCAGAATGTATCTGTTCATGCTGAGTTTTTCCCTAAGTACCAAACCTCAAAATTTGCTCTTTGAGTCTATAATTTTCCAATATCCAAAATTCATATTTGAGACCTCTGGGTATAGGGTGGTATATAAATTCAAATAATAATAATAATACAATTTGTGCTGTCACCCTGGCATGGCACATCAGTGAATGAAGTTAGATCATTCACATCCTTCCTTTGCTTCTTCCCAGAGTAAAGAAAGTTCTTGTTTTCCTCTCAAAATTGGTCTTTCTTATCTTCCTAATAGTGATCTTCTTAGTTAACTCCTAATCACCCTCAGAGATTTTGTATCAAAATTGTGCATGACGAGAACTTGAGAAAAAGTGCTGCCTGCCTTTTTAATTGAAAGTAATAATAAGCCTTAAAATAGAATGCCTGCATCCTATTTGCTTACTGTGGCTTTTCTCGACATATCAAAGCTTATCCAAGGAACTTCTTGCTTGTCTTGTATACCACACAATAATTATTTCTATTTCTTGGGCTAAAATCCGCAAGAGTGTCTTGTGAGGAAAGGTGCCAAGTAGGCAAAGAGTGTGCCTTGCCTCCATTCACCAAGTGTCACAACCATTGTTGGTGCCTTTTCTGTTGTCAAATGCTTCCTTTTGAATGCTGTCATCCACTTTCTCATTCTTTCCTCCCGCTTGGTCTCAAATACTTTTTATAAGTCAGAGTCAGATTAAAAGACTTTGTGCTTTGTGTTAGTATAAACATTTCCTTACCATCCCTGACATCTTCGAACCTTGGAGAAGCCCAGAGGACTGAGGGATGAAGCCCCAAAATCTGAACGTAGGGGTCAATCACTGCTTGTGTTGTTCCTGTGGAGCCAGGGGGACGACTAGATGGGTCAAAGGATTTGACTGCAAGAGAAAATGTTCAGATAATGCAGTGTGTGTGTGTGTGTGTGTGTGTGTGTGTGTGATCCGAGGCCCTTCTTCATGTGCCCTCTCCACAAGAAGTTCAGAGGATCGGAGCCCGAGAAGGGGTCTTTTCCGCAGTGGCTCCTCATTTGTGGAATGTTCTGCCTGGCAACGTTAGCCTGATGCCTTCAGTAGAGATCTTTAGGCGCCAGGCAGAAACATTCCTCTTATCCTCTTAAACAATCTATGGCCTTTTAAATTTGCCTGTGGGACATTGGTTTTTTTGTTGTTACTGCATTATGTATTGTTTTGTTTTTATATTGTAAACTGCGCTGTAATGCTCGGGTGAAGGGCAGTATAGGAATTTTAACAATAATATTTATCTATCTATTTGTTATGCTTTCCTCCTCTGCAGTTTGGTGATTTAAATGCTGTTTCTCCTGGAAATATGGACAAAGGTCAGTGGGAAGTTTGTTCTAGATCTTGGGTTGCATCCAGAGAATTGCAAGTAGAATTTGGCTTGCGCAGTGGTGCTTTCTTAATCTCACCTCCCTGCTACAGCTCTCTTTCCTCTCCAAAAATCCATTTGGAGGATCAGAGAACCCTCTGGAAATCAACAGGATTGCGGGGGGTGGGGGTGGGACATCTTGCATGAACAGAAATGCATTTCTCCATTGGAGACTAGAACCCCACCAAGCGGGATATCGTTATTCTTGCCTTGTTTGAAAGGCAGAAATAGCAAACTGGTAGTGTTCTAGCATCCCCTTAGAAACACCTCTCAGGGGAGTACCAGCAGTACCTTCTGATCATACAAAGCACCACTGGATCCAGGAACAGGTGAAGTTGTGAAACGTCTGTACCGTGTAATATTTAAAACTGCTCCAGAATAATGGACAAATCAGGCTTAATGAAACCAGTATGACACAATGCTGAACCCTGTTTAAACCAGTTTAAACCCTGGTCAGAAGTTATGAGAATGAGAGATCGGTATACACTGAGATAATATAGTTCTGAAACCGGAAGTATAATAGGCATGTAGATTATAGGAAATCTTGATTACCATGAAACACGGACAGAAACCGCAGTAGGATGACTGAAAGTAGAATAACAGAATCATAGAATTGTCGAGTTGGGAGGGGCCTGGAGAGTCACCTAGTCCAACCCCCTGCAATGCAGGAATAATTCAACCTGCACCTGCAAATTTAGGAAATAATGAATTATTTGACTAACTGGGTACCCAGATGCACCTGCAAGTTTGCCTCGTTATTCTTTGCCGGGGTCCCAAACTGGGAACAGTTGATACTTAGGGAAATGGTCGGGTTGCTAAACAATTCCATCTCCCAATCATCTGGCTCTTTCAGATTGCAGGATTCATGGTGGTTTTATTTGTGCAGATGAAGGTAGTGAAGTGGAAAGTGAAATGGACGAAGAGCTGGATGACTCCGGAGAGCCGCAAGCCAAGAGAGAGAAGAGTGACCTGAGCCAGGCCTTCCAGGTGGGCTGCCTGCAACCCGTCCTGGAGAGCGGAGTTCAGCAGAGCCTGCTGAGCCCCCTGCACAACGAGCACATTGTGACAGCCACGCAAACGATCAGACAATGCAGTGCCACTGGAAACACGTATACTGCAGTCTAACAGATATTAAAGCTCTTTTTTTTCTCCAGATTATATTAGCCCTGTTGATGTTGGGCTTATCATGGGGGAGGGGAGGGATGCAAAAAAAGAAGTCTGAAGGTCGACTGTTGTCAAATTTTATCTGTGCTTGAACATTACTTTTACTGGAGTTGTGAAATGAAATGAGTGTATGTATTTCTCCAGGTCTCTTTTGGGAAAAGAAAAAAAAAATTGGTAAATACAATCATTTTACACTGGCCGCTTAATATAAAGAGTTTTCTTAGTTTCAAGAGTCAAGAAGCGTTTTTGAGAAGCTTAATGTTAATGTTTTTGTCCTCTTTATAATTAAAAGTAATTTAATTTTTCATAGTTTTTACAAAATATTTTAATGTTAACTGTTAGTCATGGTGATTTCGTATAAATAGGGTTTTAATTAATTGCACTCTGAAATATCAAGAATTTTCCTCTTTGATTTACACTGGAGGCCTGCTCATTTGATAGCAGCTGCATTAAACTTGTTATAGGAAAGGCAGCTTTCATTGGACAGAACTGGAAGATGCTATTTTGATACATTTCAGAGTGTTCAGGGGTTATATTGGAAATTTTATTATGACGCTAGAGAACATAGACTGTCGTCTTTCTCAGAGGAAGAGCGATTCTCACGGTTGCTGGATAAATGAGAGCTCTGATCACATGTGGTAATAATGTGTACTTAATTCATGTACACAGGACACCATTACAGACAATGCAAGCTTCCTTTTCAAAAAAGAATCAGTTATTTGCGTACCAACTCCTCTCTTTTAAGACTACTGATTTCAGGTGCCGTCTGCCCAAGCGGCCGACTCTGTGCAACCTCCGCTGGCTTCAGTTGAGCTTGCACCAGATTTGGAGCCTGTCCTGGGAGGATGATGCGCCTCGTATACACAGGGGACCACCACCCAGATGCTTTCTGCTCTTCAGTGGGACTGTTGATGCTAGAGACTGAAGCTAGAAAAAGAAAAGAAAAGCATCTCGATTATTATTTTTTAAGTGTACGTACTACTTATGCTGAACTGGACATGCAGGAAACCATTCCTTTCAGATGACTTTTTTTATTCCATGTCCTTTTCCCCGTGATAGTTGAATCTGCTGCTCTTGTTAAAGATAGTTTATAGGATGCAAGGAATGTAGCAACCTGCATTGTAACTTTGCTCAAAATAATTCCTGGTTCTTAAGTGGATTTCATTTTATACAAAAATGTTTAAAAGGCAGTGAAACTGGCACATGTCACTTGTACTTATTTCCCAATTGCGTAGAATTTGAATAGGTGGCTAGACGGACCATTGCCATTTAAGAATGTACATCAGGGATCATTGTACCTCGGCTATTACATGGTGCCTTAAACAGAACTGAAGCTAAGATTTTCTTGTTAATAACTCTTGCATTGATTCAGCAAAGTGTGCCTGTCTTCTTTCTTTCTCCCCTCCTCCCCCAAGTCCCCAAACAATAGAAGGGCAGGTTACATAGTTTTCAAAAATCAAGATTTTCTTTATTTATTTATTAGATACAATATCCCGCTTAGAGTGACGGCATATTTCTTCTTTATAGCTGAATTTCACTTTATTACTAATCAGATTTTCTTGGTGGGGAGGGGAGTGTATGAAAAACAAAACTAGCTTTAACAATGTCAAAGGTCAACAAAATAGGTTAGCCAATTTCCAAACAAGAATTTATATATATTTCTAAACCCTTATCTACTTTTAATTTTTAAAAAGTAAAGTAAGCAAAACTTTTTAAAGCAGCATATAGTTACAATTTGTGCACATGTGGGGGGTCAGTCTGCTGTTTCATTTACTGGTTAAATCATACTATATGTGGGGGTTTTTTGTTTTGCTTTTGTCTAATGACCTGTTACAAGTATAATGGATTAAACATGTCATTGGTTGAAAATATACCTGAATTTCCTTAGTTTGATCAAAACAAACCAAAAATGAAGGAAAGCACAAAGAAAATTCACAGACTCTATAGCGCGAGGCCCATGTCAAATATTCAGAGCCTTGTTTGTCATTTGTCTGAAAGACGATATTTAAGGTTAGAGTCACCATATGCTTGAACAGCAAGGAGAAATTGTTGGTATATTTATAGCACACAAGTTTGATCCTAGGTTTTTCATGTTTCAAGAATTTCTAAAGATTTACTAATTTTTTAATTTAAACATTTATACTTCTAAACCAAGCTTTATGAATTTTCTTAAAGTTGCAGAATTGGAGGCCCACTGGCAGAGCGGCCAGGCAAGATCTTGTGCCTGGTCATTCCTGCCACATTGTTTAACTTATGCTGATATGATTCCATGATCATTCTGTTTCCTCTGTTATTTAAATGTGTCCCCATCCCCCCGCTCAAAATCCATCACGTCTGTACCCCTCACCATTTTTTAAAGAAATCTAAGCTGTGATACTTACTCCCTCTCATTGTGCATTATGAAATGTTTACACTTAAATACAGTGAAATTAAATGTAAAAACAAAGAAACACTTTTCAGCATAGTTTTTTAAGGCTCTAGTAAGGAGATTAGATTTATTTACTGATAATAATCCTTTGAGATGGCAAACTTGTATGTTTTCTAATCATTGTCCTTTTCATTATTGTTGAATTTTGTTCATGCAGCGAAATGACAAAGATGCAAATTTAGTTTTCTGAGAGAGACAGGCCTTGTAAATCCTCTGTAAGTCAACTCTTTTCGCCTTCCCACCTTAGTTGATCACTGTATTCAAGGTGCCAAAAAGATCAATATATAATTTTATCTTATGTCAAGTTTTCTGATTAAAAGGTGACATTCTAGTCTGTAATGGAACCAGGTAAATAAGATGGATCTCTGCAGCCACATATTGCCCCAGATTCATCCAAAAATGCTCCGATAAGTTAATATTTTAAAAAAATGGAATACTAGTTTTGATCAATCCAAATGTGCGTATTTTTATCACTTAATTTAGTGGCAGTTGATCATTTCTGCTTTTCTATTTATTGGTCTCACAAATCGGGTGAGTCCTCTGCCCTGCATTGTCCCCACAGACCCTTCCGCGTAATCACGAAGCCACATCAAGGGAGCTTTCTGACACTCCACTCTTTGTGCCTATATCCTTTCAGCATTCCTTGCAAAATGTGGCTGGGATTCCCAGACTCCCCTGCATGTGCCCAAGTGCATCTATGCCCCTAACCCAGAGGGCTCCCCCAACTCCCTCTTCCCACCCTAGATCCTTTGGACCTTAGATTCTTTTGCCCCAGAATCCCCCCAACTTGCTTTGGGGAGGAAACCTCAGACCCATAGAGGGCTTTGAATCTTGGAGATGAATTTAAACAAAATAATCACAATTTAACCATCATTCACAACACAAATATTAATATTATGTCTTAGCACTGACATTACCAGTACTTTTTTTCTGGGGGGACGCAGGCGTACGCATACCCCTCAATATTTTGTGAATCTAACTTTGGCCTCATTGAGGGGCACTATTTCAATATGAATAGGAAAATGAGAGTACCCCTAAACATTTTTTTTTTAGAAAAAAAGAACTGGACATTACTAACTCTTGATGGCATTGCAGGAGAATAGACTCATAGGATTTGTGTGGCTCCTGTCTTTAAAAGTTGGTTTAAGGAATAATAAGTTTTAAAAATAGGACTTTTTGGCTCTTGTAGAAGTAATGCAGTGATCAATGTAGATGCTACTCTGGAAACTTCCTACTCAGAGGCCAGGCCCAGTTTTCATAAGCTCTTCAGGAATGCAAAATAGTTGGTGCTGTCACTTTAAACTTACAAATGTTTGTACTGTCTTGTCGAAATTATTTGCTTTGTGCTTATTTTTGTATTACAACTTGGAATTACGACACTACTTTAGAAATGGATCACCTTTTAAAAAGTTACCAATGTGCAATGTTACCACATTTGGTTCACCGTGCGTGGTGATAATTTAAACAGGACTTGTACTAATGGTACCGTCATTCAGGAATGTACAGATCTACATACAATTTCTTTAATTTAAAACGAGGTATTTTTAAGCATCAGAAACACTTCTCTCAAATTATTTTCAGTAAAACATTAAATAACTGCATAGTTTTCTCAAGACAAATCAGCAAGGAAATACATAAGTTTGACTTTTAATTGCAACCTTGTTTCAATAATGGAATAATTTTATATAAGGAATACCTATAGGAATTTTTTTTTAACTTTCATATAACACTAATTTCGGAATATGTAACACTGATTGGTGAAAGTAGTATCCCTACGTGAAAATTGGGTCCTTATTCCTGCATTACAGGTCAGTCTCTTTTATCTATATGGTTAAAATGAGTTAAGAGGAAGGGGAATGTTAGTACTGTTGCAAGGTTGTTTGGTGACTGAAGAAAACTGGAATAGAAGCATAAATGCAGTGCTTAGTTCTAGTGATAGGAAATTATTTTGATGGTAACGCCTTGCATTAACCCTTTGAGCATTGTAAGCTAATGTGATTGGTACAAATATTTCAGAGACCACTGGCAAGAGGAGGAGTGCCGTGGCCCCAGCCCTAACCACTATCTGAGATAATGAACACCATGTGCACAGTTTTGCAGGGGAACAGGTCCCAAGAACTCTAAGAAAATCTAAGGAGTTGTGCCCTACTTCAGAGAACTCTGAATGCTCCCCAAATCCTACTGAAGCAATTACCTTTTGGGGGGGTGGATATTTTTATTTTAAATTTTGTCATGCATAGGGTTGAATCTAGCCATAGTCATTCTTCAAGTCAGCCCAGGGAAGTTTGTGGGACTTGATTTCAATAGGTCTGCTTAAAGTATGACTAAGTTAGGATCCAACCCTGGTTTGCACTTAAATAGGTGTGTCATAGGAACATTGGAAGTTGCCTTATACAAAGTCAGACCAGGGGTACACCGAGCTCAGAATTGTCTGTCCCAGGGTTCTTCAACCTTGGTCTGTTGCTGGACCACAACTCTCATCATCCTCAGCCAGCTTTGCCTGCGGTCAGGGATGATGGGAGTTGTAGTCTAACAACATCTGGGGACCTGAAGTTGATGAACACTGGTCTACCCAGCAGCTCTCCAGGGTTTGGGGCAGGGAACATTCCCAGCCCTGCCTGGATATGTCAGGGATTGAAACAGACAACTTCTGCATGCAAAGCACATGCCCTGCCACTGAGTTATGGCCCTTCCCTATTAGACATTTTAAGCATCAAAGATCTGGATGCATTGTAAATGTTCTTCACAATTTCAATGCTTGAATTTGAGGAGGACATCTCTGCTGAATACATTTAGAATACTGCCTGCAGCAAACTAGCATTTATGCTATTTACTGCCTACAGCAAACTAATATTGCTACTAGTTTAGGGGGAAATTATTTGATCCAAGAAACATGAATTGAAAAGTACCTATATGGTCTTAAAATTAGATACTTAACAAGAAAATAACTTTATTTGAGAATACAGTGGTTCCTCGGGTTACAGACGCTTCAGGTTGCAGACTCCACTAACCCAGAAATAGTGCTTCAGGTTAAGAACTTTGCTTCAGGATGAGAACAGAAATCATGCTCTGGCGGTGTGGCGGCATCAGGAGGCCCCATTAGCTAAAGTGGTGCTTCAGGTTAAGAACAGTTTCAGGTTAAGAACAGACCTCCAGAACAAATTAAGTTCTTAACCCGAGGTACCACTGTAGTGGGGAAATCTTGCTAGGCTAGTATATGAGCATGTGTAAATAGGAAATGTATCTCAGAGACCTGAATTTTATAAGACATTTGCGGTTCAGTTACACATGCCCCCATCCTATAAACCAGGGGGGCTGGCCCATGACCCTCCAGATGTTGGGACCCAAGTCCTATCAGCCCCAGCCATTAGGGGAGTCATTGTCCATCGAAATATGGAGGGCCACAGTTGAGACGGCTGTGCTGTAGACGGTCTCCCCCAGGGTATTGCTGTGACTACAGTCCAAGGAGCCTCTACAGGTGTTCCTGGGAGAGAACTGGGTGGAATTACAGGTATCTTTGGATTTTGTTTTGCAACCACTGTTCAGCTGAAGGCAGGCTGCATTTTGAGAGTGGAAATGGCTTTCCTCTCCCACATGGTGAGCTCTTGTGGTGCTCAGAGAAGCCTTTGGCTGCGCACACAGTTTTCCCGCTAGGCATGTAGTTTTGTTGAGCTGAAGCCTTGATTCTCCCCATTCCCAAGTCGGTTTGTTACTGAATGCAGAGTGGCATATTTCTAAGGAATTCCAAACTTCAGACATTGTGCAGATAAAAATAGGCTGTGGGCGATAGAGCAGTAGATGGTTTTTTTTACGTAGTCGCATTTGCCAAACCAGCCCAGTCTCTAAATCCGGCCTGTGACCCCCCAAGTTATGAATCCTGTTGTAGCTGAGGCTCCACCAACCTCCCCTTGTTGCTGCTGGACTGGCCCTGCCCCAGTCACCAGGGTGCGGAGCGCCCAGCAGCTCCCAGTAGGTGGCTGGTGAGCTGCCTTTCTCTTGGAGAGTCTCCAGGAGCGCTGGCCTGCTCTCGATAGAGTTCTGCAAGATTCTTGTCCATTGGTTCAATGCATCATCACTAATAAAGCAGTTTGCACTGAAGCTGTGGTTATTCTGGAAGGGACTTGGGAGCGCTATGGTTCTCTAACACAAGCCTCTAACCAGCCTTCCCTTATTCTGACAAGCTATTCAAATTAATGTATAATTAAAAATGAATGCAATACTCAAAGGGTTTATGAATTTATTATTCATAATAATTTTACTGTAAATGCTTCTCAGTTTGCATGCCTTGATCATTGCTGCTAGTGATTTTATGTGCCAGTAGAACTGAGTTTACGTTACCAATTTTACTTAATAGTTAAAGCCACTTACAAAGTGACTGCCTGGGGTCTTTTGATTGAAGTAACATGCCTTGATTTCAAAACAATTTGTGGTTGTTTTTTTAAATGATTTTTCTCTCCTCTTTTTTTCGTTCCCGCCCTTCTTTTTCTTTTCATATATATATATATGAAGCCCTGAGTAGTATTTGGTAAGAATGCTCAGTTCAGTTGATTATGTAAAATGAAATACACCAGAATACCCATTGAATGCAAACCATCATCCTACTAAGCCTCATCTCTGTACATTTCACCAAGCACTGATGCTGGGCAGCCTTCCATACAAATCACATAGGAAACGAGTTGAAATTGCCCAGCAGCAATGCCTTGTGGATTGTGCCTTCTGTACCTAGACTTAGCGGAAATCAGGGAGATCTGGTTTAACTGCAGTGAGAATGGGATGGGGCAACAGGTTGCGATAGAGAGGGAAGCAAAACTGTCAAGCAAGACAAGTGTGTGGTCCTTTGCACTTGGTTGTGCGACACTTTTGCAATGACCTTTCGTGGCCAGGTAAGAGACAAATCTTCAGCATGCATGCAAGTACTATATAAATAGGAATTATTTCATTTACTAAATTGAAATTTTAACAAGATACATGGCTTGAGTGGGTTGTCCACATAAGGATATATGTATTATTGCAAAACAGCATAGGAAGAATGGAATCCAGTATAATACTGGTTATAAAGAAGAACCCTATTTAGTACTTCTGTGTTATTTCATTACTACATTCCTATCTCCCTAAGCATCTCACATCAATAAAAGTGAGATTCAGGCCCTGTAATCAGACTTATGAACTAAAAAGACATGACATGCAAGGGAAGCGATCTTTCTGTTCTGCTGTGGCTCTTCTTTGATTGGCTCTGGCCGTCGCAGGGCAGCCAGCGAGGGAAGCCGCCTTCTTCCTGGACCAGTGGAGGGGCCAGGCCGGTCTTCCTCTGGCCCCCAAGTTCCCCCTTGCCCCCCTGGCCAATTTCAGAGATCCTGGAGTTCTGCCTTTGGCTCTGCAGCCTCAGGGCAACTTTCAAAAACAGCCTATTGAAATTCTGATATGGATTTCTTGCACAAGAAGTACAGTCCCAGGTAGTTTAGGGAATTATACCCTTACATTTTAAATCTTAATTACAGTTTCAAAGTAACCAAATAATTTCCAACCTACAGTTATCAAAAACAAAAGTCTAACCAAAGCAGGTTTCTCCTTTTATAACTTAATTTTCCCATTTGAAATTTGACTTTTTTAATAATAGCTAGTGAGGCTGTAAAAAAACAAAACAAACATTTGTGTGCCTTCTTAAAAACTTGGGGAATTTGTGCCTGTTTAATGCGGTTAAATTTAGTTCTTACCATTGCTAACTCTACTATCACTCAGGGCTTTCTTACCTTTGATATAAGTTATTTCATTGTTTTATTTTACAATTTGTTTTTGTTCTTCGTTACGTGCCATCATTTAAATTTCACTTAGTAAGTGGCAGGTCATGCTTTTCAGTCCCACAAGCACAGAAATGCAGGAAACACTCATAGAGCATATTGGATCTTTTTATTTTCAAAATTGACTGAATATATAATGTAAATGAGGTAAGCAACTTTTTGTAGATTGTATGTGTGAGATAATGTAATGTTCTTTTCCAGTTTTTGGATTACAGTTGAATATACTTTTTAATTATTTAAAGAAAACATCTTTACAGAATAACGTGATGGGTTTTGTATAATGTATTTGATTTTGTAAATACGTATTTCCTGATGTGATTTTTGTGAAAATGCTAAATCTTTTAGTATATCATGTCCTCTCAAAATTGGCAGGAGCTAAATAATAGTTTGTGGGCAATTTGTATTGTGTACTGTACAATAACTGGGGAACTTTTATAATTATAAAAATATATATTAACTTTTAGTGTGTTGTTTAAACAAATGACTGGAACATACTAAAGATAGTAGGATTTTTCTGAATATTTCAGACTTGAACTCAGGCTAGCTTTCTTGTGTTTTTCAAAACAAAATTGTGTCTTGTCTTTTAAAATCAATAAATTTGTTTTCTTGTTACAAATATATTTCAAATGTTTCCATTTTTATAGAGGGGTACGGCATCACAATGGTTTATAACAATATAAAAACCTAAAACTAAACTTCGAAATCAAAAAAGTTTAAAACAAGTTAACAAGTTAAAAAAATAATAATAAAGGAAAGTTAAAAGCAAAAATAAATTTAAAACAAACATTAAATAGACCATTGGGGGCGGGTCATGCTAGTTCTGCTTCATCAAAACTTGTTCTTCTGTATGCTTGGTAATTCTACTTTTAACACTAGTTTTCCCAGAATAGGCATTAAACTAGCAGGTATATAATTCCCCAAATTCCTCCTGGATTGCTTTTTAAAATATTGGTATTACATTCATACCAGTCCTCAGGTACAGAGGCTGATCTTGGAGACATGTTTTTGTTAGATCACAAATTTTACATTTGAGTTGTTAAGGGTGGATGACATCCCAGCCCCAGTGATTTGTCTTATCATAGTTTATAGATAAAGCATTCCTCGTGCAATATGAACTTAATTTTGCAAGCAGCCGTCTCAGGCCCACCTGGGTTCTAGATACAAGTACTAGGTCATCAGCATACATTAAAACTGAGAGTTTTTGGTCCATAATTGTAACAGGGGCAAACTATAGGCCCTCCAGTTCTTTAACCATGTCATTAATATAAAAATTGAACAGGAAAGGTGCCAAAATTCATCCCTGTTTGACTCCAGTAGTGGTCTTAATTCTAGTGGTGAGATGGCCAGCCAGATCCACCTTTACTTGTATTGATGTGTCAGTATATAATGTTTTGATGAGAAATAATAGACGGAGGTCTATATTTGTCTTTTCCAATTTTTGCCACAATGCGTGTCTTGGGACCGTATCAAAAGCTGACTTTAGATCGATAAAAGCAACATATAATTTTTGCTTCAAATTATGGATGTATTTACATAGCAGAAAGTTCAGCACAAAGCACTGGTCCAATGTGGATTTCCCCTTTGGAAACCTGCCTGGACTTCAGATATCACCTTATTTGTATCTGCCCATTCTTCTAGTCTCCCAAGAAGGAGCCTGGCATATAGTTTGGAGGCTACATCTAACAAACTAATGGGTCTATAATTGGCAGGGTTTTTCTTATCGCCCTTTTTATGTATTGGGGCAATTATACTCAACTTCCACCCTTCAGGTATATGACCTGAGCTGTTAATGTATGAAAACAATTTTGCAAAAATGGGTGACCAGAAATCAGGTCTTATCTTATAGATCTCCATTGGGATCATGTCTTCTCCTGGAGCTTTATTAGCTAGTTGGCTTGCGATTAGCCTCTTAATCTGATTGGGCGTGACGTCTGGCCATTCTGGCAGTTCTGATAACTGAGTATAGTAAACTTGTGGGGGTAGGTCAGGACAGGGGCGATATATTTCTGTAAAATATGTCACCCAATCCTTTCCTTGGACAGATGCTTCTAACGAGTAGCCCAGCCCATTGGTGCCTTGGGCAACCAGATGCCAAAATTTCCATGAGTCCTTCTGAAGTGCTGCATCTCCCAATTCTTTCCACTGTTGTTCATAATATATTTGTTTCTTGCTTTTAAGTAATAATTTATAGTTGTTTCGTAACTGGGCTACCTCAGCTTGTAGGGCAAGATTGTGCTTATCCTGTTTTAACTTCAATTTTCTAAGTACCCTAGCTAGGCATTTTTTGCTATTCTGACATTCCTTATCAAACCAAGTCTGTCTCTTAAACTTTTTGTTTTTTATCACACTAGCTGTGGTCATCAGTGGGCGCATTCGGTTGATTATGTTCTCATAAAGTCCAATTATGTTTCCTGTTTCTAACAACATTTCCCCCTTTAATAGAGCAAATTCATGGGAATCCAGGATCTGAATCATTTTTTCTTGGACCTGTGCATTCCATTTTAACCTTCTATTTCCAAGTACCAGATATTCTGTTTCATCCAATAATTTAGGAAAGGCAGGAGAAAAGAATAATGTCAGAGATAACTCAAGTGGAAAGTGGTCACTTTCAGCTCTGGGAATTATCCTGAAGGTATCTCGGTCAACTGGCACATTATTAGATGTTAGGATATAATCTATGGTGCTAGTAAATCCTCTGGGGGAGATAAAAGTAAAATAACCCTCTTGATCCCCTTGACCGTGCCCATTGCATAACAAAAGGTTATGCTTTATTATAAGTTCACAAAGATGTTTCCCAGCGCGATTAGGGGTGGTGTCCATTGCTGCCCTCTGACAGATTTCAGGTTCGTCCTCCAAGTTTAGACCAGATAATATTGTATTTTGTGGGGAAACAAGGCCGATCCGGGCATTGAAGTCACCTCCCAAGATAAACCGAGGGTTAGGTGACAGAGAGTCTATACTTTTGAGTAGTTGGTCAAGTTTATCCCAATATGATCTCAGTTCCCCACAAGACTTTACTGGAGGTATATACACGCATATGCAATAAGTATTTCTCAGGAGACTATCAGAAAGGGACAACACTAAAAAATTAGGGGTGGTCAACGAGGGACACTGTTGAATTGATACATTAAGAGAGGTTGACACCAGCACCGCCAGCCCCCCACTAGGCCTTCCATACTTTACAGTTTTAAGAGCTGGCTGAGTGTAACTTGTAAAACCCTGTAATTCAACCATAGTGCCCTCTTTTGCCCAGGTTTCTTGAAGAAAGATGATATCATGTGTTTGTAGATAAGAACAGAAATGCAGTGATTTGTCAGTTTTTAATTTGTCAGGGAGGCCTAGAACTTGACCTAGTATCTCCATTCAATTGTCCTGTGTCTCAGTTCCTCAGATTCCCTTCCCAAGAAAGCGCCACATCTGCTGCTGCAAAGACATATGCAGAGAATTCATGCAGCTTCTCTGCAATCTCCTTTTCCTCATCCAAAGGTCCAACCGCTCCCTCACTAGTGCAAATATTTAGTTTCTAACATTAATTCATGCATCTAATGTTAATCCAATATTCTTTTGTATGTGCTCTGTAGGATTATGTTTTACTTTGCCACTTTTCAGCAGTTTATCTCCGACACTGTAGAAAATTGGGAAAGTGCCATAATATCTTGTTCTGAACTCCTACAAGTAATCTAAATGCTAACTGGATCACAGCAAAATAACAGAGCAATCCTTTTCTTGGGCGTGCAGTGTCAGCGCCTTATTCATTGTTATGAAACATTTGAAAACCGAGTAGCACTATGGAGTTGCGAGGTCTTTTGAAGAAGCAAAACACTTGTTAATAGGAATATCTGACATGTATTCTTGATCCGCATGGATTAAAGCCACAACTGAAAGTTCAGTCACACAGTCTGCACTACTGCCTATTAAATTTAAGCTTTTGGAACTTCTAACTAATAAATTCCTAAGACTATGAAAGATGAATAAATAGGTCTTTTGTAAAATGTTAACAGAAGATGTAGATCTACACAGTCGGGCCATGAATTTTAATAAATGGAAATAACTGCAGCCAGAGTGCTTGGGTTTAACCCAGTTTAGTACCACTGAAGTGAGCAAATATAAACTGACTGGTTGCAATCCTGTACCAGCTTAGTGGACATATATTCATCTGAACTCAGTAGAGCTTCCTTCTGCATAAATGTGAATTGGAATAGGCTTCCTACCCCCAGGACTTTAGCCCAGCAGTTGTTTAGTCCTCAGGCATCCTACTGTGAAGATTAACCGAGCTGTGGAATCAGTCAGTTAGATTTTTAGTTTGTAGCCAATGGCCATTCCAGTGCAAGTCACAAAAACAAGCAACACAATCCAAGAATAAATCAAACCTGTCAATCTTCAGAAATGCATGCTTTCAAAATATGAAATTGTAAAGTTCTTCAAATTATTTTTAATTTTTTTTAAAAAAAATCTGGACATAAGCAAGCCCTAGTCAATGTAGTAGCCCTTAACTTTCTTGCTGCTGGAACATATAAAGATCTCCTACAGGTGATGCATTTGTCCTCATTAGATCATCTGCAGCCATCTAAAAGATTCTGCCCTTATGTGTAAAGGGCAATACCGAATAGACTGCACAATGTCTTCAATCTGTCCTAATCGACATACACAAAGACTGGTCATTTGTTGGCCTATTAAAGAATTTACTGCTCATATTATGTGGGCATCATTTAAAATCTAAGATGACTAAATGCATGCCTAACAGGGGGAAAATAAATGAATTCCCTCAGATTGGCAGCCCTTTTATAGTCAGATTTAATTTTAATATACTGAAATGAGAACTTGGAATTCTTCTTATATGCAAATATGTACTCTGAATCTCCCACAAAGGGCACGTAGGGATTTATTTTGGATTATATTCAGGGGTTCTTTTCAGGCACAACTCAGTTCCAGCAACTCTCAGGTGGGTGCCATTGCCATCATGAGAGAACAAGGGAGGCGTTCATGGTGAGTTCCAGCACCTCTTTTTCTAGAAAAATTTGTTGTTGTTTAGTCGTGTCTGACTCTTCGTGACCCCATGGACCAGAGCATGTCAGGCCCTCCTGTCTTCCACTGCCTCCCGCAGTTTGGTCAAACTCATGCTGGTAGCTTCGAGAACACTGTCCAGCCATCTCGTCCTCTGTTGTCCCCTTCTCCTTGTGCCCTCCATCTTTCCCAACATCAGGGTCTTCCAACATTCCAGGGAGTCTTCTCTTCTCATGAGGTGGCCAAAGTCTTGGAGCCTCAGCTTCAGGATCTGTCCTTCCAGTGAGCACTCAGGGCTGATTTCCTTCAGAATGGATAGGTTTGATCTTCTTGCAGTCCATGGGACTCTCAAGAGTCTCCTCCAGCACCATAATTCAAAAGCATCAGTTCTTCGGCGATCAGCCTTCTTTATGGTCCAGCTCTCACTTCCATACATCACTACTGGGAAAACCATAGCTTTAACTATACGGACCTTTGCTGGCAAGGTGATATCTCCTTTTTAAGATGCTGTCAGGGTTTGTCATTGCTTTTCTCCCAAGAAGCAGGCGTCTTTTAATTTCGTGACTGCTGTCACCGTCTGCAGTGATCATGGAGCCCAAGAAAGTAAAATCTCTCACTGTCTCCATTTCTTCCCCTTCTATTTGCCAGGAGGTGATGGGCCCAGTGCTAGAAAAATAGCACTGATTATATATCCAATTCACCTGTACTAGAGCTACCCCGGATTGCTAACAAGCCAGAGATACTTTTATCCAAAGCTGTCTTCTCAGATGGCAGAAGGCAGCCACTGGCAGAAGAGGAAGGGAGACAGTTTTTGGCAGTTCCCCCTCCCCCTTGCAGCTGCCCATCCCTCCCGAAATCTGCTCCGGGAGAGTTGAGAGACCTTCTGGAGCAGATTGGAGGTGGATGTACAAAGGGCTGCAGTGAGAGGAGGGAAACTGAATTTCTCTCCCTGTTCTGCAGACTGATACAGCGCTAGAAGCCAGCCAGCCCATTTCAAAGCATTTGCTGCACCTTCTGCCTGCATCCCTGGCAGCCGGGTGCCTGGATGGCCCCGTGGCACAGCCCTCCCTCTACTGAGTCAGACCATTGGTCCATGGAGCTCAGTAGTTCCTGCACGGACTGGCAGCGGCATTCCATGGATTCAGACAAGGAGACATCGGCAGCCCTCCTTGGAGAGGCTGGCGAATGAACTGGACTCTCCTGTGTGCAAAGGCTGCGATAGAAACTCCTGCAGCAGCAGCAGCAGCAGAATAGAGCTGTGCTTAGCTGCTGGGGGAAAAGGGTGGCCGTCCTGATTCATGTCATCGTGACACAATGATGTCCTTGAAGAAAATTACAGTTGTGTACTTATCACCATTCAGTTCTTTGTTCTCATGGACAAGTGAGAATAAACTATTGAGCATTTTCAAGCATGGAACTTGGCTCATGGCTGAGATGCTTAGAAATGCTGCTGTGAATTTTAATCTGTTTTGGTATTTTAACTTTTTGTATGCTTTACAGTGTTGTGGATTTTTCCAGATTCTTTTTGTAAACTGCTTGGAGGTGTGCTTTTTTAACCCAGCGGTATTATTATTATTATTATTATTATTATTATTATACCCCGCCCATCTGGCTGGGTTTCCCCAGGCACTCCGGGTGGCTTGTAAAAGGTAAAGGGACCCCTGACCATTAGGTCCAGTCGTGACCGACTCTGGGGTTGCGGCGCTCATCTCACTTTACTGGCCGAGGGAGCCGGCGTACAGCTTCTGGGTCATGTGGCCAGCATGACTAAGCCACTTCTGGCAAACCAGAGCAGCGCACGGAAACGCTGTTTACCTTCCCGCCGGAGCGGTACCTATTTATCTACTTGCACTTTGACGTGCTTTTGAACTGCTAGGTTGGCAGGAGCTGGGACCAAACAATGGGAGCTCACCCCGTCGCGGGGATTCGAACCACCGACCTTCCGATCGGCAAGTCCTAGGCTCTGTGGTTTAACCCACAGCGCCACCCGCATCCCATCTGGGTGGCTTACAGCATATCTAAAAACATCATAAAAAAACATTGAGTGGTAAAAACCTCCCAATACAGGGCTTCCTTCAGATGTCTTCTAAAAGTTGTGTAATTCTTTATCTCCCTGACATCTGAAAGGAGGTATGGAAATAAATGAATAAATAAAAATCTCATGGTAGTTAAGTCAAATTCATATTTAAAAGGCACATGAGACTCTCACAAGCTGCCACCTCTGGCCCTAACTTTCCCTATGAAAAATTCCACCGCACAGAACTGCAGCTCCTGCATTTCAGGAGAGCCCAGGAGGCTGGTGAGACAAGGACTGGAGCACAATGATCTGCTTTATCAGTGCATGGTGTGAAAAAGGCAAACTGATTATACAGTCCCTCTATGCTAGGGCAGCTTCCCTTCTCATTCTGGTTGTGCCTGCAAGGCCTTCCAGGGGAGATGTCCGTGTGCAGTTGCCTGAAATGCAGGAATCGCACTGCACCAATCAGCATAAGCCAAAAACTTCTCCAAACAGCATTAAGAGGCATTGCCCTTGGGTAGGCAGTTTCTCAGTAGAAAACTGCTTGACTAACAGCAGTTAGTCAAGCACAAGTACTTGTTCATTTTTCATTTCACTATTTCCAATTACTATTAGCTGCATAACACATGAATATATATTTTTTTTACTTGCTATTTAATACAGCATAGCCGGCTGATGCTTCCATGTTAATTTACAAATGCAGATTTTGTATGTTTTTCTTACAGCATTTCATATTATGCATGGAAAGAATACCCTGAGCATTTTTTTATGAGGGTATACCCTTGCTCTCAAGAAGACTAGGACCCAAAATTACCGTCATAATACTTTAATAGCAAGATGCTCCCTAGATAGTCACTAATTAGGGCTGTTTTGCACTGTAGGTTTTTCCAGTGTGGGTTTTAATAATGTCAGTGCCCCTTCTGGCCTGAAAGATAACTAACCACTTCTAGAACGCTTCACTTAACAGATTTTGTTGTTAGTTCTTTTTTTCAAGCTACTAGATGAAAACACCTTAACAGTGACATCTCCTGGGCAGTTATTTTCATACAGACTATTTAAGGGAAATGGTCTAAAAGAGATTGCCAAGCACCCAAGCACTAGAAAATAAAACTCACCAATTTAAACCAAGAATTTATTTGTTTTATTTGAAGTCTTAAAAAATTGGATCAGAAGGTCGGCGGTTCGAATCCCTGCGACGGGGTGAGCTCCTGTTGCTTGGTCCCTGCTCCTGCCAACCTAGCAGTTCGAAAGCACGTCCAAGTGCAAGTAGATAAATAGGTACTGCTCCGGTGGGAAGGTAAACGGCGTTTCTGTGCACTGCTCGGGTTCACCAGAGGCGGTTTAGTCATGCTGTACGGCGGCTCCCTCGGCCAATAAAGCGAGATGAGCGCGGCAACCCCAGAGTCGGCCACAACTGGACCTAACGGTCAGAGGTCCCTTTACCTTTACCTTTAAGTTTACCAGAGGCAAAATGAAACCCGAGGCAGACCTGGAACATTGACTCTGTTTGCTTTGCAGAATTGATGGAATGCTTTATGTTTTTAATTCTGGTTTCTATTGCTCCTCTCCCGCTTTCTTCTGCATTGCAGCCTGCACCGGGCCTCCCCAACAAGGTAGGAGACATGCCAACAAATCAAAGGTGTCTTTTGCATTAGAGCTGCCTCGGGGGTGGAAGAGCAGGAGCGTCCAGTGGGGGTTGGGAATGAGCCCTCCTGGTCCCAAGGGCCCCCAGCCAGGGGCAAACCCTGCTTAGCCCCCGGCCTCATTTCTCTCCTTTTTCCCCCCCAATTTTTTTTTGGGGGGGTTTTCACAACATTATAAACAAACACATAAGACAAACAAACATACCGTAAATGATAGCCTTATTGAAAATTACACTTGTTAACATTGTTAAGTGACTTCCCCTTGGTTGAATTTCATTGCATATCCTTTTAACGGTTTTCCAAATCACAGTTCTTATAAAATTTAACTTAAACATTAACATCCTTAGATCTTCACATTATGAAATTAAACATATTAATTCAACACTTAACATAAATAAAATCCTCAGCCAATTAAGTGTCTGCAAGCTGTTTTCAGTTAATTTAACTTGACATATTTAACTAAGTAATCATTAAATTTAATCCACTCTTCCTGATACTCCTCCTCCTTCTGGTCACGGACTAGCTAGGTCAGCTAGCTCCGAAAAATCCATCATCTTCATCTGCCATTCTTCTATCGTTGGTAATTCTTGGGTTTTCCACTTTTTAGCTAACAGAATACACGCAGCAGTTGTGGCATACAGAAATAATTTAACATCTTTCTTGGCAATTCCAAACCTGTTATTCCAAGAAGAAAGGCCTCTGGTTTCTTTATAAATGTATATTTCAACATTTTTTCCAATTTGTTATAAATCTTTTCCCAGAAGTTTTCCACCTTGGGACAGGTCCACCTCATATGATAAAAGGTTCCTTCCTTTTCTTTACCTTTCCAACATAGATTGTCACAGTTAGGATATATCTTTGCTAATTTTACAGGAGTCAAATACCATCTGTACATCATTTTCATTATATTTTCCTTTAACACAGTACATGCCTTGAACTTGACCCCTTTCTTCCACAATCTTTCCCAATCCTCAAACATTATATTATGTCCTCATTTCTCATGCCTCATTTCTCAAAGCTCAGAAGCCAAGGAAAGCCAAAGGTCAGCTGCCCTCGCCCTCGCTGCGCTGCTGCGCCACGTCCGCCCCCCGAGGGCGCTGCGCGGAGAGTGGCCAGCGCTGCGCAGCTACCCGCGCCAAGAAGGCGCATCTCCTGCGCGGCTGCAGTCCCGCGGGGCGCACGAGAGCGAGCGAGAGCGCGCTTCCCGGGGCGGCCGCCGGGCGTCGCTGCTGCCAACGCGGAGCTCGACGGAGCGCAACTTGGGCTGCGCTGGACGGGTCGGGGGCGCTCGTGCGCGCGCGCGCGCGGCTTCTTAGCTGGGGGAAGCGGAGCGGGAGCGCAGCAGGCTGCTTTGCTTTGCGTGGCCGCGCGAGGCGCCTCCGACGGGGAGCCCGGCCGGCGCGTGGCCGCCAGGCTCGTGCCCGCCAGGCTCGTCCGCCCGCTGCTGCCGCGGGTCTGGCGCGAGGAGGAGCCACGGCCGCCTCGGCTGTGCGCGGGGCAGGAGGCGGCATGGCTGCCCCGGCGGGGTCGGCCTGTCCGACGGCGCCGCGCTTCGCGGTGCAGCTGCGGCTGGTGAGCGAGGAGCAGCTGGCGCAGGGGCCGCTCCTGCTCCGCGCCGGGGCCAAGGCGCTCCGCCTGCAGCTGCAGCCCCGAGACGGAGAAGCCGAGCTGGCCGTGACCGACGGTGAAGTAGCGTCGCGGAGGGGCGCGGAAGGGCGCGCGGGGAGGGAAGGAAGGGCTGCAGCAGGGCCAGCCGCGCGTCCCCCCGAGGCACCGGCAAGGGCTGCCTCGCGGGTCACGTCCGAAAGGCTCTCGGAGAAATCAAACGCGTGTCTGGTCTTGGGGGCGGGGGGAGCCGTTCACACGTTACGCTTTTCCCGTGGAATGGGCAGTTGGCCAGGAGGAGGATGAGCTGAGCTCGCACCCGCGGAGTTGCGTCTTCACTCCGGGAAGCTGGGAGGCAGGAGAAGGAAGGGGAGAGCGAAGGAGAGGCAGACTCTCCCCGGAAGCCCTGCTCTGCCATCCCGAATCGGAGAGGGTCCCTCTGCGTTTTGTAACTCCCGGGGACTGAAGGGCAGTCTGCCCATGCTCAGAGTTAGCTAGGTGATCTCCGGTGATCTCTTTGCAGTTCTGGCAAATGGTTTAATGTGTTGGAAGCCACCCTGAGTCAGATAGGCAGCATATAAATTATTATTATTATTATTATTATTATTATTATTATTATTATCTGACTGAATGGCATTACACAAATGTGCAGGGTTAAAGGAGTCTGTTTGTGGAGCTCCGTCGTGCAGAATGTTCAAAGCTTAGTGAGTCCTCACTTGGCTTAAACCCCTCCTGCAGAAGGATTCCTGCCTGAGTTCTGACATTGAACAGAGAGCTTCTGTCCGAGATGGAGGACTTGCACTTGATTACTCCTGCATTAAGGAGGCACCTATCTTAACTGCATTTTAAAAAGTGAACAAATAGAGCAGTCACAGCAGCTTGGAACAAGAGGAGCACCTGCTTTTGCCTGCTGCAAAGCGGGAGAGAAGGGCAGGGGAAAGGAAAGGGCAGGCAGCCCAGCCCAAGGAGACTCCGCTGGGGGCTTTTTCCTGGCCATCATGGCTTGCTAAGGATGCCCTGCCTTCTTGACTAGCCAGGAACAGAAGAGAGCAGCTGAATGAGGCCAAAGGTCCACCTAGTTCTGCATTCTGGTCTCACAGTGGCCAGCCAGTTACTCCTGGGAAGCCCATAAGCAAGCTTTGAGCTCAAGTGTGTAGGCCTTGGTGGTGGGTGGGCTGTGGAAGGACCCCTGGGGGGAGCAGGGGGGGAAGTGCTGTGTTCTAGTCGGTGTCTTAGTTTCTTCTGTCCTCTAGAGAGCTGAGGTTGGTGGAAACACAGAGCAGGGCCTTTTTTGTGGCAGCACCCCAGCTGTGAATGCCCTACCAAGGCATTTCCTAGACCAGGCATCCCCAACCTTCGGCCCTCCAGATGTTTTGGACTACAGTTCCCATCATCCCTGACCACTGGTCCTGTTAGCTAGGGATCATGGGAGTTGTAGGCCAAAACATCTGGAGGGGCGCAGGTTGGGGATGCCTGTCCTAGACTCTCCCCTACTCTTCCAGGCAGCTTTTACTTGTTTTTAATAGGTGGAGATTTGATTCCATTCCTCTTGGTCTTAATATAAATGTGTGTGTGTGTGTGTGTGTGTGTGTGTGTGTGGTTCATGTTCTTTGGTTTGTTGCTTAATTTTCGTATTTGTGTTTTATTTTTTATTTTCGGCTGCTAAGGCCAAAACGTGGCTTATGAGTATATTTCACGAGTGAATGAAAGCAACACAGTTTAGAAGAAGCTACTGTGCCTCTTTCTTAGTGTGTTTCCTTTGCTCTGGACTTCAGCTGTCTGGCAGTTATGGGCCTGAGAACATTCTGGCACATGGGGAACCTGGGCTTTCTCCGTTGTCTAGAGCACAGGGCTTTTGTATTAAGGTACTTTAGTGGGTTAGAGATATTTTGTGGATCTTCTGTTCATCGTGTCCCAAGTGGCGCTTGAGCATCAGAGCCAAGGAGCCAAGTGCAGGGGCTGGAAATGGAGTGGGGGGGGGACCCTCAAAAGGCACACAGGCAGTGGGAGAAACTCCGATCTATAAGCTAGGTGCAAAGTGGCTCCTTAAATCAAGGTTACAGTCGCCAAAATGGAATGCCTGGTTGCCGTTTGGAAAGTTGTATAGGCACCTCCAGACAGGGAGACATCAGGCACGTCCTGGCGCCTGGGCTTCTTCACTTGGTCGTAAGTGACTGATAGCCTGGTGAGCTTTGCAAACTGGGTACATCCCTTACGGCCTGCTTGTAACTAGGCCTGGGCGATGCATCGATGTCCAGGACCGGTCTGAGGCCCAGAGCAGGATGAAGCCTTCAGCCGGTGGGGCTTGCCTGCTTCCTCCCTGCCCCGGGCACCGGAGGTGGAGGGAGCTGTGGCGGTTTCACCCCAGAGCCTCGCAGGGCCGATGTTCCTTCCTTTTCAACATAGTGATGTATCACTATAGCATGATGTTTAGCTGGTGATATAGTGATACACCGTTATTTAAAAGACTGATATTGCTCAGCCGTATTCATAACTTAGCTCCATTTGTGGCTCCTCTTGTCCAGAGCGGATCCTGCTATGCAATAGGGTGAAGCGATCAGATGGGGGAGGGAATCCTTTGGTGGTTAAAGGCAGGTAAAGGTAAAGGGACCCCTGACCATTAGGTCCAGTCGTGACCGACTCTGGGGTTGCGACGCTCATCTCGCTTTATTGGCCGAGAGAGCCGGCATACAGCTTCCGAGTCATGTGGCCAGCATGACTAAGCCGCTTCTGGTGAACCAGAGCAGCACACGGAAACGCCGTTTACCTTCCCGCCGGAACAGTACCTATTTATCTACTTGTATGTTGACGTGATTTCGAACTGCTAGGTTGGCAGGAACAGGTACCGAGCAACGGGAGCTCACCCCGTCGCGGGGATTCGAACCTCTGACCTTCTGATCGGCAAGTCCTAGGCTCTGTGGTTTAACCCACAGCTCCACCTGCGTCCCATAAAGGCAGGTAGGGGTCCCTAAAAGGCGCTGCAAGACTTTCAGAAAGTTTTGGCTCAGGGTGAGGAAAACAGGTTCAGTTCAACTTCATGCCACAACTTGTCTTTCCCTGGGGCCGGCACTATCTTCGACTGCTGCTGCTGCTGCTGTGGAAATCTTTTTGACTTCTGAAATGTGCGAGAAATAAAGTATGTTCCATTACCAATATCAAGATTGTGCTAAAAATATAGCAGAAATGACAGTAGATACTCAAAAGCATTATTAGGGGAACGTTAGAGGCGTAAAATAACCATATTGAGCTATACTTGAGTATACAGCAGGATATAAACATTGCAAATGAACGGAATAATGTTTTAAGATGTCAGACATTAAAAGGCAGAATTTCAGCCATGTGTGTTGCATTATCCTTTTAGTTTGAACAAGAAAAATAAGCTGCATGCCCAACACTAGAGCAATTTTTATATGTTGCCAAAGAAGACTGGATTGTTTTCTAAAAAGAATTCTTTTTTTCTTTTTTTAAGTTGATTCCCTACCAGCATCATGATTTGTACAAAACATTTTATTATATAAAAAAATTTAAAATTTCAAAAATGTGGGATAATTTTTGAGAAATGATTGCAGGGGGGATTTGCTTTTTTTTAAATCCTCTGTAGCGAAGGGGATAGCAGCCCTGAGCTGTATTGGAGCAAAGTGCCTTTGGCCAAGGTGGGCTGTTTTTCTGAAGTGCTTAATGGAGGGCCAAACCTAATTTTGTGATCAGTGCAGATGCTCCCTAAGAAGGGGGCTCTTCTCTGGGCTAAGGAAGAAAGCTGAAATGTTTTCTGGATTATTATGTGTGTGTGACTTGGGAAGGTTTTCTTCAAAGGTTCTGGAAACGAACCCCCAAGACCTGCTGATCTAGTCCTTTTCTGCAGAATCTGCCCCTGGGTGGCAGCCGAAGTGTCTCTCCCCGCCTGGCCTGGAGCGGCTTCTCCTGGGATGCTGCTCTGATGCTCAGGATCCGGCCGTGCGGATGCCAAATGCTTTGCCGGCTCTTTCACAGATGATGGAAGCAGTGATCTTACCAGAAAGTGTTTCAGAAAACTTCAGCGCCAGCCTTTCCAGGGCTTTAGGAGAAAACACAGCAGCTGTTTTGTGCTTTTGAGTACTGAATGTGGAGGGGGAGAAAGAGAATTTGTGTCTCAGAGGCAAATATTGATCCCGATGCCGGAGCTCTTGGTTTCGCCTGAATTCATAGGAGCCATGGGATTCTTCACACAGATGAAGTCTGTTTTAAATGGTTGTCGCTGTCAGGTGGATGAGATATTAATTCGTCTCAAGGGAAAGTTGCGTTGACAATAAAAGCCGTGAGGATGAGATTAAACTATCCTTTAGCAACATTATTTTGATCACGTTGTATATCTGTGTGTTCAGGGACACTCTTGGTGCCAGATCTGTGACGTCCCTGTGAACGCATGGCCCTTTACCTTGGGCTGTCCTAGCAGAGCCAGTGAAAATAATGGGCATTTCTAGCTGAGGCTCATTCATTTTCCTGGGTCTCCTCTGAGTAGGACTAGCATTGGCTACAAAAGCTTGTTTGTAGCATCTGTTTTGTAATGAATGTATCGTTACATCCTTTTCTTAACGGCCTGTCTGTTAAGAATCTTCTTTTGATGCTTCCCATTTTAATCTCTGTGCATTTCCCATGAAGAAATAAGCAATAAAAATGGAAATAAATACAAAACTTCTGCTGGGAAAACCAGAAAAAGTGAACCTTAAGTCAAAATGGCAGTGCTTTTGCTAATATTCCTGCCCATATATAAAGTATGGTTGTTGTTTATGAGAATCTGGTGTAATTTATCTGTGCTGCTTTACAATGTGGGTATTAAAATTGTATTTATTGCATTTGAAATATTTTAATAAAATTGTAAATTTCTTAGAGATTTATTTGAAGTATGAGGAGGTATCTAAATTACCTAAAGTTGTTACAGTACGTGCCACAGTTTTTAACAACAACAAAAGAGATGCTGGTACTGTATCCCCTAAAAGAAGCACTGATTAATAATAATTGTTGTTGTTGTTTGCCCATCTGACTGGGTTGTCTCAGCAACTCCGGGTGGCTTCCAACAAATTAAACACATTAAGCACCCCTGTTGTCCAGCCCAGACATGGAGTTCCAGCTCAGAGGGTCTTCTGGCGGTTCCCTCCCTGCAAGGAAGTGAAGCCACAGGGAACCAGGCAGAGGGCCTTTCAGTGGTGGCACCTGCCATGTGAAATGCCCTCCCATCAGAGGTCAAGGAAATAAACAACTTTTAGAAGACATCTGAAGGCAGCCCTGTATAGGGAAGTTTTTAACGTGTGATGTTTTATTATGTTTCAGTATATGCTGTGAGCCGCCCAGAGTGGCTGGGGAAACCCAGCCAGAAGGGCAAGGTATAAACAATAAAATTATTATTAATTATTATTATTAGCAAGAACAAAACTGTCATTAAACAGAATGGAAATTATTATTTTGGCAATATTATTTTGAGTTGTAATGTTCAGCCTCATCACTGATTGCCAACTTAAAACGATTCAGCCAGCACATTAAAAGGTATATTTCAATGCAAAAAATTGAAATAATACTATGTGTTAAGCTGATGTGCTGGAATAAATTCCTTTATGGGCTAACATTCTTCATGTGAGTGTTGTACCAACCCATCATATGATTAATTCAAGCATGTGGCTGGTAATAGGTGTCTTTCTGCCTACATATGGTTCTCTTCTGAAGAAGAATCACAATGCCCCTCACTCCCAGTGCAGCAAACACACTGAAATTATGTCAGCTGCTGTTTGTTTGTTTTCTGCACAGTTTAAAACACTTTAAAACTGTTTGGAGAATGGGGGAAGCTAAATTTGTGATGGTTACAAAGACCAGCCAATGCACACTATGCAAAAATGGTTTCTGGCGAAGCACATAAGAAAAAGCAGGCTTCTGATGTCAGTTGTACGTGGTCTCTTTGCACAGTGAGCTCATGGCTGAGGCTATGTTCACAGACTCTGTGTGTGCAAGAGCAATTATGACTCGCTCATTCAGCATTCAGTTCTCTTATTTCCAGAAATTTTATATAGGTATAGCAAAAAGATCTCCAAGCAATTTACAATTAATTTCAGTGGCAATAAAAATGCAAACAACATTCAGTAAAATTATCTTTAAGCGTGGATAAAAACAAGATTAAAACCACAGCGTTATATCACAAAAGGAAAGGAAAGCTCGTGCCCAGAAAAGCTTAGGTAAACATAAGTTTTTAAAGGTCATGCCTGTCTCACCTCCTGAATTACCCAGAATGGGGGGCGGGGGGAGCTGTTGGCAAGGTGGTTTATCACCATCTGTACACAAATGTCTGTATTTGTGATTAGATTGTTAGTTTTCCAGGCTAAACATGTGAAAGTCTTTTATCTTCATTGTATAGTATAGTAGAAAACTATATTTGCTTGTGTCACACAGGACATGTTCACATGCAACATTTTCATCCTTCGCCGGTGACTTTCCAAATCATTCTGCTCATTCTCTCTCTTTTTTTAAAAAAATATTTTTTATTAGGAATTTCAACAAAACATTTTATCAAAAAACATATCCTTAATTCCCCCCCTATTTCCCCCCCTCCCCATAAAGTAACCCCCCCCCCCCAGACTTCCCTCAGCTCCTCTCTCTGGTTTATCAACAAATGTTATTCTCTGCATGTTACAAAATTGTATAGATCCTTAATTTATCTGACTGGCTATTATCACTAAAAAGTTTGTGAGTATTTATTCAAAACCTGCCAAGGAGCCCAGTTCGTTTTGATGTTTCTTTAGGTACTTTGTAAAGGGTTCCCATTCTTCCTTAAAATCACAGTTGTCCTTATCATGTAGTTTATATGTCAGTTTTGCCAATTCCGCTTAGTCCATCAGTTTCTCTTGCCACAGTTCTTTGGTTGGAACTTCTTCATTCTTCCATCCCTGTGCTATTAAGACTCTTGCTGCCGTTGTCGCAAACATGAAAATGTTTTTCAATTTCCCTGGCAGGTCTTTTCCTACAATCCCTAACAGAAAGGCTTCGGGGTTTTTTACAAATGTTAATTGGAACATTTTCTTCAATTCATTATATATCATTTCCTAGAATTTTTTTAATTTTACAACAATCCCACCACATATGATAAAAGGTCCCTCCTTTTTCCTTACATTTCCAACATATATTTGAAGCAGTTTTGTACATTCTTCCTATTTGCACTGGTGTTATGTACCATCTGTACATCATTTTCATATAATTTCCTTTCAACAGAGAGCAATCTGTTAATTTCAAGTCAGTTTTCCACAATCTTTCCCAGTCTTCAACATTCTGCTCATTCTCTCTTGATCCCTTGGCAGGTTTGTTGTTCAGGATGCTCTAGAATAACGGTGGGAGCCACTTTCCTCCCATCCATGTAAAATATACTTTGTATCCACCAATTAACAGACTTTTCATTTGGGGACGGGTGCAGTTAATAACCGTGGGTGCCTCACTCAGTTTACTGCTAGTTGTTATATTTTTACACGGTGTTGTCGTGTTATCTAGGCTGCTCATAATGTGCTGGATTCAAAACATATACCAAGGAAACAATAGTAACCCCCAGTGATACAAAACATTGAAAACAGCTAATTTTGTGCCAGTAGAAAGCCCACAAGGCAGTTACGTGCCTGAGAGGACCAAAAAGTCTCTGTCTGGCAACTGCATCCGTACAGGATTTATGTAGACACCGGTAACACCTTTCAGTGCAATAAAACTAATAAAATGGGAAATCCACAGTAGGAAAATGCAAATGCTAAGAGCTAGGTGATAACATAAGAGATGCGGGTGGCGCTGTGGGTTAAACCACAGAGCCTAGGACTTGTTGATCAGAAGGTCGGTGATTTGAATCCCCGTGATGGGGTGAGCTCCCGTTCCTCGGTCCCTGCTCCTGTCAACCTAGCAGTTCGAAAGCACGTCAAAGTGCAAGTAGATAAATAGGTACTGCTCTGGCAGGAAGGTAAACGGCGTTTCTGTGCACTGCTCTGGTTCGCCAGAAGCGGCTTTGTCATGCTGGCCACATGACCCAGAAGCTGTACGCCGGCTCCCTCAGCCAATAAAGCGAGATGAGAGCCGCAACCCCAGAGTCAGTCACGACTGGACCTAATGGTCAGGGGTTCCTTTACCTTTACCTTTAGGTGATAACATAGCAATTGCATGAGCACATAAACAAGGCTTTAGTAAGTGCCCGAAAGCAGTCCAGGGTGGCTGCTTGCCTGACTTCTCCCAGGGCAGAGAAGGCCCTTCCTTTGGGTGTCACCTGAGGGATGAGTGCAGACTGCAGAGCAACTGAGCAAAGGATCTCTGCGAACTGGCCAGCCCAGGCAAGAAAGTGCCTTCTCTTGGCTACATTTAACCAGGTGTTGTCCGATTAAAGTCAACGAAGCAGCGTCTGCATAACTGAGCTGTGAATCTGCTGCAGTGAAAGAAAATCAATTTTAGAGCTATGTGTGGTTGAATTTAGTCAGACTTCAGGAAGTACCTCAGGTTAAGTACTTAATTTGTTCCAGAGGTCCGTACTTAACCTGAAACTGTTCTTAACCTGAAGCACCACTTTAGTTAATGGGGCCTCCTGCTGCTGCCATGCCACCAGAACACAATTTCTGTTCTCACCCTGAAGCAAAGTTCTTAACCTGAAGCACTATTTCTGGGTTAGCGGAGTCTGTAACCTGAAGCGTATGTAACCTGAAGCGTTTGTAACCCAAGATAGTTTCCTCTTCTGATGGTATATGAGAATTGTAGGAGAAAATAGATTTTCTTCTTCTTAAAGTATCATAATCTCTTGAAGGGCATAAACGTGCTTTAATCTTTAATATCATAATTAAGAGTAAATAAATGTAAGGGTCAACAGATTCCATGTGCTTCTGTCTTTGGAGCACATATTAATGTTGGCTGAGAACCTTATAGTTTCAGAAGAAAAAAATGATGTACAGAAGTAGACAAAATCAGATAAAGGAAGATCACTTTCAGATCCTATTGAAGGCTTACATGAAATTTGAATAGCAATACACTCTTATTTGTGCCGGCTGAGAAGTTCAACAGAGTCCAGTGGGCTTCACTCCCAGGTCCTGCAATTCTGTGCACATCAGCCTCGAACATCAGCCCCACATAGCATTCAGTGAGACTTTCCCCAGTAAATTGTGTATGCTGGGATAGCAGCCATAAAACTCCTAGTTTGTAGCCAACTAGGTTTTACTCAAGAGTAAGGTAAAGGTAAAGGGACCCCTGAGCATTAGGTCCAGTCGTGGCCGACTCTGGGGTTGCGGCGCTCATCTTGCTTTATTGGCCAAGGGAGCCGGCGTACAGCTTCCGGGTCTTGTGGCCAGCATGGCTAAGCCGCTTCTGGCGAACCAGAGCAGTGCATGGAAACACCGTTTACCTTCCCGCCAGAGCAGTACCTATTTATCTACTTGCATTTTGACGTGCTTTTGAACTGCTAGGTTGGCAGGAGCAGGGACCGAGCAATGGGAGCTCACCCCGTCACGGGGATTCGAACCGCCGACCTTCTGATCAGCAAGTCCTAGGCTCTGTGGTTTAACCCACAGTGCCACCCGCGTTCCTACTCAAGAGTAGACCCACTGAAATCAGTGGACCTACAGTAAGTTAGTCTTTTCAGTGGATCAACTCTGAGTAGGACTAGCATTGACTATAGCTCATCTAAAATGTTCATCCTCCTAACCTAAATGGGATCACAGGAGAATGAAAACATAATATGAAAATCTGGATGATAGAACTTTGTCTCTCCTATACTGGCAATCTTTTGTCCTGCAGCCTTGTTCTTGCTGCTTGCATACCAGCTGCTGGTTTTTGCTGCAGAACCATGCCAAACTTGCCCTGCTGTTGTGCCGCATTTTAGCGTTTATTTTCCTGCATGAAACGGCTTCATCATATTCCTTTGTAAGCAAGAGCTGTGGTGTCTTCAGATTTTTGCAGCAAGACGTGCTCTTCCTGTCGCTGTTTCCTATTTTTGGAGAGCTCCTCTAACACGCTTTCTTGCAAAATATGCCTAAAGGAAAGTAGGGATTTGATGTGTAACCACAGAGTAGAAGTGCATGTCAAAATCATGCTAATCTAATATAATTGTATCATACCACAAACACCAGTTGTGTCTGGCAAATCAATCCACTGTTTTCTCTGGGCAGAAGCTTTCAATCATTAAAACACCACCAGTGGAGAGTGTTACAAATTTGCTGCTTCTTTTTGTATTGTTTGTCAGAATGTTATTGTGGAAACTAGGGGAAGAAGCAGCCAGTGACACAAACTGGATACATATTTAAGGTTCATTTCAAGATGTACAGTATGGGGTCAAACTAGGAGATATGCAAATACTTGATCTAGTCTTAATTCTTTTAAAAATATACCCAGTGATTGTTGGGCATGGCAATTCCGATTGGGTCAGGATGCTTTCATTCTAAAAGCCCCCAACACACACACACACACACACACACACACACACACACACACACTGTTGTGGATGCAAACAGCACATTATTTTTAAAGGCACACATTTATTTAACTTATTTATACAGTATTCTGCCTTCCAGGACACACATCCTTTCAATGTGGCTTACAAGTGACATAAAAATACATCAGTAATGTCACAATAACAATCTCAAATAGCAAGTCCTCAATCTCTCCCCCCCCCCCCCTTGGCCCATGGTCAGGGATGATGGAAGTGGCAGTCCAATATCTGGAGAGGCCGATGTTGGTGACCCCTTGCAATTCTCTTTTTACAAGGCTGACCAAAGAGCCTCCCCTTACAGAGACAATGTCTCCAGTTATCTCAGGGTTATTAGAGCACTATGATCCCTGCCTTACTGGGTGACAACAATTAATAACCCTTATTTCAAGAACATCGGACAAATTGTTTCCCTTGATACCAACTTAGGTGTGTGTCTTTTGCCACTACAGTGGCACCTCAGGTTACATACGCTTCAGGTTACAGACTCTGCTAACCCGGAAATAGTACCTCGGGTTAAGAACTTTGCTTCAGGATGAGAACAGAAATCGTGCTCCGGCGCAGTGGCAGCAGCAGGAGGCCCCATTAGCTAAAGTGGTGCTTCAGGTTAAGAACAGTTTCAGGTTAAGAACGGACCTCCGGAATGAATTAAGTACTTAACCCGAGGTACCACTGTACTAACTTCAGATATGAGTCCCACATTCCATGACAAGTACTGGGTACTTGTTTGCCTCTATCCAATCTCTTCCTTATTTTTTAAAAGGTTTGAATAATTTTCTTTGCCATTATGCCTCATTTTAGATTTTCTCCCATTTTTAAAATGCGTTGTAAGGAAGGGAAAAAATGTAAGAGAGAGAGAAGTAAATGAAGTCATAGAATATAATGTATATGTGTTAAGCTTTTTATTCTGGTCATGGTAAATTCGTCTGTTTATCCCATTGTGTTTGTTGTGGATATATAAAATGAACAAGAAGTTAAACAGACAAACACATTTTTGAAAGCTACAGTTCTTGCAGCTTGTGATATATCTGACTTGGGGCTTTGCTATGTCTGGCTGAAATTTTTGTTCTCTTTTGTTGCCCATGTGCATATGGTATTTGTTTAACCACAGTTAAGTCTGCTATAGCACACCTGACATCTTAATACATGGAACCCAGAGGAGAGTAAGAGAAATAACTGGTTCCTCTTGGAAAATAAAGTGGAGACATGTGTATGGAAGTATAGATCTTGCAGATAAATCTGTTTTTCAAGTAAACAAGCACAGTCTAGACAGACTTTCAGCAAAGGGATAAAGAGTTTTCATTTCAAATATCATTGAGCTGTGAAAGCAAAGTTAGGCACAACTTGTTCCTCAGGAGTTTTTCATTAAGGTTTTTATTACACACAAACATCAGCATTTAGTATTAATAAAAAAAGTGTCAACTTCAGTTTTTAGAAAATGAAGCTGTGTGTTGTGTGTCTTCTAACCCTCCTGTAAGGAAAGTGAGTACTGTTTTTGCTGAAACATATTCTCAATTTTTGTGGCTGCAAATATCCCCCCGATTTTCTAATTACTAAATTTGCAGCATAGATCACTGACGCACAAGCGTGTTTATCCATTTTAGCCTATTTGGCAAATATTTATCAGTGCTTTTATGCGTGTAGCAGAACAACATCCCCCCATTAATATATGCCATTTGCAGTGAAGGATATTAAGGTATTGCAAATGATGCCATTGCACATTGAAATATTTGTTTTAAGCTACTTTTGTGTTTGAATCTGGTAAAGCTAATAAAACGGGCAAGCTTTGCTGTCAGGGTGCTGTGCTGGTGGCCTTACCTTGAGACTCAGGCTGCTCTTACTTATATTTTCTTTTGCCATCGGTACAGATGAGGCCTGGGGCAGAGCAAATGGATTATTCATTGAACCATCTGAAGCAGAGCTGTGTTCCTGTTCTAAAATTCCACCTTCCCCTTTTCTTCGAATCATTTTTCTTTTCTTGCCTGATCAATGTTTAATTTTAAAACCAGCAATGCATATTCATTGCTTTCTTTTAATCTTGGTCGTCCGACACTGTGCGGCAGGAAGCAGGTGGCACCTGGGGGCCTCTCTGTCGAGTTTATTACTCCCCACCCCAGCCTTGTAATGATTTCCAGTCTCCCACCAGACATGGTCCATAGCTCTTACGCTAAAAGGCTTCTGCCAGTTTTCTCCTGTAAATGAAAGCTCCTTTGGGAGGAAAAGAAGCTCTACTTATTTATTGGGGTTATGCCTTCATGCAAAGGTTAACATGTGCGACTCTGACGGCACGCCACAGCGCTTCTTGAAGCCCAGACGCTGCTGGAGTTCTTCCACATTGGCACCTGACATCCAGCAGCCAGCCTTGTGTAGGTTGAGCCAATGTTACAGATGCAGTTAGATACAGTGGTGCCTCGCAAGACGAAAAGAATCCGTTCCGCGAGTCTCTTCGTCTTGCGGTTTTTTTCGTCTTGCGAAGCAAGCCCATTAGCGGATTAGCGCTATTAGCGGCTTAGCGGATCAGCTGATAAGCGTCTTAGTGGCTTAACGGATCAGCTGTTAAGCGGCTTAGCGGATCAGCTGATAAGCGGCTTAGCGATCAGCTGTTAAGCAGCTTAGCGGCTTAGGGATCAGCTGATAAGCGGCTTAGCGGCTTGGGAAAAAGGGGGGGGGGAGGAAAAAACCCCCGCAGGAACTCACAAGACATTTTCGTCTTGCGAAGCAAGCCCATAGGAAATTCGTTTTGCGAAGCACCTCCAAAACGGAAAACCCTTTCGTCTAGCGGGTTTTCCGTCTTGCGAGGCATTCGTCTTGCGGGGCACCACTGTATTCATATTCAGCTAATGTGTTCACAGGTGGGGTTGGCAGCAGCATGTCCAGAGCAGAAGCATTGGCTCCAAAGACCGGCTGGAGAGATGGTTAGCTGGAGCCTGCCCTACCTGGCCCTCGTTCCGCCCCCCAGCCAGCATCCAATTGGCTAGGCGGAGAGGGGGTGGAGCAATGGCCAGCAAGCAAACCCAGGCACAGGAAGCCCGCACCGGGTCGCAAACCCTGCCCACCAGTTTGATGAGTGATTGGCAGATCCAAGACTTGCTTTGTAATCAGGTTTGGCAGTTCAGATCAGAGACCCAATCTGGGTAGATTCAGCTGCTATCTAACACGGCATATTATTATACCGTGTAGCACAGAGAAAAAAACTACAAGATCACATTCTGTCTTGTCCAGCAGTGTTTGAAATTCGCCAGGCGCCAGGAGCATTTTGTACCTGGCTATTGCGCTGTGGGTTAAACCACAGAGCCTAGGACTTGCTGATCAGAAGGTTGGTGATTCGAATCCCCGCGATGGGGTGAGCTCCCGTTGCTCGGTCCCTGCTCCTGCCAACCTAGCAGTTCGAAAGCACGTCAAAGTGCAAGTAGATAAATAGGTACCACTCCAGTGGGAAGGTAAACGGTGTTTCCATGCGCTGCTCTGGTTCGCCAGAAGCGGCTTAGTCATGCTGGCCACATGACCCGGAAGCTGTATGCTGGCTCCCTCAGGCAATAAAGTGAGATGAGCGCCACAACCCCAGAGTCGGCCACGACTGGACCTAATGGTCAGGGGTCCCTTTACCTTTTTATTGTCCACTTGCAAGCAAGGGAAGATGCCCAGGCGCCAGGATTGCACCTGAGGTGCGTGCCTGGGGATCCATGGATCTGGACTGTTGTCACATTCCAGCAACACATCCTGTAGAATTCCAACTCTCATATTTTCTCACAATCATAATGAATTTCAGGAACTAAAAAGTCACATTGAAAAATACAACTTTTGAGCCGTCTGGTCCCAAGATGGCAACTAGATATTCCGTTTTGGCAACTGTAACCCTGGTTTAAGGAGCCATTTGGCACTTAGCTTATAGATAGGAGTTTCTAACACAGTCGACAGTTATAGATCTTGGTGCTCGCCATCTCATCCTTCTCTTAGGTTAGTTGTAACCTATTTCTACAGGGCTGCTCTCTTGATCAATGAGTGAGGCTCCTTTTCTGCAGCCTAACCACCCACACAGAAATCTCTGGTTTTCTGTAGCATTTGAACAGGATATCAAAGCTCTAATAGATTTTGAATCCAGACAGACAGTTTGACAGCAGCTATGCAAAATATTAGTGTCTTAATCAGATGTCACTTTTGTGCAAAAACTCCTTTTGTCCCCCCTGCTTTTGTGCGCCTGGTAAATTAGTGGATATTCAGACAAGTTAATTATATATTCTAGCATGCAACTATGACAGTTCTTTTCCTATAGAATAGGAAAAATAGTTTTTGCATGGTGAGCTAAGCATATATCTTCTTCTTTCTGCCAAAAATAAGTAAGCAACAAGATGGCTTGCATCTGTGGGTCTCAAACTACGTGCTAGCTTTGCATCTTGTAAAACCATTTGCAGATAGTTATAGCTATTATGTCTCCGCCCCTTTTATTATGTTGTTGTTTAGTCGTTTAGTCGTGTCCAACTCTTCGTGACCCCATGGACCAGAGCACGCCAGGCACTTCTGTCTTCCACTGCCTCCTGCAGTTTGGTCAAACTCATGCTGGTAGCTTCAAGAACACTGTCCAACCATCTCGTCTTCTGTCATCCCCTTCTCCTTGTGCCCTCCATCTTTCCCAACATCAGGGTCTTTTCCAGGGAGTCTTCTCTTTTCATGAGGTGGCCACAGTATTGGAGCCTCAGCTTCAGGATCTGTCCTTCCAGTGAGCACTCAGGGCTGATTTCCTTAAGAATGGAGAGGTTTGATCTTCTTGCAGCCCATGGGACTCTCAAGAGTCTCCTCCAGCGCCATAATTCAAAAGCATCAATTCTTCGGTGATCAGCCTTCTTTATGGTCCAGCTCTCACTTCCATACATCACTACTGGGAAAACCATAGCTTGAACTATACAGACCTTTGTTGGTAAGGTGATGTCTCTGCTTTTTTTATATCATTATTTTATTATAGTGGTGATAAAATATCAGTAGATTTTATGACCATATGCATTCACTAAGCAAGACTGAGAAAAAGACCTGTGAATTATGTCTTGTAGTATTATTGTCCCATGAAGACCAAATCATGAGTGCAACGTTGAGCTTCCTTTTTGAAGAAGTTGTTCCTTCTCCTGGTGGTTGGGGGGAGGCAGAAACTTTTACACTATTCTGGAGCAGCAGCTCCATGTTGATGGAAGAAAGGAGTAAATGACCTGCAGGGCAACAAATGGCAGTTTTATTCTTAGAAAAGTACCAGGGGGAAGAAAAGCAGCCTAGATTGCAAGCAGTTAGATGACCGTGTTTCAGATTAGACATTTCTCATGATGTGCCATGAAGGATTAAAACAGCTGTAGCAATAATAATAATAATAATAATAATAATAATAATAATAATTTATTTATATCCCGCCCTCCCCAGCCGAAGCCGGGCTCAGAGCGGCTAACAACAGTAAAATGATACAACATTCTAAAATCATTTCATTATAAAATCAGTTCAGATCAAATTAATGGCAACCATTGGGCTCTGTGAGGATTGCCAAAGGAGGGGGTCAGGTTGTGCCCTGGCCAAAGGCCTGGTGGAACAGCTCTGTCTTGCGGAAAGATGTCAAGTCTCGCACGGCCCTAGTCTCTTGTGGCAGAACGTTCCACCAGATCGGAGCCACAGCCGAAAAAAGCCCTGGCTCTGGTTGAGGCCAGCCTAACCTCTCTGTGGCCCAGGATCGCCAAGATGTTTTTGTCTGAAGACCGTAATGATGTGTCAAAGAATTACGAATTACAAAGAGAAGGAATCACATTGGCTCCACTTGCAGAAACTAATGAAGGAGTTTCGTATGGCGTCTTTCTCCTAATGGAAAAATTATTGGTGTGGTTGCTCTGAGTTTGGATGGAATTCAGGGAGAATGTTTCTCCATTAAGCAGAAGATATACAGCAGTTCAGGAATGTTAACTTCATCTACATTTTGAGGGAATTACTATATGGAATTGGCAGAAATGACTGGCAGAATCCGAGACCAGGGAGAAGAGTCGGTGAAAGAGGACTGGAAGAAATTTAAAGACTATTTACAGAAATATTGTAAAATTAATGAATTTTAGAAGGATGTTGGATAGAAACTAAGTGGTTTCTAGCTGTAATGCTTTAAGAGATATGAAAAAAAAAGATCCACAAATGGGTAAAAGCTTAATGGTAAGGATTTGCTGAACTAACAAATTGAAATGGAATACAAAGAAGGAGGCACGAGGAGGTTCAGGGAAATAAGGGTAAGGAGGATATGTTAGGGAAAATTAATCTGCTTTTAATTGTTTTTATTTTGTATGTTTCTTTTTATTTTTCATGTATTTTTTTTTCTGTACTTTGTATTTTCTTGTATTTTTATTTTTTGTTTTTACGTAATTTTTGTATTCTTTGAAATGTTAATAAATATCATTAAAAAAAAAAACATTTTGAGGGAATTGTGTGCTTTTCGAGAAGGTCGCTTCTTTGCAACGATGCCCAGGGTTTTCTGATGTGCCGTTACACCAGTTCAGTCCTGTGCTTCACCTTGATGTTTGATTCTCCCTTTTGTGGCAGAGAATTGAAGACAAGAATGTCATGTCATTTGCCTGATTCAAAGAACGTCCTCGCTTGGTTCAGCCCAGATCTGAACAGTCTGTCTCCTTATTCCCACGCCTGTGATTATTTCCTCAGAAAATGCTACACAAACACGCTCCGTGCAGTTGTACCACCTTGCCGTGCGCAGGGGGAACTGCTTCTTTGAATGGGCCTCCACATCTAAAGATGCTTAAAGAAACATTTTTCTCATTTTGGGGGAAAGTACTTCAGAAAGAGGGACGCAGGTGGCACTAAGGGATGCAGGTGGTGCTGTGGGTTATACCACAGAGCCTAGGACTTGCCTATCAGAAGGCCGGCAGTTCGAATCCCTGCGACAGGGTGAGCTCCCGTTGCTCGGTCCCTGCTCCTGCCAACCAAGCAGTTCAAAAGCACGTCAAAGTGCAAGTAGATAAATAGGTACCGCTCCAGCGGGAAGGTAAACGGCGTTTCCGTGTGCTGCGCTGGTTTGCCAGAAGTGGCTTAGTCATGCTGGCCACATGACCCAGAAGCTGTATGCCGGCTCCCTTGGCCAATAAAGCAAGATGAGCGCTGCAACCCCAGAGTCGGTCACGACTGGACCTAATGGTCAGGGGTCCCTTTACCTTTACTTACTTCAGAAAGAAGAAGAATCCCCTCAAAAGCACAGGATAAGCTGGCTGCCACCAAAGTCCATATTAATAGGAACCTCAAGGAGGGAAACGTGAATAAACCACTCAAATTCCTCCTTCTCCTGCAGGAAAATAACACCCCTAGTGATACTTCCCCTTATAAAAGGTTTCCTGGTCCTCTGAAAAGAACCCTTCTATGCTGCATTTTATTTTTATCTATTCCACAATTCTTTCATTACTATTTTATTTTCTGTCTGCTGCACATAATTTAGTCCTTCCCGCAATTCCTTCAACATATAATATCTCCAGATGCCCAAATTGGGAGTTTATTCTTCCAAATCCGATTCATCCCTTAAACTCTTCTTTGCTGCCGGGTTTGCTGTGTCCACATAGATTTTAAAAATAGTTCTTCTTTGGTTACTATTCCTTCTCCTGGCTGCTGATCTACGTACATCCAGAGATTAATCCTCTTCTTTAAAACATCCGTTCTTGTTGTTTTTCACACTGCTGAGCATTGGGGGGGGGGTGTGTGTGTGAAATTTCCTTAGAGACTTCATAAATGAGAACATCGTCCTTTCCTGAGGCAATTGCACCAGGAACAGCTCAGAGCTGGTGCTTTAAAAGTAAAGGGACCCCTGACCATTAGGTCCAGTCATGACCGACTCTGGGGTTGCGGCACTCATCTCGCTTTATTGGCTGAGGGAGCCGGCGTACAGCTTCCGGGTCATGTGGCCAGCATGACTAAGCCGCTTCTGGTGAACCAGAGCAGCGCATGGAAACGCCGTTTACCTTCCCGCCGGAGCGGTACCTATTTATCTACTTGCACTTTGACGTGCTTTCGAACTGCTAGGTTGGCAGGAGCAGGGACTGAGCAATGGGAGCTCACCCCGTCGCGGGGATTCGAACCGCTGACCTTCTGATCGGCAAGTCCTAGGCTCTGTGGTTTAACCTTAGGTAATGATGGAGCTGTTGGCATGAATTAAAAAAAAGGGGGGCAGATAAATAATGAGAAATATATCTGAATTAAAAATGCCATCCATCAAGGCAAGCTGCGGATCATCCGCCAGTAATATATACATATATATGCACCTGTCTCTGTGTTTTTTAATAAGCGCTAACATGATTTTCCCCTCCCTGCAGCTGATGGCGTTTGTGTGTTTAAATGCTTGGTCAACAAAGATACCGAATATTGCCGTGTGGGAAAAGAATCAATCTTGATATCGCTTGGCTATAACAATGCCTTACTTCAATTCAGGTCCCATTCTGGTAAGTAATTGGTGGCATTCATAGTTCTGTACATGTCTCAAGGTTTCTCCCCCTCTCTGTACACTTCCACCCCCCTAAACCAGTAACTTGGGTGCACTTTCTTGTACACTATTTTGCATGCTCCGAGTTCATAAAGGTAAAGGTAAAGGGACCCCTGACCATTAGGTCCAGTCGTGGCCGACTTTGGGGTTGTGGCGCTCATCTCGCTTTATTGGCCGAGGGAGCCGGCGTACAGCTTCCGGGTCACGTGGCCAGCATGACTAAGCCGCTTCTGGTGAACCAGAGCAGCGCACAGAAATGCCATTTACCTTTCCGCCAGAGCGGTACCTATCTACTTGCACTTTGACGTGCTTTTGAACTGCTAGGTTGGCAGGAGCAGGGACCGAGCAACGGGAGCTCACCCTGTCACAGGGATTCGAACCGCCAACCTTCTGATAGGCAAGTCCTAGGCTCTGTGGTTTAATTCACAGCGCCACCCGTGTCCCTCCAAGTTCATAGAACTGTAGAGTTGGAAGAGACCCTGAAGATCAACCAGTCCAAGATATTGAGGCTTGCAGAAGTACAACTAGAGATGGCAAGGCCTGGGGGGAAAGCAGAAAAATTCCCGCCGGGCTCCCAAGGCTTGCAGACAGCAGCCTGCAGCCCGAAACCCGGGGAGCGCAGCGGAGCGCAGCGGAGCGCACCCCGGGCTTCGGGCAGATATCCACAAGCCTTGGGAGCCCAGCGTGACTTCCCGCCAGGCTCCCTAGGCTTGTGGATAGCAGCCTGCATCCCGAAGCCTGGGGCGCGCTGAGCAGCTTGCAAATAGCAGCGGATAGCAGCCTGTTCTGGGGGCTGGGGTCGGGGGAAGCTCGGGCTTTCCCTGCCCCAGCCCCGCGCCTGGAGGGGAAATAAATTTTTTCCCCTTTATTTCCCCCCCAAAAAAAACCTAGGTGCGCCCTATGGGCCGGTGCAAAAAATACGGTAAGTAGTAGTAGATTTTAGGGCGAAAAATACGGCAATTAGTAGATCGATAGCCCTCCTTCTTCTGTCCTGGGACTCAAGGCAGTGGGAAGGAGGGTTCTCAGGGGGTCTCCCATTCTTGCACTGACCAGGCCGGAACCTGCTTAGCTTCAGCAAAGTGGTGCATCATGTTCTTATGTCCTGGATATTGCAGGGTAGATATTAAGGGTTGCTCTTTTGGGCAGCAGACTTTCCCCAGCAGTCAAAGATTCTGGGGTCCAAGTGCCTTGGACAACAGGGCCTTGGGTGCAGACCTTCCAGTTTAGTCCTCAGTCAGAGATTGGGCTTCAACTGCTTTGCATCTTCGACCCAGTTTAAGCTTCTGGTTGAACAAGGCATCTTTGAATAGCAGGGTCTACAATCTTCTGATTGTTTAGAACGAAGTCTGTTTGTAAACTTACTGTGGCGCTTGCCTCCTAGGTGGGTCATAAGGAAAGGGTTAAATGAGTGTGAAGTGATTGGCCTGTGGAAACATAGGGGAGGAGTTAGAGTTAGAGTTGGAGTGTGTGGAAGTCAGTTGAGAGTTGGAGAAGGAAGAGGGAGGAATAGTCTGTGGGTTGTCGAGTTGTGTTGTGAGAGAGTGAGAGGAATTGTTAGGTGGAGTCAGATAGTTGGAATAATCAGTTTGAAGTTGTTAGGAACATTGGGTCAGTAAAGAAACGAAGATTAAGAAACTGCCAAGAAAAATTAACTGAAACCATAAGCTTTTTCATGCTTATAAAAAATAAGCTTGATTATTTGTTAATGTTAACAATTGTCTGGACTCCGTGTGTACCCGAGGGAAATGGGTTGGTGGCAGCGAAGAAAGCAATTACAGTGGTGGCACAATGTCAATACACCGTCAAACGTCCGGGGACCCTGTGTGATCGCCACACTTACCATTGCGTATTACTTGAGAGTTATGTCGATTTAGATTTCCAGACCCCCATTTCACCCGTCTTTCTGGTGGCAAATGGATGCCTGCCCTGAATTCATGCAGAGGACAGAGCTCTCCTCATTCCTTCCATTCCACCATTTAGACAGCTATAAATCCTAGATGGTTGTCTCTGTTTCCCGAAGAACATGTGTGTGGCATCTGAGTTGCATCAAGCAAGCCATAAAATTGGCTGCCAGTGTGTCTTGCGCATATCGCCTTGTCTTTCCCAAACAATGGCCGTCTATTTAGAGCAGCTCATCCGAGGAATATTTTGCCCGCCGGCTCACAGGGGGTACTTGCTGCCATCTTGAGACGAGCACAGTTCAGTTGAAAAACAAGAGGATTGGTGTCAACACTGGTTTCGGAAAGACTGGGTCGAATCTTGCAGCACAGATCTCTTGCTTTTATGCTACTGTGTTGTGGGCATTGGGTTGGCGCCAGAGAAATGCCAGCCTGGGCTGTGGCAAGGGTGGCTGAGAGAGCAGAGGAGGATTTCTAGAGAGCAAGTGGATGCATCTTCTATATGCAGGTCCATGCTATTTTTAAGATTCCCCCCCCTCCACCACCACAGCCCCCTTCACCACAGCACATCTCATTTGGCAGGAGCTGCATGGCTGCTGCACAGGTCGGGTGAGTCAGGCTGCAGAGCGAGGGGGGGCTGATCTTGGTGGATTCCCCAGCTGTACTAGTGACACATAAATCAATGGCAGTCGCAACTCTGCTTTCCTTAAGAGCACTTCAGCCCAGTGAGCTAACCTATCTTAAGGAAGGAACAGGCAGATGAAAGAGCACAGAGTATAATTTGTGGCTTGCTCTTTGCACATTGGGACTCGGGTGGCGCTGTGGGTTAAACCACAGAGCCTAGGACTTGCCGATCAGAAGGCTGGCGGTTCGAATCCCCATAATGGGGTGAGCTCCCATTGCTCGGTCCCTGCTCCTGCCAACCTGGCAGTTTGAAAGCACATCAAGGTGCAAATAGATAAATAGGTACCACTCCGGCAGGAAAGTAAACGGCGTTTCCGTGCGCTGCTCTGGTTCGCCAGAAGCGGCTTAGTCATGCTGGCCACATGACCCAGAAGTTGTACACCGTCTCCCTCAGCCAATAAAGTGAGATGAGCGCCGCAACCCCAAAGTCAGCCATGACTGGACCTAATGGTCAGGGGTCCCTTTACCTTTTTACCTTTGCACATTTAGTTCAGCAGAATGTTACATTATGTTTTGCAGAGGGTAGAGAGCAGCTCAGTGATCGTTCAGTTTCTTTCCTTCCACTGCCTACCATTTCGCATGATGCTGTTTACTTTAATATAAACAGCTGTAGTTTTGCATAGCCAATACCATCCCCCCCCCCCCCAGGTACCCTAGCCAAACCTGCTGTGAATTTGAGTGGCCCGCCTCTCAGGCCTTTGTATTTAATTAAATTCACCGTTTCTGTTTCAGAATATAGCATGTTTTCAAATGTGCTGAAGAACTGCCGGAATTGGAATAAGGAGCACTCCGTGTTCAATCAGAGAACTGAAGAATCCTCTGCAGCTCAATATTTTCAGGTAGAGGTCCATTGCATCACAAACCTAGAAGAGGTAAATTCATTACTTTCCCTGTGTTTCTGCACTTCCTGCTCAGAGCTGGTTTCTGCAGCCGTGACTTTGCCCTTCTTGTGTGAAGTGCAGCAGGCAAGGGGGGAAGGGCACAATTTTATATATTTGTTCCTGTTTTTCCTGTTTAGTTTTATGGCTGCTTATCCCAGCAACAGAACATGATGCAGGATTTTGTGAGGACGGCCACATATCACAGAGCAATACTACAGAACCATATAGATTTTAAGGATAAGGTAAGCCCTGTTAAAAGTCTGCCCACCCCAATTCTCTCTCCCTCTCCCTGTAAAATATTGAATTTTCCATTATAACAGACATTGCAACAAGCCAAAACCACAAAACTACCGAAGAAAAACCAAACAGAAAAGATTACAGAAGGAATACAGGAAGAAGACAATGTTACATGTTAAATAAGCATCCTTAGATAAGGGATAGAAGACAAAATGATTATTGTAAAAAAGGATCAGTCTTGTATTAGTTGGCCATGTTTTCTGGATAGGTGTGTCTTACTCTTTGTGGCTTAATTCTGGAACCGAATAATCAGTTATGTTGGCATTTTAAATATTTGCACTGGCCCACCTGCCTACAGTCTTGTTCATACTATTGTTATAATTAGAGATGGGAGCCAAATTCAGTTTAGTTTGCATCTAAATGTGAGCCTTCCTAATGTGTAGTTCCCAGTACAATACACAACCAAAACACAGACCTCTTTTATTTTTCATTTATGTATTACATTTATAGACCACCTTTATCTTCCAAGGAGCTCAAAGTGGTGTATGTGGTTCTCCTCCTCCCCATTTCAGCCTCACAACAACCCTGTGAGGCAGATTAGGCGAAGAGATGGTGACTGACTCCAAGGTCATCCAGTGACTTTTGTAGCTAAGTGGGGTTTCAAACCCTGCTCTCTCCCCGGCCCTAGTCCAACACTCTAACCATTATGCCATTTCCCCCAATTCTGCAGTGCAGTTTGCCAGGCAAATAATACGCACAGAAATGCATGTACTGCCATAAAGTGTCCATTAGTGGAAAATAACATACATAAATGCATTATATTCTTGAAAACTGCCTTGCAAAAATTTATATAGGAGGCAAAATTGCTTACGAAGAAGAAATGCTTGTGAATTTTCACTCCTTTTAAAAATGGCAAGCTATGTGGAATTGTGGAGAAGTGAACTTTAGATTGGAAAATGAGAAACATAGGAAAACTGAAATGGACAGATTTTGCCCATCCCTACTTATAATTTAGACATATGTTTGAACCTATTGCCATTCAGTGAGCGCAGGATCTGCTCTGACCTCCAGGAGCTCCCCAGGATCTCAGGCTCAGATCTCTACCAGCCTGAAGATATTTTTCACAAGAAACAGGCATCTTCTTCTGCGCGCAAAGCTTGTCTTCTGCCCCCCCGGCTACAGCCCCTTCCTTTCCCAAGGGCTGCCCTAGGAGACGTGTCCAGCACAGAAAGGGATGGATCCTGGATCTCTGTGAGCCCCACAGCCTCCCGTCAGGGGCCAGAAAACGGCTCTCCTCAACTCTTCCCCAAGTCAATAGACGGGAAGCATCGTTGAAGTCAGAATCTTTAAACATACAGGAAAACGAAACCTCACAGTTTCTTTGAAGGCTCCTTCTGCCGTTGCCCACCTCTGAGGAATTTTTGACAGTATCATGATCTGCTGTTTCCTATGTTCTTATATTACTTGGCTAAGAAATCGGTTTGGTTTGGTTCTTGTTTTTTGATCTTCATTATTAACTCCCACCCATATCTGCATTTTTTATTTTTAAAAGCCTGACAGTATCACAACTGCTCTGTGGGGTTAATGGTTTCAAGCACACAAACGGATTGAAACGGGCTGTTGCAGTTTTCCGTCGGTGATATAAAAGAGAGCTCATTCGATCCTGTAGTAGGAACTGAAAATAAGATCGCCGTGTTTGCAAGTTTGAGTATCCCCTGAATCTCTGTACCTTGGTTCTCAAACTTCATCCATTCCAGAAGTCCGTTCCAAAACCAAGGCATTCCAAAACCAAGGCACACTTTCCCATAGAAAGTAATGCAAAACAAATTAATCTGTTCCAGATTTTTAAAAACAACCCCTGAAACAGCCATTTAACATGAATTTTACTATCTAACAAGACCATTTCCATAAAATGAAAGCAATAATCAAGGTACTGTTCTATAAAATAAAGAAGGCAGCATTGTAGATGATAAAAATAAAAAAAGCATTTTTTTCTTTACCTGCACTGATGACAGTCATTGTTTGGATGGGGGGCTTTTATCCATTTCTGCAGTCACACAATCAATCAATCAATAGCTGAACTGGGTTCCACACAGTCACAAAAACAAATTAATTGAAAAAGCCTCAAAAACAAAAACGCGAAAATGAACAGCAGAAACAAAAGTGCCAAACTTAATCTGTTCTGGAAGTTTGTTTGACTTCCGAAATATTTGAAAACCAAGGCACGGCTTCTGATTGGTGCAGGCGCCCCGGAAACAATAGCTGACAGCTGCGTCAGACACCCAGCTTCCGAAAAACCGGAAACACTTGCAGGTTTTCAGCGTTTGAGAACCAAGGTACCACTGTAACAAAATTGCAGTGATTATAGTTGGAGCTGCGGAAATGCAACAGGATTATTTTCATTAGACTAGACTCGTTTTTATCAAAAGTACACTTTAAGACTGGCATGTGGCACATGGTTTCCACGGTAACATTAATTTTCTGGCGCATGAGGAGAAATTAGTCCTTTATTGCTTTGGGTTTCTCGTTTGGTCTTGAACCAACCTAATGACTCGCTTTTTAAGGCCATTAACTCAGCCCTGCTGTCAACTTTTATGAGGAACCAAACTAGAACATTCTGCATGTCAGAAACACATCCCAACACACGCCCCCCAAACAGAGCCAGTTGTATTCTTGGTGATTTACCACTTTACAAATTTTATTGCTCTTTCCTAGGGAGGTGCAAGCAATTAAGTGGCATTCTGAGATGCTGCCAGAAATTTTGCAGCAGTCACTTGAAGCTTATAATGTGGCTTTATTACATAAGTTAGATCCATTTAATGACCAGTTTGGCTTTAGCGGTTTTCAGAATTAAGCAATTTTCTGTTTAAATTTGATTTACCATGTTTGTATCAGAACAACTGTGTGTGTGTGTGTGTGTGTGTGTGTGTATATATATATATATATATATATATATATATATATATATTATGGAAAGGTGTACTTTGATACTGTTGGGTTTTGTTGTAAAACTTGATTGTGCACATCACAACCAGAAGCACACTTCCTCTTCAAAGAAAATGGATGCTTGGCTTAAAGAAATACTATATAGTATTGTAAAAATATATACTATTATAGCTTTTTTGTGTATACCAGAAGGTTTTCCCCCAGGTTGTGGCCCATATAGCAAGGAAAGAATACCTTGGGATCCCTTCTAGAGTGGAAAATCTTCATTATGGAAAGCATTTATCTCTTGTGTCCTCCAGCACACTCCTTTAAATCTTTCTTCAGGTGAACAGATCTGGCCACCTAAGCCAGTTCATCTGCTTTTCCCTGATTCTGCACCATTCAAGAATCTAATAGGCTCAGCTGAGTGTGTTTTATATTTAGTGAATGCAATAAATTTAAATCTTGGATCACAAACAGAGATTATTTCTCCCCTTCTTTTGTTTCAAGGTGATCCTAGATGTTGGCTGTGGGTCAGGAATCCTTTCGTTTTTTGCTGTGCAGGCTGGAGCGAGAAAAGTCTATGCAGTGGAAGCCAGCTCTGTGGCCAAATATGCTGAGGTGAGCACATTGGGTTGGGTCCCATGGCTGAATGAGTTTGGCACGCTTTGCTGTGCGCAAGAGAAACAAGATCTGCATTGGTGTGCTGCAAATTGAGAAGGGCCAGCAGTTTGAGTTGCTGCTGCCCATGAAGTGCTGCTTCTGTGCAATCCTTATTATTCACTCCTCTTTGTTTTGGGGTGGAGCCTAGATTTGCTTTCATTTCAAGACCTCTGTTACCAGGGGAGGGCAGTTCTCTCCCTCCCTCAAGGTCTTTAAGCAGAGGTTAGGCAGCCATTTTTCATCTCCGCCAAGCTAAGCAGTTGGCTCCTTACCTCTCTCGCCCTGACCTAGCCATTGTGATCCACGTGACGGTCATCTCCAGACTGGATTATTGTAACTCGCTCTACGTGGGGCTGCCCTTGAGACTGACCCAGAAACTCCAGCGGGTGCAGAATGCCGCAGCGAGACTCCTTACGGGGTCCTCGCTGCGAGATCACATTCACCCGGTGCTATACGAGCTGCACTGGCTCCCGGTGGAGTACAGGATCAGGTTTAAGGTGCTGGTTTTAACCTTTAAAGCCCTATACGGCCTAGGACCCTCGTACCTACGGGACCGCCTCTCCTGGTATGTCCCACAGAGGAACTTACGATCTTCAAACAAAAACATCTTGGAGGTCCCAGGCCACAGAGAGGTTAGGCTGGCCTCAACCAGAGCCAGGGCTTTTTCGGCTGTGGCTCCGATCTGGTGGAACGCTCTGCCACAAGAGACTAGGGCCCTGTGGGACTTGACATCTTTTCGCAGGGCCAGCAAGACAGAGCTGTTCCACCAAGCCTTTGGCCAGGGCACAGCCTGACTCCCTCCTTTGGCAATCTTCACAGAATGATTTAGAATGTTGTATTATTTTATTGTTGTTAGCCGCCCTGAGCCTGGCTTCAGCTGGGGAGGGCGGGATATAAATAAAAAATTATTATTATTATTATTAGTGGCAGATCCTCCAGCTCTGGATTTCCTTCCTGGATCAAGCAGTTGGGATGGATGGTCTTGAAAGCCCCTTCCCTCCAGCTCTGATTCTGGTTCCTTAGTCCAGGGACTGAAGAACTTTTTTAGTGGTACGCGGATGGCACTGTGGTCTAAACCACTGAGCCTCTTGGGCTTGCCAATTGGAAGGTTGACGGTCCAAATCCGCATGACAGGATGAGCTCCTGTTGCTCTGTCCCAGCTCCTGCCAACTTAGCAGTTCGAAAGCACACCAGTGCAAGTAGATAAAAAGGTACCTCTGCGGTGGGAAGGTAAATGGCATATCCGTGCTCTCTGGTTTTCGTCACGGTGTTCTATTGTGCCAGAAGCGGCTTAGTCCTGCTGGCCCCATGACCCAGAAAAGGTGTCTGCAGACAAACACCGGCTCCCTCGGCCCAAAAGGCAAGATGGACACTGCAACCCCATAGTTGCTTTTGACTGGACTTAACCATCCAGGGGTCCTTTACCTTTTAACTTTACCTTTTCTTTAGTCCAGGAGTCCCAGTTCTGTTTTCAGAGAGGTGCAGGGAAGGGGAACAGACAGAAGCAGCAGAGAAGAGACAAGAAGAGTTCAGAGATATTTTTTAAAAAATAATTTTGTCAATTGTGTGTCTTGGCTTCTCAGTTGTATTGTGTTATTTTATGCACTGTGACTCGCTGTTAATTTCATTGATTATAGTTTAGAAATTATTTATTGCTATTAAGAGTGAATTTCTGTTTAATTATCATTTGCTGATATTTAATTTTATTGTGTGCTATTATATTCTAATGGATTGTTGAATATTACTTTTATTTGATATAAGTTGTTTATTTAAAGCTACGTTTTTATAGTGGCATTTCTGTATTGGATCAGATTATTATAAGGTGTGTGATCTTTGCTGCTGCTTCGGCCTTTAAACTGCCTTGTGTGCAGTAATATAGAAAGGCCGTATACAGATTAAAAGTGAAATGAAAGGTAGACAGTCAGCCCACCAGTCTGTAAAACAACCCATACAACAGATGCAAATCTGGAAGGGTCATGTGTCTCCCATAGCAAATGTAACTGAAATTTTACAAAGAGCTGCTTTGACAAGTCTGTTCAGTGGGAAAGTCCACTGAAGATGCAAATGTTTCACTGAATTAGTCCTAGTCAACAAGTTGCATATGGTTCAATAATGTAAAAAACTAAATTTATTTAGAACCTCCCATTACATGACTATGATATTTTTGCTGTACCCGAAACCCAGTGAAAGCATTGCGGTCTGAAGCACTGATATTGGATGCCACAACCAGGCAGCTGACTCTCCTGGTCTTTGATGGACTTAATAACATCAACCAGGAATGAGTGACATGTCCCCCAGTTGGGGGTCTCCTGGGTCATCCCCAACAACTTTCTTTGGGAAACGAATGATGTCTTTATTGCCAGTTTTGTAGACCAGCCCAGTAGGGACAAATCAGTAGACTGAAAAGTTACACAAATCTGGAGTTTAGGAATGGGAAGAACTGAAATCTGCACGTAGTGGTTACTGCCTTTCCCTTTTTAAAAAAGCTATACAGTGGTACCTCAGGTTACATACGCTTCAGGTTACAGACTCCGCTAACCCAGAAATAGTGCTTCAGGTTAAGAACTTTGCTTCAGGATGAGAACAGAAATCAGGCTCCGGCGGCGCAGCAGCAGCAGGAGGCCCCATTAGCTAAAGTGGTCTTTCAGGTTAAGAACAGTTTCAGGTTAAGTACGGACCTCGGGAACGAATTAAGTACTTAACCTAAGGTACCACTGTATATAGATGCCATTCAATTAAATGGCTCTGCTGTTTATCCAAAACTCTGGATATCTTAATATATTGGCTGTTCCCGAAGTTATATGGACTGTAATAGAATGCAAAATAATTTGGATTAGATTTAAAATTATGTGCTGTGTTGTCATGTCACAGACATCATTTGGTTCAACATAGAAAATTATAAATGACCAGCTGGTGTTTTTAGTTCAGTGTGCCAAGTTTTCTCCTGCACGACTCCCTAATTTAGACTTACAGTTGAAATGCTGCGATCCTAAACTCAGTTGGAAATGTGCTCTACTGAAACAAATGGGGTGTTTCAGACAAACGTGTTTAGGGCTGAGATTTCAGCTACTTGTATAAAGATTAAGTAAGAATTTTGTGTCGAGCTGAAGGGAGTTTATGGCGAGCACTTGAACAAACAGGACATGGGAGCAGCTATGCGTGAGGAACAGTTGTCTATGGGGAAGAGGTCAACTTGCGCTGGGGATCATTAGAAATAAAAAATTGGCCCTTGAGGAATACAGAGGCTGTTAGGAATACAGAGGAATATCTGAGGCTGGTGGAGGCGGGGATCAATATAGGAGCCTTTATTTTCCAAAGAGGCCCCAAAACAAGAAGTGATCGTTCTTATAGATGCTAATGTCATTGTGGATGAGGGTTGAGGATGAGGGTTTCTACTGAACAAAAGGTGAAATTTGGAGAAAGAAAAGGGAATTAAGTTGCTAGTTTTGTTCTGTTAAGCCTCTTTTTCAGAGTAGTCTTCTTGATTTAATATATTTCATCTCCCTTCCTTCACCACATTGACCTAGTTTACGTGATCGAATCCCGTCTTAATAAGACAGTGCCTGTGTACGCAAACTAAGTCCCCACCCACAGCTCCTTTGCTCTTTCCTTCCATGTGTGTGAGGAACACACATCGTGGTAAACTCTCGTACTTCCTAGTCACCCCCATCTGCCCCCAGATTATAGGAGCTCCCAGAAGAGAGTCTCTGAAGATGACTTTAGGACACAGACATATTTGTTCAAGAGATGGTGCTCCTTCAGGTAGGACCACTCTGTCAGAGATTGTGCAGTGCAATGGGCTGCATCCAATCAATGCCCAATAATAATAATAATAATAATAATTTTTTATTTATACCCCGCCCTCCCCAGCCAAGGCTGGGCCCAGGGTGGCTAACAAGCAATAATAAAAACAAGTTGAATGAATACAACTTAAAAACAAAATTAAAATACAACATTAAAATATTGAAACATTAAAATATTAAAATATTAGTTGCTCTGCATTTTATTTCCATTGAACAACAAGTGAAAATGATGGAGGATCATGGCTCAGGTCAATCACAATTACTAGAAGCTCACAAGATCAGGTAGTAGAAGCCATTCTTGGCATGGGCCAACTCCTTCAACACCAGTTGGAAAAGATCGAGATTTGTTTGTAAGTCCACTAAAATTGCCAGGTCTGTACACCAGAAACAGTCCACACTGGGCTACATCCCAAGAGAAAGAGGAGGGGAGGAGGGTCACATAACGCCGTAGTCCTTGGGTGGCCCATCTGGCAGTCATAGGATTAATGGTTCCAAGTGCATCGTCATGCCAGATAAAATAACCAATTTCTAGCTGCTTTATGAAGCACTACAAAAAGCAATATTTTCCCAGCCTCTGCATTTCAACATCTGATGAGATTTTCTAGTTTGTTTCCCTCATCCGAAGCAAATTCTTTAAAAGTCTGTGGCCTTGTTTCAGCAAGTGACTCGGCTGCAATCATAATCCTTAAAATCTTGAGCCTTTTAAACTGAAATGCGTTGAATTTTGTCTGCTTAAGGTCAGGCATGTGATCAAACTGCTTCAGTGCTATTTTATTGGAGTACGGTGCTTCTCTACCTTGTTTTGCCTGTCAGTAAAATAGATACTGCTCTGGAAATTCTGGTTAAGGGCAGGTAAGAAATAATAAGAATAAAAATAATAATAGGTTGTGGTTTGTTTGTTTTTTATATTAATTAGTCACTTATTACCCCAGGCTTTTAGCCAATGTACAACGTAAAATGTACAACAAAAATGGAAACACAAATAAAACAACAAATGATCAAAACAGATAAACTACAACATCAACATTGTATTTGTTTTTAGCAGCTGTGGAAGGAAACACAACGGCAAAGGTGGCTTAAGGCATTCTTCTTGTGGGCTTCTACAGATGTAATTTGCCTACTTGATACCCCCTCGTATTAGGAGATTTGAGTGTTAGAAACTCAGATACATAAGCTAGATGCCAAACGGCTCCTTCAACCAGGGTTAAAGGTAAAGGGACCCCTGACCATTAGGTCCAGTCGTGGCTGACTCTGAGGTTGCGGTGCTCATCTCGCCACAGAGACTTGCTGATCAGAAGGTCGTGGTTCAAATCCCCGCAACGGGGTGAGCTCCCGTTGCTCGGTCCCTGCTCCTGCCAACCTAGCAGTTCGAAAGCAAGTCAAAGTGCAAGTAGATAAATAGGTACCGCTCTGGCGGGAAGGTAAACGGCGTTTCCGTGTGCTGCTCTGGCTCGCCCGAAGCGGCTTAGTCATGCTGGCCACATGACCCGGAAGCTGTACGCCGGCTCCCTCAGCCAATAAAGCGAGATGAGCGCCGCAACCCCAGAGTCAGCCACAACTGGACCTAATGGTCAGGGGTCCCTTTACCATTATATACAGCGTGCTTACATTCTGCATGGACTGGTTGCATGGCAACGTGTGCAAGTGGCTTGAGATACCATAAATGACCATATAGCATATATTCAACACAAAAAAAACAGCGACATTTTGTTGTTGACAAAGGACAGCTGGACATAGAAAGGGCCCCATTACCTTCAGGAGCTGAGGGCCTCATCAAACCTCAATACGGCCCTGCACCTGGGCATCTTCACGTGGTCTCAAGGGGGTCATAGGTGCAAAATGCGCCTGGTGCCTGGCTAATTTCAAACGCTGGGAGATCTGGGGAGAGGTGTCATCAGTACACAGATGATACTAGCGCTGCTTCTCTGTTAACATTCCATTGATCACGGCTTTCTGCCGGTGAGAGGCTTCTGCAGGTGCCATCATATCTAGATGTCCTTTCTTCAGGGTCTTCAGTACTGTGGCACCTGCCTTTTGAAATTCCTCGTCTTGAATATTTGACAGGGGCCGCCTGTTGTCTTCTGGAGGCCTACGGAAGACCTTCCTCCTTCAACCAGCCATTTAGGTTGAGATCCTTCCTGATCCACATCTGCATTGTAATTGTTTTTATCGCCTTATCACTTGTTTGCCATCCTGAGCTCCTTTGGGTGGGATAATAATAATAATAATAATTTATTATTTATACCCCGCCCATCTGGCTGGGTTTCCCCAGCCACTCTGGGCTGTAAATCAAATAAAGAACTATTGAATAAATACATAGTATTTATAGATGAAAGAAGCTAATGCAGTTTGGTTGTGTGTGTTTTTTATGCCTCCTCGTTACAGATTCTAGTACAAAGTAATAATCTCTCTGATAAGATCAGCGTTTTGACGGGGAAAATTGAGGAAATCTCCTTGCCTGAGAATGTTGACGTCATTGTTTCTGAGCCAATGGGTTATATGCTGTTCAACGAGAGAATGTTGGAAAGTTACCTCCACTCCAAGAAGTGGCTGAAGTCAAATGGTGAGTCTGTGTTCCACAGGAACGAACTGGAGGAAATAAGAATTTACCAATTTGGATCAGAGTAGTGGTGATTTCGTAGGGTCTTTGGGATACAACCCCCCGCCTCCCACCACTGTCAGAGCTCATGTTAGCGTCTTTCTGGCATATTTAATATTCCTGATTGCTTCTCGATTCATGCCTTATATCCTCCACAATAAGCTCAACGCAATAACCCACAGATGAGACCATGCATCACCAAGGAGCTCTGTTTCCACTTTTGTCTCCAAATAGTCTTGGACTCCCTGCTAGAGAGAATCCCTGACTCAAGTCTGCTAAGAGACAGCTGAATTAATATTAGAAGCACTCTGAAACTTTCAAGATGATTTCATTCTAAAACAACTTTTGTCTTGCGGAGCATCTGGACTAGGGAAATGACAGGATGGGAAAAATTTACAGCCCATTTAAATTAAAAGGGGGGGCTTCTCTACAGAGCACCTGTTTAGAATGCTTTGTAGAGAATGTCTGGACAATTATGTCTGGACTTTGCAAAAACAAAACTAGCATAAACTAAGAGGGAGTTGGGTGCAGCGTGGAATAGGAAAGTCTGGCAAGATGTTTGACTTTATGCCAAATCTTCCTCGGGATGCAGCAAATATCTCTCTTAGCCTATATGTTCAGATTCTTTGTCCTCCTCCGGTGGTACACTTTGCTGCTTTAAAAGTTAGTGTTTCTTATTGTAATAGATGTTTAGTTCTTAATCTCTGTGCTTCTGATTCAAATCCTGCTTTAATGGCAATGCCGTTTGTACTAATGTTAAGTCTTTTTTGTTCATGATATAAATGCAATGGATTTATATGATTTCTGTTTATAAAGCATTTTAAATCTATGCACTGTGAGATTGCTATCATGAAACAATTTACTCTAAATGAATACTGAATTCAGTGACTACTTGGGAGTAAAGAGTTTTAGGATTTCAGTCTGTAACCTCTACATTCTTTACAATGGCATTGCCTTATGACAATGCTACTCCCCATCTCAAACTGTGTTTGCAGAAATGGAACAATTTTCCTCCTAGCTAACATTGTATTATTTGTTAAGTAGAAGTATAATTTCCTGTACATTTCCTGCATCTTCTTCATAGGCTAGTTCATTTCTGCATTGCCAGGTGCACTGGTTTTAACCAATTCACTTATAAAAATGTATTATCCGGACTTATTTCCATAGTTGTTGGGTAGGTTAAGACCTTATTTAATGGAGGTATGGATGACTGATTCCTTGTCCTTCTCTGTTTGCAGTACAAGTCTGTAATGTGCTCATGCTTGTGTGTTTTGCATTAGATAGTCTGTGAAATGGGCATAAGGTCTGTAAAATGTTTTGCAGTCTTTTGATATCATCGATAAACACACAGCATCATTACCAGTTCCTTTATATTGTCAGCCTTGAAGTATGTTTAGTGAACATCTGAAACTGTTGATGGTTTGTTTAGTGGCAATGTATTAACAATTATAGGTTGAGTCTGTAGATAGTTGTTCAGAAATATTATCCTTTTCCTCCAGCTGTAGAAGATGAATGAGGATATAATATTGCCTTTGATTTTAAGGAAGAAATTATTTAAATAGCTAATCACAAATGAGTTAAAAACTGCAAGGTTTTATCACTCATGGCAGCATATTTGACTTGCCGTCTTAAGTTCTTTATTGTTGCTAATGGGCTTACTGAAATGTGATCAAGAATTAGAGCATAAATTATTATCCACTCCGGAATTATAAAGAGATAAACTGTTTGAGATGGAGAGTGGATGATGTTTACTGGATGTTTCCAACAAATGTTTAAGTAGGGCTACACAGAAGATTTGAACTTTGCTACTGTATATTATCTTTTGTTCACTAGGAATGATGTTTCCAACATTTAGTGACATTCATTTGGCTCCTTTTTCCGATGAACAGCTCTACATGGAACACTACTCCAGAGCCAATTTTTGGTAATGATTATTTCACTTTTTTCAAAAAAAAAAAAAAAAAAAAAGGAAAGGAAAAGAAAATGTCTTTTGCTCTGCAGCATAACAGAGGTCTCAAAATGAAACTGCTTCTTGGAATCACAATGCAGTGGTGAATTGTATCTGTCAAAAGAAACTTCCTAATTTCCTAACCCATTTCTGTTTTGTTGATCTGCAACTGTGGCGCTTACAGCTGATTCGTGTGGCCATGTTGTTTGTGCATTGATAACTGTTCTCATGTGGTGGCTTGGCACTTCGAAGCGTTCGTCGTGTGGTGGCTCTTCACTTGATGGCGTTTTCATTACGAAGCAGAGGCAGGACCTGTCTAGGAAAGAGATGAGATTATTTTATGATTATGATGAGATTATCTCCGCAAATATAGCCTACAACAGGATACACGGTACCATGCAGTCCTGCTCCAAGCAGAGAGATAGATGGGATGAGAGAACTCTTTGCCCTGCATTCCATGAGTGGCGGATTTCTGTATAAGCTAAGCCAAAATCCCTTATTTTGGCTGCTGATCCCTTATTTTCGAGGCTGCTGGTCCCTTATTTTCAAATCTGTAAGTTGACAGCTATGGAGATTTGACCTAATCTTTCCTCCCCTTTCCCATACCATAAGATCTAATTTAACTCTGTGTGCCATCACACTGTACATTGCTCCTCTTTCCCAACCTATTATGTAAAATTGGGGGGGGGGGGGAGGCAGGAGTTTGAGGCAACATGCTATGCAGTAGCATTTTCTAAAATGTTTTAAATCAGACATTACAAGGGGGCTGTAGGGAAGATGCACAGTGGCGAGAGCTTCATATCGCTTGTGAAATCTAGTATATCCTCTGTGACCTCCTCTGTGACCTTCTCTGGAATATCCTCTGTGACCTCCGTATACATTGGTTGCCCACTTTCTGCTTTGCAATTTCCCATTTCTTGCACTTTTCCTTGTAATGGAAAACACAGCAGGCTAATGCAGATGGAACCAAAAGCTGCTGTAAAATGAATTGAGCCACTGTTTATTATTAGATCATGCAGATTTTTCTTCCATTTCTACCTGAGGATCTGGTTGAATTGGTCAGATTTGCGTTTGCTCCATCAGAAGAGAGGTTGTGATTTATGAAATGCTAATCCACGGGGTTTTGAAATCCTGCTTGTGTGGTGAGGAACCTATGGCCCTCCAGATATTGCTAGACCACCCCTCCTGCCAGCCCCAGCCAGCTTGGCCAATGGCCAGGGGTCATGGAAACTGTAATCCAACAACATCTGGGAGATGCTGTGGTTATCCTACATGGAGACAATGATTTGTCATTCCTGCTTTGAACCATTCATCATTAACTAATACACTGAACTGGAACTACAATATTCTATTTTATGCAAAAAGTAAGGTAGTCATGGGACACGGGTGGCGCTGTGGGTTAAACCACAGAGCCTAGGACTTGCTGATCAGAAGGTCGGCGGTTCAAATCCCCGGGTGAGCTCCCGTTGTCCGGTCCTTGCTCCTGCGAACCTAGCAGTCTGAAAGCACGTCAAAATGCAAGTAGTTAAATAGGTACCGCTCCGGCAGGAAGGTAAACGGTGTTTCCATGCGCTGCTCTGGTTCACCAGAAGCTGCTTAGTCATGCTGGCCACATGACCCAGAAGCTGTACGCCGGCTCCCTCGGCCAATAAAGCGAGATGAGCGCCGCAACCTCAGAGTCGTCCGCGACTGGACCTAATGGTCAGGGGTCCCTTTACCTTTACCTAAAGGTAGTCATGCTGGTCCATAGAAAACAATCCAAATCCCATATTAGGACAGTATCTGTTGGGCCAACAAAATGTCACAAAAAAGAAAAAGAGCCAAAGGGGGAGAAGAGGAAAGAAGAAATACAGGTGGTCAAACACATGTTTCTCCTTCCCAAGAAGCCTTGACGCAGCAGCCTCTCACCTGCATAGCATCTAAAGGAGCCTCATTTTGAATGTTTGTTACCTCCTCTTGGCAGACTCTGATGGGTTGGCCATCATCCATTCTTTCCCCTCTCTTCTTGCCCCGTGTGTGTGTGTGTGTGTGTGTTTTAACATGTAGCCTGATGAAGATTTCTGGAGAACTTGAAATCTTTCACACTGTTTTGTGGCATTTTGGTTGACCTATAAAGTGCTGCTTTAATTTGAATTTGGGGATTGCATTTTATGTTCATTCAAACTGACGTTTGCTTCTGGATGCATCCAAGTGGCAGACGATGACATGTGCAGGCAAGCTCCAGAGATGACTCCTGCTGTGTGCATGTTGGTTATCTTTGGTGGTCATCCCATAGTAGTGCAGACAAGCAGGGCTTCCTTGTGGGAGGAGGAAGCCATTGGCACTTAGCGTTTGCATCGGCCTTGGGTGCCAATTGCTGTGTTCACTGGCAGAAGAGGACACAAGCCGCTGGAGGGTGTGTTGTTTGTGGAACTGAACCTGCATCTGTTGGTTTCAGCACCACCATGTGGCTGCCCCTTCATAGACCCAACTTAGACTTATTTATACTCAAAGCTTGCTTTCTGCACTGGTGGGTTTGCAAAACTTGTCTTCCGTATGAGCTGTTTTTCTCCATCTTTATCATTCTTTCTATTTCCAGTTCCTGTAATAACAAAGATAAGCTGAAATGGAATGGTGCCAGCCCATCATTTTGTCGTTTTGTGTGTGCACCGTTTCTGTGTCCCAGCAAGCCAAATAAGCAACTCAGATATTTGTTGCATAGGGATAGTTCATGCTTCGTAATCCTAATGAGCAGTCTGAGGCAGAAGCACAACAGTTTCATTGTAAGCTTTGGCAGGTTAGAAGCCTCTCTGGTAGTATCAACGCATTGTGCCGTCTTGTGGCCTTTGGGTCTTCAGCTGGAGAAAATGTGAGACTTGGATTTCACAGGGTTATTTTTAAACAAGTAAAGATTTTGTAAGAAAGTGAGAGAGACTTCACCATTGGTTTTGCCTGCGTTTTGAGTATGTTCTTAACATTTATACAGTGGTACCTCAGGTTACATACACTTCAGGTTACATACGCTTCAGGTTACAGTCTCCGCTAACCCAGAAATGGTGCTTCAGGTTAAGAACTTTGCTTCAGGATGAGAACAGAAATTGTGCTCCGGCAGCGCAGCAGCAGCAGGAGGCCCCATTAGCTAAAGTGGTGCTTCAGGTTAAGAACAGTTTCAGGTTAAGTACGGACCTCGGGAACGAATTAAGTACTTAACCTGAGGTACCACTGTACTGGCAGGGATGAAATCTTCTTACTCCTGCCCTTAAGGAAAGTAACTTACATTGATGTACAGTACAGTGGTACTTCTGGTTACGAACGGGATCCGTTCCAGAGGCCTGGCCGTATCCCGAAAATTTCATAACCAGAGGACTGCTTCTGCGCACGCGTGCAGCGCCACAGAGCACTTCTGTGCATGCGCGAGTGGCAAACCCGCTTCCAGGGTTGCCACATTTGCAACCCGAAGATTACGTTACACGAGGGTTCACTGTCTTAGGCATTTGTAGCTACCAGAGAGTAATGAGACATGTATTTTATTAGCAAAGAAACAAAGTCAGAAAGCCCTTACTCCATTCGTTTTCAGAAAGCCAATGAAAGCCATGATACTATCTACGTGTCTCGTTACGAGGTCAGAACGAGATTTGGACAATTTGCAGGAGAGGTACCAAACTGAAATGTAGAAAATGTGGGTTTGCAGGAAAATCGTGTTTTTTTGCAGATTTTCTCCCTGAACCAGATGAACATGACAAAGGAGAATGGCCTGATGTAAATAAAGGCTCCTGGAACCTCCTTAGCTATTAATTCTGAGGTTTGGATGGCCATCTGTCATGGATGCTTTAGTTAAGATGCATACATCGCAGGGGGTTGGAATAGATGACCGTTGGGGTCCCTTCCAACTCTGTGGTTCTGTGATTCTAAGATTCTATGGAGTGTATCGAGTTTCACCTGATTTTAGCCATACTGCTCCATTTTCCCAGGTTTGGGACAGAGCTAGATGTTGTACAAACTTTTGCTAAATCTTTCAGAAAGTGGTGCCAACTGCAACACCACATGGTGAATTTGCACTCCTGGTGATCTCCACAGCAACATTTGTTTACCCCAATGGGGGTTTTGTTTTGTTTTTTAAATCCCAGGTATGTTATAATTTCTTATCCATTGAAGACAACAGAGATCAGATTCAATCAGATTTGAGTTAAATATTTGTCCAGACGTCATAGGGCTGTGCAGTGATGACTCCTGTCACTTGGCGCCTCTGTATATTCTGCTCTTTTGCACTGAGTAGTGACTGTAAATGTCCAAGGCATCAGCTTTTCAATCCCACGAGTGGTCAGTTCTGTTTTTAAGACAAGAATGTTGACTTAGATGTGTTCTAAGAGCTGCTCTCCTTTCCTTTCTGGATATAATTTCTGTGTTGGGAAAAGGAGGGACATCCTTCATGCACTGCCTGGTTGGATGCCAGGCATGCGTTTGACTTGCGTCTTGAAGTATGTTTGACCGGGTGTTTGCTGCTTGATTTGACTGTGGAAAAGCGGCCAAGGCCAGCGGGAGTGGGGAACCTTTTGCCCTTTCCTTTGCCCCTGAAAGTCCGTCAGGGACCAGGTACCAAGTGTTTGCCAGCCCTGCAGGATGATGCTACCATGTGCTTTTGCTGTCTTTCACGCAGCATCTCTCTCTCTGCCACCACATCACTTCAGGCCTCGCGACACAAAGGCAAGAATGGCGGCTTCTCCAAACCAGGCTTAGGCTGTGTTTTTCCCTTTTTTGTATTTTGGATTCTTATAGCACTACCAGCTCCCTTTAAATCTTTCTTAGCTGTGTGATGTACATCAGTAGCTATTATTATTATTATTAGTTCAATCTACAGTGGTACCTCGGGTTACATACGCTTCAGGTTACATACGCTTCAGGTTACAGACTCCGCTAACCCAGAAATAGTGCTTCAGGTTAAGAACTTTGCTTCAGGATAAGAACAGAAATCTTTTTTTTTTAAAATGATATTTATTAAAGTTTCAAAAAATACAGGAAAATACAGAATACAGAAAAAAAGTATAAAGTTTTTAAGATATGACAAAAAAGTAAAGAATAAAAAGAAACATACAAAATAAAACAGTTAAAAACACGTTAATTTTCCATAACCTATCTTCCTTGCACTTATTTCCCCGGACCTCCTCGTACCTCCCTTTTTTGTATTCCAGTTCAATTTGTTAGTTCAGCAAATCCTTACCATTAAGCTTTTACCCATTTGTAAGCCTTTTTTCGTATCTCTCAGGATAAGAACAGAAATCTTGCTCTGGCGGTGCGGCGGCAGCAGGAGGCCCCATTAGCTAAAGTGGTGCTTCAGGTTAAGAACAGTTTCAGGTTAAGAATGGACCTCCGGAACGAATTAAGTACTTAACCCGAGGTACCACTGTATATACTGCCCTTTAACCAAGGATCCCAGGACGGTGTACAACATTAAAAACATAATTTACGTGGCATAACAACAACAACAACAGAACAATCACAGAAAATTTCGTGATAACAATCCTTCCACATTTAAAATGACACAGACTGTTTAATAGCCAAAGGCCTGGGTAAAGAGGATTTTTCCACGTGGCACCTAAAGACATGGCGAGAGCATTCCACAAACAGGGAGCCACCACAGAAAAGGTCTGTTCTCGGGTTGCCGTCCTCTCAGGGAGGGAGGGACACTGAGAAGGGTCTCTGGTGAAAAGCGCCGGGTCTGGGTCGCTTTGCATGCAGTTGATCAACAACCAGCAGCACAAACACCTTGCCCCAAAAGGGAGTTTGGCAATGGTTGGTAGTTGCATAGATTCTCAGAATACTGTCGGGGGGGGGGGTTCTTAAGGAGCGGTCTTATTGCTACCCCCTTCAAACAGGTAGGACGCTCCCCCTCTTGTAAAAGGACATCGATCACTGTTAGGGTTCCAAGGGGTTGCTCGAGAGCAAGCAGGCAAATGCCTCCCTGGTCGGCTGTGAAGCCTTGCTTTTGATGCCAAAATAAACTTTATCTGTCCAGAGCACCACTCTCCCATGGCTGGCTCATTCACTGGCAGAATCTGAGAGTGGGCGGTCCTTAAATCTTCCCCAGCAGAGTAGTTTCTTGACGCCCAGTCTGCGCCTCCCCTCCCGGCGCGGAAGCCTACTGCGCAAGGAGGGCGTGGGTAACGGAGGACCTCTCTCCTCCCCGCTTTGCCCAGGCAAGGTGTCCTGGCACCGCCTCGCTTCCTCTGAGCCCTGAAGCTCCTCTCCACTGGAGGCGTGGTTACTCTCCTCCGCTGAGGAGGAGCTGCTTCCCACAATCTTTGGGGGCTCTCTGTAATCCATCCGGCTTTTCCCCTCTCGCCCCTGAGCCGATGGCAGTTCCCTGACAACCACCGCCTTTGCCCAGGCAGCCGTCGTCTCTCTGCTGAATTTTATCAGCCAAGAGGGGCAAGGCTCCACTGCGTCACCTTCCAAGACCCCTGGCTTAACCCGCCTTCCATTGCTCGGCAGCCTTTCAGTCAGGGCTCCAATTTCGGAGCTCCCGGCCCCTTCTTTAAATCAGAGTTTGCTTCGAAACATGAGCTTTACATCTGGATGACACTTGCACCTGAGAAAAGTGCATTTGCTGTTGTGTTGCTTACGGCTGATGAATGCATGTAAATTTCAAGTTCTTCCTCTTGGTCGTCAGTTCCTGGCTGAAGTTAGTTGGGCCTCAAAAACTGGTCCCTCCCTGGGCCTTGGGAAATAGTTGTATGATAGTGATAATGGAGGGGAGTTCTGTGGTCTTCAGCTGTGTGTGCTGCCCTCACGTGGGGTGTTAGTTTTTCAAAGACTTCCAGTACATTGAAACTTGAAAGAGGCGCCAACGGAGGGCTCTTCCTTGGGAGAATTAAGCAGCAATATCTCACCGTTGTTTGCTGAGCTCATTAATCCAGTACACAATGAATAACCCACACGCTGCATGCTATTTGAAGAGGTTAGCTGAATGGAAAGACAGTATCTTTGCATATCAAAAAATAGGCTTTGATCAGGCTTCATAGGTGGTTTGAAGAATGTGCATGGATCTGTGGCTGTTACATGCAGCATATAGAGATTTCTTTGTACAATTTTCTTTTCTTTTCTTTACAACTACATTATTTCTTCTAGGTACCAGCAGTGTTTTTATGGAGTCAATCTGTCCAGTCTCCGCAATGCAGCTGTAGATGAATACTTTAGGCAACCTATTGTAGTAAGTCGTTTTTTATTTTCTTGCTTTTTACTTTGCCTTACTCCCACACCATGTTCCTCCACCTTCAGGAGCTCAGGGGCTGGGGGGGGTGTGCATCTGGCCCCTTCATTACATAGCATCTGGTGAATGTGGAAGGGACACCTCTTTGCCCAGGAATTTGACACTAGGGGCGTATATTTGTAGAACCCACCTTACTTCTGTAATTGTAAGTTGTTTTAAATTGTTTGTGTGTTGTAATGTTGTATTTTACTCTGCCCTGGGGCCTGGGGTGACACGTGGGTTAATGTCAATAATAATAATAATAATAATAATAATAATAATAATAATTTATTTATTTATTTATTTATACATACATGCATACATACCCTGCCCATCTGGCTGGGTTTCCCCAGCCACTCTGGGTGGTTTCCAACAGGAGATTAAAAATACATTAAAACATCAGTCATTAAAAACTTCCCTAAACAGGGCTGCCTTCAGATATCTTCGAAACGTCAGATAGTTTATTTCTTTGACATCTGATGGGAGGGCGTTCCACAAGGCAGGTGCCACCACTGAGGAGGCCCTCTGCCTGGTTCCCTGCAACCTCACTTCTCACAATGAGGGAACCGCCAGAAGGCCCTCAGTGCTGGACCTCAGTGTCCGGGCAGAATGATGGGGGTGGAGACGCTTCTTCAGGTCTACTGGGCCAAGGCCATTTAGGGCTTTCAAGGTCAGCACCAACACTTTGAATGGTGCTCGGAAACGTACTGGGAGCCAATGAAGGTCTTTCAAGAGTCAAGGAGCTGTCAGGTGAGTCCAGGCTGACCACAGGGCAATTAGCTTTTTCTTAACAGAAACTACCAGCGCAGCGGAGTTACTTAGGCTCAACTCGTTCAGCTTGAGGTATGGCTGAACCTCACTTCCAGTCGATCTTACTCCAGATCCCTCCCCAGCAAACAAAGGCTGCATCGAAGGGCAAGCTCCTCCTCTGGACTTGTCTTGCCCGCTGTTCAGTAACGTGCAGGACTCTCCTCGACTGGGACTGTCCTGCTGCAGGATAGCAGGGCAACCTCTGGCTTCTCTCTGCCTGAGTCTGCGCTCACAGTGTGACTTTCAACCTCTAGCCCTGTCCTGGAAGGCTCTCCCTCTCTTGACACGCATCTTTTAGCACCTCCCCAAGAGCCAGTATGGTGTAGTGGTTAAGAGCGGTTGTCTCGTAATCTGGTGAACCGGGTGCGCTTCCCCGCTCCTCCACATGCAGCTGCTGGGTGACCTTGGGCCAGTCACATTTCTCTGAAGTCTCTCAGCCTCACTCACCTCACAGAGTGTTTGTTGTGGGGGAGGAAGGGAAAAGGAGAATGTTAGCCACTTTGAGACTCCTTAGGGTAGTGATAAAGCGGGATATCAAACCCAAACTCCTCCTCTTCTTCTTCTCCCTTCCCCAGACTGCTCTTCAGTGTCCCACCACCACATCCCGGGGTCTAAGTCTTCTTCTTCTGTGTCCTCCCTGGGGGGCTCTTGGGTGGGAGATAGCCACCATTCTTCCTCATCCAGCCAGTCCCTCGCAGCTCATAATAATAGCAATAGCAGGAGCAATAATGTTATAGAACAGAGGTGGTATCCATGTGGGACAGAGCTGCATGTCACATGTGTTTGTTCTTGCTTTGCTTTCCCTTAAGGTCAACATCAGCGAATGGGTCACACCTTGTAATTCTCAGGGGTCAGCAAACTTTTTCAGCAGGGGGCCGTTCCACTGTCCCTCAGACCTTGTGGGGGGCCGGACTATATTTTTTAAAAAGGAATAATGAACGAATTCCTATGCCCCACAAATAACCCAGAGATGCATTTTAAAGAAAAGCACACATTCTACTCATGTAAAAACACGCTGATTCCCAGACCATCCGCAGGCTGGATTTAGAAGGCGATTGGGCCGCATCCAGCCCCCGGGCCTTGGTTTGCCTACCCATGAATTAGCTGGTAATTCTTTTGATCACAGTCATTTTTTCTGAGAGCATCTGAGCAAACGGAAATGTAAAAGTCTGTTTGGAGTTGTTCTGAGGCAAATATTATTCCATTGACCGGTGCATAACCGTGAACAGGTTTTGTGGGTTGCTTGTAAGTGCAAGGAAGGAAATTTAAATTCACGGCTTCCCAGCTTTAACTGGGCAGCCAGTGGGATGCCTTCCTGTGTTGCCGGACTCCACTCCCATCAACCCTAGTTAGCAGGACCAGGAGTCAGGGATGATGGGAGCCCCGACAGCAGCTGGAGGGCACCATGTTGGCTCTCCCTGATAGAATCGGTACTGCATTACTCAGTGCTTTTTTCCCTTTAAAATGTTTAGGGGTACTCTCATTTTGACACAAGAAAATCACCATTTCATAGTTCAAATCGGGGGAAATAAATACAGTAAATGGACAAAAGTACAAAGATTCACAAAATGTTTAGGGGTATGCGTCCCCCCAGAAAAAAAAGCACTGGCTTTACTAAAACATTAACTGGGGGGGGGGGTATGAAGGTCAGAAATGCCTCTTGATATAGAAATCCCTCAGGGTTCCAGATATAAGCAATGTGTATGAGGTGCATATTTCTTTTAACAGAGAGAGGAACAACTAAAATAGCATATCAAAGGGACCAAGAGAAGGTATATTATTGTGGGAGGAGGAATTTTCTGTTTTGTAAACCTGCAGGACTAGAGGAGAGCAGGGGTCTGATTCTCTCTTTTTCTCCTCTTCAACCCTCAGGATACATTTGACATAAGAATTTTAATGGCCCGGACAGTGAAGTACACGGTCAATTTTACAGACGCAGAAGAGGAAGATTTGCATAGGTAAGTGTCTGGAAAGAGTCCTGCTTTTCCATGTCAAATAATTGTTTCTTTCTACACTTTTCTGCTTACGAGCAAGTGAGGGACTTCACAGCGTGTGTGTGGATCCCATTCAGGGTATTTTAAGCCTCTAATCCTTAATGGCATTTTAGCCTTGCAAATTGCTGCAGTCGACTTAAGCACAGTATTTAGGGTAAAATATATCTTGGTGTGAAGTTTTTGTTGTTTTAAGAGTAATGACATCTGTCAAGATAACCCTAGTAAATAAAATGAAATACAGTCATACCTCGGGTTGCAGACACTTCAGGTTGCGTGTTTTTGGGTTACTTCCGGGTTTCGGCGCTCGCGCATGCGCAAAACCATTAAATTGCGCTATGCGCATGTGCAGAAGCCCCGAATCGCGACCTGCGCAGACGTGGCGCTGCGGGTTGCGAACGTGCCTCCTGCACAGATCACGTTCACTGTACAAGGTACAGTGGTACCTCGGGTTACATACGCTTCAGGTTACATACGCTTCAGGTTACAGACTCTGCTAACCCAGAAATAGTGCTTCAGGTTAAGAACTTTGCTTCAGGATGAGAACAGAAATTGTGCTCCGGCGGCGCGGCAGCAGCAGCAGGCCCCATTAGCTAAAGTGGTGCTTCAGGTTAAGAACAGTTTCAGGTTAAGTACGGACCTCCGGAACGAATTAAGTACCTAACCCGAGGTACCACTGTATAATAATTGAGTACATAGGTAGATTTTGTTATAATAAATTATCTTGGATAAAAATCCATTCTATTTTATTTCTGGTAAACGTTTTGTGCTTAGCGGACCAGTGTCTAAATGAATGGTGATATTTGTAATTTTTAACCATGGATTTCAAATGCCACACTGGCAATTTTCTTCTTCTACAGAGTGGAAATCCCCTTTGTTTTCCAAATGATGCAGTCTGGGCTAATCCATGGTTTGGCTTTCTGGTTTGATGTGGCATTTGTCGGCTCACTGTACGTATTCTTCTTCCTCGCTCCCAAAAGTTACCTTGGAACTTCACTTTAAAGGGAAATGACCCCTTTAATTTTGCCAAATTCAGAACCTTGCTCAAGTTCTTCTCTTGCCTGTTACATGGAGGAACAAGTTCATTTTATACATCTTTGTTGTAGAGATAGTCAGATTCTCATGAAGGGATCTCACCGTGTTATTTTTGCAGGAGGGCCCATCAGGAGAAAACAGACTTTGCATGAAAAAGCCACTCATGTGTTGGGTTTTTGCCACTTGAATGTGTGAACGTGATGTGGTAACTCATCATAGGTAAAGGAACCCCTGACCATTAGGTCCAGTCATGGCCGACTCTGGGGTTGCAGCGCTCATCTCGCTTTATTGGCCGAGGGAGCCGGTGTACAGCTTCTGGGTCATGTGGCCAGCATGACTAAGCCGCTTGTGGCGAACCAGAGCAGCGCACGGAAACGCCGTTTACCTCCCCTATTTATCTACTTGCACTTTGACGTGCTTTCGAACTGCTAGGTTGGCAGGAGCAGGGACCGAGCAACGGAAGCTCACCCCATCACGGGGATTCGAACCTCCGACCTTCTGATCGGCAAGTCCTAGGCTCTGTGGTTTAACCCACAGCGCCACCCGCGTCCCATAACTCATCATATAGCACCTCAAAAACAAACCAGTAATAAAAGGCCATCTCCAGCTTCACCACACAGATGAGCAGCCTGGGTGATGGTTTTTTCAACCCTGCCCATATCATGTAGTCAGAATTGCAGTACATAAGACTGGCCTTTGGGGGTTTTAAATTACATCCTGCCTTTCATGCATAGGCTCTCAGTGTGGCCACCAATTAAAATAATTAAAACAATGTGTCAAAAATGGGGGGCGGTGCAGTTTAAATTAAAACAGCAGAAGCAACAAAGCACATGAACATCCATGGGGCTGAATAAAACCAGATTCAGCTGAAGTTTGCAGAAGCCTGGGAGGTTAAAATTGGCTTGAATCCTTAAACTTTTTGCTTTGTGCACAGAAGAGAGTTGTGCTCCTAAAAGGGTTTTTTCCACAGCCTTCTCTGAGTGCATCTCTCCATCCATGAAGGGAAGCTGCTGTGTTCATGGACCAAGAATTTGGGATGTGAGCACCTTTGTCTTGGTCTTCTCTGAAGCTGTTTTGCAGATGTACTAGGTCTGCCTTCTTGATGCAAATTTAATAAATGAGTAAAATACCTATGGCCTTTTAAATGGGCTTGTGGGAGGTAGGGGCGATTGGTTTATTTCTGTTTCCGTTTTATTATGTACTTTGTGTTCTCATTTTGTGCTTTCGTGTTGCAAACGGCCCTGTGATCTTCAGATAGAAATTCAATGCATGAATAAATGTTTGCGTATTTACTGGGTTTTTTCTTTCAAGGGTGACTGTTTGGCTCTCGACTGCCCCCACGGAGCCTCTGACTCACTGGTATCAAGTCCGCTGCCTTCTCCAAACTCCTCTCTTTGCCAAAGAAGGGGAAACTCTTTCAGGGAAAGTCCTGTTCGTGGCAAATAAACGGTAAGTAGCAAAGCACAGGCAAACCGCTTTGCTGGCAAAAGAGTTTCCGAAGCGCTGTGTGGGAGAAGATTACTAAAAATTAATTATGTGAAACATCTGCAGATTTGTGTTAATGAACAGAAGCCGCAATAGAAAATATGCTTTGCATCTCAAACCGCAGTGCCGAAAATCCATTTGTATGTTCAAGTATCACAAAGACAACATAAAAAAATGGTCAGTCTTAGCAGTTGTGCCAAGTGAATTTCCTTCAGAGATCTGATGTTTTGCTGCTATTAGCAAGGTACTTGCTCCTAAATTTAGCACAGCAATATTGATTTGTGCTGTAGGGGATATAATGAGAAAGAGCAAGATTTCCTTTTCTTTGAAGCAGCTTCAATGTAATGATTTTAAATAGGCAATAAACACTCATCAGAGTAACATACACATCTGCCCAGTCTCAGTCTTGCTGGGCAAAGAGGTGAATGTATATGAAATGCTCTGTGACCTCCTATTTTTCAGCTGATGATAAATCCTTGGTGGCTTTTAGCATTTGTTGTTGGTACTTGAGAGCCGGATTAAAGCAGGGAGGTCAATTTCTAATCCCTCTTTTAAGACTGCTGCTCTGTTTACAGGTCACCAGCCTAAACATGTGTACTAGGTGGATGTTGGAAAAGAGGACTCTCAGGGTTCCTGTGGTATTTCCTCTGCAGAATGACACACCTGGGCAAAATTTAACTGTCTAGAAATGAGATGAGAAGCTGGAGTTAATGTAGATTAAAAGAGAGGGGGCAGGGGAATCTTAGAGCAATCAGCATGCCTCCCTCTCAGGCTTGAGTGTCCGCTATCGGAATTCCTTGCGTCAGGAGTTCTTTCTATATTCCTTTTATATATATATAATTTTTATTAGTTTTTTAACATATCACTTACAACAATTATTAAACATACTTTTATATCTTATACAAATTTTTTTTACTTCCATCAATCACATCTGAAAATTTTCCAATCTTTTCAATTAATTTACATTTCTTTCTTTCACTATTACATTTAAATCACATAACTAATATCTCTCTTCTTTCTCTTCTTTGCAATATTTCATATATTTCTCCTTACAAAACTTATTGTAGTCCTACTAACGTAATTTGTTGATTACAGTTGCTCTTCAAATAATTCATATACGGTACTTCTTCCAATCGTCTGTAAATCTCTGGTCCTGCAGGTTTCGAATCCTTCCTGTCATTTTGTCCAATTCTGCATAGTCCATTAATTTTGTCTGCCATTCTTCTTTTGTCGGTGTTTCTTTTTGCTTCCATTTCTGGGCCAACAATACTCTTGCCGCTGTTGTTGCATATAAAAACAATTTAACATCCTGTCTATTAATATCCTCATTTATAATACCAAGTAAAAATGCTTCTGGTTTTTTAAAAAAATGTATATTTCAACATCTTTTTCATCCCATTATATATCATTTCCCAGAATTTCTTTTACTTTCTTATTCCATCCAACTATTCTTCACAGTCTGCAGGCACTTTAATTATTCCTCATGGGATAATCTTGGTTACTTCCTGTCACCTTCAACATGGCAAAGTCACCAGGAAGAAGCTTGGCCAATTGGGCTGTGGCGGAAAAGGTGTCCTCAGCCCAGTCACTGAATTACCTACAGAAATGCACTGCACATAATAATATTCACCTGCTGGGTCTTGTTTAAGACTGAATAGTCAAATTTAATAATTTTTGTTAGAATCATAGAATTGCAGAGTTGGAAGTAACTACAAGGGTCATCTAGTTTAACCCCCTGTGATGCAGGAATCTGAGCTGAAGCATCCATGACAGAGGGCCACCTAACCTCTGTTTAAAGGCCTCCAAGGAAGGAAGTCTCTTCCACTGCCAAACAGCTCTTACTGTTAGAAAGTTCTTCTTGATGTTGAGTCTGAGTCTTCTTTCTTGTACAACTTGAAGCTATTGGTTTGAGTCCCACCCTCCAGAGCAGGAGGAAACAAGCTTGTTCCGTCTTCCATGTGACATCCCTTGAGATATCTCCTCTTTTCCAGGCTTATTGTTGTTGTTTAGTCGTTTAGTCGTGTCCGACTCTTCGTGACCCCATGGACCAGAGCACGTCAGGCACTTCTGTCTTCCACTGCCTCCCGCAGTTTGGTCAAACTCATGTTGGTAGCTTCGAGAACACTGTCCAACCATCTCGTCTTCTGTCATCCCCTTCTCCTTGTGCCCTCCATCTTTCCCAACATCAGGATCTTTTCCAGGGAGTCTTCTCTTCTCATGAAGTGGCCAAAGTATTGGAGTCTCAGCTTCAGGATCTGTCCTTCCAGTGAGCACTCAGGGCTGATTTCCTTAAGAATGGAGAGGTTTGATCTTCTTGCAGTCCATGGGACTCTCAAGAGTCTCCTCCAGCACCAGAATTCAAAAGCATCATCTTCCTTCCACTCTTCCTCATAAGGCTTTCTAAAGCCCAACCCTTCCCACCATGGCATTGTGATGTGTAGACTCTAGCAGCTTCTCCTTGCAGGTCCAATGCCCCAAGTGGAAGGAAATTTCCCACAGAACCCAGAAAAGGTCATGGGTTGAGCCTAGAGCAGATAAAGGACACATGCAAAATGCCAAGCCAGAAGGAGCAATTGAGAATACAAAACTGCTCCCTGATAGGTCTCCTCCTGCTTCTTCATGGGGCTTTGGGGAGCTTGCGACTCAGAAAGGTAGGATACAGCTGGGTCTTATTGCCATGGCAACCCTTGCGCATGCAACATAGCTAGTTTGCATGTGTGCGCATCTCAGTCAATTTCCCCGCCCCTTTGTGCCCAGAATGGGCACCGCCGGCCACTTACAATACAGTATGAAACGGCGCTATCATCTTCTTAGAAATGTCCGTCTGCAATGGGAAGCAAAGCATCCTTGCCTTTTTATTTTCACAAGCTTCTCCAGAAGTGCCCAAATCAGAGGCGCCAGTGATGCCATCAAAATACTTCATTTGTATCGACAGCAAGTGCCCCACACGTGACTTTTCCGTTTTCTGGTTAATAGCTTTCCCATAAAGAAGCCCTCTCGCTCGTATTACAATACCTGCTCTTCAAAGGTGAAGTGTATCAATTACTTGCAGAGTTGAGAGAAGCGACAGCAGCGTTTTCCATCGCACCGTGCCACAATTGCTATTGTAATCCCACTTGTTTACAACACCGTCTCTATAGCAATGAAATGCAGTTGCCAAAGCCTTCATTAAAGGCCAGGCATCTTGGCTGCCTCGCTGCTGCCTGCAAACCTGATCCAGAGGAAACGAGCACATGGACTCCGCAGATTAAGAGAAAAACTAGCAGGCCTTTTGGCCTATGTTTCATCCAAAACAAAATACAAGAAAACAAAATTTCACGGATCCTTGATAGGGTTGTCGTTTCTGCAACATCTCAGTCTGAGGCTCAGAGGCAGGGCCTGGTTTCCAATTCTTGAAAGACCAAAACATAATAATGGGAGAGAGAGACAGTAAAAACGCAGAGCCCAACAGTGTGATGGTCCAGAAAAATGGAGGGTGGGGTGGGGTGGGGTCAGGACTAAAAAATCCATGTTCCACTTTTTATTTTCCACTGTAAAGGGACAGCCAATTACCACAAAACTCCTAGAATCAATTCAAAGGTAGTAAAATGAATGATGATAGCATTGTGAATACAGTGGTACCTCGGGTTACATATGCTTCAGGTTACAGACTCCGCTAACCCAGAAATAGTGCTTCAGGTTAAGAACTTTGCTTCAGGATAAGAACAGAAATCGGGCTCCGGCGTCGTGGCAGAAGCAGGAGGCCCCATTAGCTAAAGTGGTGCTTCAGGTTAAGAACAGTTTCAGGTTAAGAACGGACCTCCGGAACGAATTAAATAATTAACCAGAGGTACCACTGTATGCTTGTCATGCTACAGTTTGAACACCAAGGATGATGAGGTGCCCCACTTCACACACACACCCTGTTGTTGTTATTATTATTGCTGTAGGGCAACAAAAAAACCCCACACACTTTTATTGCAAGCCCCCATTGCTAAACTGTGTGGTCGTCCCCCCCGCAAAAACCCCCAAATGGTTTGTTGAGCACTCATCCTAATTTGTTTATGGGGAGGTTAGACAATTTGACATCACACAGTTGTTTTTTTCTTGTCCCTTTCCTTGGAGGATGGATGGCGGCTAACAGATTGAGGTTGAATCCTGACAAGACAGAAGTACTGTTCTTGGGGGACAGGAGGTGGGCTGCTGTGGAGGACTCCCTGGTCCTGAATGGGGTAACTGTGCCCCTGAAGGACCAGGTGCACAGCCTGGGAGTCGTTTTGGACTCATAGTTGTCCATGGAGGCACAGGTCAATTCTGTGTCCAAGGCAGCTGTTTACCAGCTCCATCTGGTATGCAGGATGAGACCCTCCCTGCCCGCAGACTGTCTTGCCAGAGTGGTGCATGTTCTAGTTATCTCCCGCTTGGACTACTGCAATGCGCTCTACGTGGGGCTACCTTTGAAGGTGACCCGGAAACTACAACTAATCCAGAATGCGGCAGCTAGACTGGTGACTGGGAGTGGCTGCTAAGACCATATAACACCGTTCCTGAAAGACCTACATTGGCTCCCAGTACCTTTCCGGGCACAATTCAAAGTGTTGGTGCTGACCTTGAAAGCCCTAAATGGCCTTGGTCCAGTATACCTGAAGGAGCGTCTCCACCCCCATCGTTCAGCCCTGATACTGAGATCCAGCTCCGAGGGCCTTCTGGCGGTTCCCTTGCTACAAGAAGTGAGGTTACAGGGAACCAGGCAGAGGGCCTTTTCAGTAGTGGCACCCACCCTGTGGAACGCCCTCCCATCAGATGTCAAAGAGAACAACTACCACCAGACACCTGAAGGCAGCCCTGTTTAGGGAAGCTTTTAATGTTTGATGCATTACTTTATTTTAAAATTGTGTTGGAAGCCGCCCAGAGTGGCTGGGGAAACCCAGCCAGATGGGCGGAGTATAAATAATATATTATTATTATTATTATTATTATTATTATTATTATTATTAATTATCTGAGGAAGTCCTATTTGTGGGGAAGAGGGTACATTGTGCAAGTGTATCAAATCAGCTTTAATTGGGCTGGATTTGCTGGTTTGTGACTGAAACCTACTAGTTGGAGTCTAGCAGTGCTCAGTGTCATCTCTTTTAAATACTTTTTCATCGGGTAAAGCTTTGATTCACCTATGTTCAGCTGATCAACTTACAAGTTAGTGCTTTCAATTATGCATGAAAAGGCACAAGCAAAAGAGAGTATTAGTATTATTTCAGAAACGTCGAAACTTGTTATGGACATGATTTTAGATTTTTAACAGAATTTCTTTTTTATGCAACAGGCAGAGTTACGACATCCAGATTGTTGCTGTAGTGGATGAAACGGGCTTTAAGTCAGGCAATGTCCTTGATTTAAAGAATCCATTTTTTAGGTAAGAAATGCTCTTGGATAAGATTTGTAATCATTACCAAACTGCAAAATTGGATAATCCATTACTTGTGAATGTTTAGTCTTTAGCGTGAACCTTTGCCATCTGTTGTAGTGAATGCTACATTCTAGCCTATGTGTTCTGCATCTCCCACAGCCCCCTCTCCCAATTTGTTATTTTGCTTCTGAGACTCGCATTGCTAAAACTGGAGTTTTGCTGGTCTTGGTCTGAGGCAAGAAGTGTGTTTGAAATAAGGCCAAAATTGTATGCAAAGATCTTTGCATAGAAATGTTGGAAGCTGCCCAGAGTGGCTGGGGCAGCCCAGTCAGATGGATGGAGTACCAACAACAACCTGGTCAGAATAAAAAACATGATTGAACTACAGTTCTTTTAAGTGGCTATTGATGACATGGACATGCCTATCTGTCCTCTTTTGTATATAAATATAAAATATTTTTCCTTTTTTAAAATCATTTTTATTGAATGATTTTATGTTACAAAAAACAATGCAGCCATACTACCACTAAATATACTTAAGAAATAAAAATTACATTCATCGATATTTAGTTTGTTATTTGTTATTTTATATAAATATAAAATATTTAATGTGCTGCATTTACGAACATGGTTAAATAAGTGACGAATAATTCTCCACCATTCCATTGTGCCGCACAGTGTTCTGCAACTTAAAAAACAGCCACTTTCCCATCAACAGAAATTAATGCAATAAAAATGGATAGAAAGAGCTACAGTATTCGGTACTCTTACAACTTTTAAAAAAAATACTGCACATGTCATACAGCTCATATTCTTTAAATATTTTGTTTGTAGATATGCTTAGACTGCGATATGCACCTGCTGAAAGAAAAACCAGGATTACCAAACCAAGTAGCCCACGAGAAGTTGAAAGTGAGAATCCCGAACAGGTTCCTTCTTCTGTGAAACCTAACTGTACATATCAAAAGGAAATATTTTATGCAAATTGTATAAAAATATGTTTGTGCTATTTCACACACACCCTTCCCCCCCCCCAAGCTGGGCACCCCAATCTTTAAACATGCCTGCCTGGAAGTATTTTTCATTGCGTCCAACAGTATTTTCTTGGTGAGCGCATTTATTTGGAAATCCTCCCCACTTAAATCAATGGAAACTGGGCTGCAACTCGCACTCGCCTCTCCTGCCTGGCGAGGGGTCAGGGCTGCTGGGAGTTGCAGCCAGCAGCATCTGAAGTGCCCCATCTGGTCTCCTCCTGGCCTTCAGGAGGGGAATGTTGGTCACATCTTTGAATGACGCTGTCCTTTGTTCCAGAGGTACCAAAATACCGTATTTTTCGCTCTATAGGACGCACCGGACCATAGGACGCACCCGACCATAGGAGGGGGAGAACAGGGAAAAAAACATTCTCCCCCTCTCTGCTCAGTGCCCCTTCAGCGAAGCGGCAGGAGAAATGGAACCCTTTCCATTTCTTCTCCCGCTTCGCTGAAGGGTGCTGCGCAGAGAGGGAAAACTGCGCAGCGCCTCTCCAGAGAAGCGAAGCCTGGAGAGCAAGAGGGATCGGTGTGCGGATAGCTGCCTGAAGCCCGGGGAGCGCAGCGGGAGTTGGCGCTGCGCTCCCCGGGCTTCAGGCTGCAATCCGCAAGCCTTCGCAGCGGGGGAAACTCCCGCTGTGCTCCTAAGGCTTGCGGATAGCTGCCTGAAGCCTGGAGAGTGAGAGGGGTCAGTTCGCACCTACCCCTCTCGCGCTCCAGGCTTCAGCGAAAGCAACGCGAAGCCTCCGGAGCGCAGAGGGAGCACTCCCTCTGTGCTTCGGAGGCTTCACATTGCTATCACTGAAGCCAAAGAGCCTGCATTCACTCCATAGGATGCACACACATTTCCCCTTCATTTTTGGAGGGGAAAAAGTGCATCCTATAGAGCGAAAAATACGGTAGTACTGGTATCTGAGGTTTCCTTTTTTCAGTTTGTCTAAGGCTGATGCTCCTTGTTTTTCTCCCCCCCCCCCCCATCCTTCCCTCCCTTAAGGAATATTCTTAACCAAGCCTACCTCATGTTTGTACACATACATAGGATGTATGGGAATACTGCGGACAATACACCAAGCTCATACTCAATGTTTCGGTATTTGCAAGAGGTATTTAAAGATCTGGAGCTTATTTTCAGCTGGCCAATAATGAACCTTTTCCGCCTCAGAGCAATATGGCGCTAGGCTCACCACCCAACCAACGTCTCCTCTAACCTGCATTGTTTTCAAGCAATCCTGAACGGTCTTGAGTCTGTCGGCCAGTGACCCTCTTTCGGCAAACCCATTGAAGAAGGGCAACAGCAGGCGACTCTGCCGCCAATCCTTCTGTATGGTTCCTACTTTCTGTAGATAGCACAGCAGCAATTGTACATTTAATCTTTCCAATAAAATTTAAATACGAAATACAATGAGGTTGTGGTGTTGCTTTCTGTGCGGGGTCATTATAGAAGTGTAAGGCAAGACACAGGCCAGCCCCAGCCTCCTCACCTCAGTGATTTAGTTGGGCTTCTGCTTTTTTGTTTTACAGTGGTACCTCAGGTTAAGTACTTAATTCGTTCCAGAGGTCCGTACTTCACCTGAAACTGTTCTTAACCTGAAGCATCACTTTAGCTAATGGGGCCTCCTGCTGCTGCCACGCCGCTGGAGCACGATTTCTGTTCTCATCCTGAAGCAAAGTTCTTAACCTGAGGTAATTTTTCTGGGTTAGCGGAGTCTGTAACCTGAAGCGTCTGTAACCTGAAGCGTATGTAACCCGAGGTACCACTGTAATTCCACACGTGAAACAGGATGGCAAGTATCCCTCCTGGGCTCAGGTGTTTAACTGTGACCCTTATGCGCTCTGTGCTGCCATACCCTGGGACCCTGCCAGCGGTTATTTACAGCAGCACTCAGCACACAAAAAAGAAAAAAAGGAAATCTACACAAAGGAGGAACAATGAATTGGCTTTGAGCAGCGAGGCTCAACAGTCTTCCTGCTCTTTTAAATTATGTGCCACTTGATCCAGCCGGCTCCTGTAGTGGAAACGCAGCGCTGGACGTGCCGAGAAGCGAATACATTTGCACCCCTTGTGTTACCACATTTGGAGCGCATGAAAATCACCACTGGCTCTTCAGTGGCAGATGGGGAGAAGGTTGCTCATTGCTGCCAGAGCTAGCCATAATTCATCATCTGTCAGCCACAGTCTGTCTTCTTTCTCCCTAATCTCTGCCTAGGATCTGCCTAGGACTGTTCTGGGAGTCTGTAGCAGATCGTTCTTCGTCTGTTGGCCTGCCTTAACTCTGGGGAGTTTAAATTCTTGGCCACGGCTACAGCCTCTCTGAGCAGCCACTGAAAGACATGTAACAGGAGGCTGGTTGCAGCTAGTCTGCTGATCAGTTGTTAGTTCTGAAATGGCTGATCATTTGTGCAGGAAAGAGAGGGTTTGGTTTATTTTGGGTGGGTGATGGGCAGCATCCTGGCTGGCTGACAGGGCTGATGACCTGGTGGGCATTGCGTGTGTTGTGATTGGAACTGGATCACAGCACCAGGAGGTGGGGAACTCCAGGGAGAAAGAGAGAGTCAAATTCCTGATCCTCATGCAGAAACCTTTCTACACATTAGAGTCTCCTTGCTGGATCAAGATGCACATTTTTCAATATGGATTGGAATCCTAGCCAGTCATTAAAGGCCTTGGAGTCAGCAGATCCACTGCAATGTTCTTGGATAATAATGCAAACTGAAGTTTTGCAGGGACACACTGACCCTGCATTATAGGCAGTTGTGCTGGTGTAAATTGTTTTAGGATTGCTGAAGCATTCATGGAATCATAGACCCTGAAGATCTTCTAGTCCAACCCCTCAATGCAATCCCATAATGGGATTCGAACCTGCAACCGTGGCCTTATCAGCCCCATGCTCTAACCAACTGAGCTACGTAGAAAACATTTCTGTAGGAACCAACCATGTGCTACCTCTTTGTACACATGAGAAAGAAAAACAAGAGCAGCCCTTCTGGAGCTAGCTATGGGTCCATGCAGTCCACGCTCCTGTTTCTAAAGAGTAGCCAGCCAGATGCCTCTGGGAAGCTCAGAGTTAGGCCCTCTAGTGCTCAGAGCTGGTCCCCAGCCACTAGCGTCCAGGGGTATACTGCAACTGGAAATTTATAGAGTTATCACAGTTAATATCAACTCTTAGCGGTGCCCATAAATTTGTCTTAAGTTCTGCTGATGTTGCTTCCCCTTTCGCTATGAGCTCCACTGTTCTCTCCTCATTTACAATCTGATCCACAATCTAGTGAAATCTATATATGCTTAGGACACAGCTCCATAGCTGCTTTTTTCAATCCGATGCAGAACTTGCAGTCTCAGCTGCGGGCTTCTTTGCTTTGAAAATGGAGACAGGCGAGCAAGACTGCAGCTGAAACTAACCAGGCTGTAGCTTTCGTTTCATATTCCTTGCTGAGCTACTTTTGCTCCTCCAGCTTAAGTTCTGTCTTGACATTTATAGCCAGAATAATAACACAGGAACCTTTTGTAAGATGAATTTCTTTGGGTGAAGTTTGACATGCCCTTCCGAGATTCCCTCCTGTTCAGATTGTGAGCTGTGAACCTCAGAACTTGGCTTTGAAGGGGAAACTGGTCCTGTATCTCTGTGGTTGGTCACTTAGGCTATAGGGTCAACACGGCATCACTCATCTATATGAAAGTATCGGCTCCACACCCCAACACATATTTTAACCCATGAATCAACTTGGTCACCAGGAGTTGGATACAAATATTTTTTGTAGGACAATTGCCCCGTTGAGAACTTCTGTGGCCCTGTGAGTCTAAATTACTTAGTAGTTGCGGTGTGAGATCAGTGGACTAGGGGGACTAGGCAAGGCCCCTGAATGTTCTCCTGGCGCCTCTGTCCCAAATTCTGGGAAGTTTCTGCCTGGCTCAGGGAGGGAGGTGCAATGCTCACATGCAAGTCGTCGCGACGTATCACCTGCAATGTTCCCCTCTCCATGTCACTCTTGCAAGCTGGCGCCTCTGGCCCTAACACTTCCCCATGAAAAATTTCACCGCACGTCACTGCTTGGATGCATTATAGGTAAAGGTAAGGTACCCCTGACAGTTAAGTCCAGTCGCAGACGACTCTGGGTTTGTGGCGCTCATCTCGCTTTACAGGCCAAGGGAAATGGCGTTTGTCCACAGACAGTTTTTCCGGGTCATGTGGCCAGCAGGACTAAACCGCTTCTGGTGCAACGGAACACCAAAACCAGAGCAGCGCATGGAAACGCCATTTACCTTCCTGCCAGAGCGGTACCTATTTATCTACTTGCACTTTTTAGTCGTGCTTTCAAACTGCTAGGTTGGCAGGAGCTGGGACCGAGCAACGGGAGCTCACCCCGTCGCGAGGATTCAAACTGCTGACCTTCTGATTGGCAAGCCCAAGAGGCTCAGTGGTTTAGACCACAGCACCACCCGTGTCCCTTTGGATGCATAATATCTCACCTGTTTTGAGCAAGCACACTGCCTGCCACTCCATGTTCCAGCACCATTCAAGCAGATGACCTCCCCTTTTAAAGCCGCAAATAGCTCAGGGCAGGGGAAGGTGTTACTGGACTGCTAGTCCCATTACCCCTGACCACTCCCCATGGCAGCCAGGATGGAGGAAGCCTGGAGCCCAACATCTGGAGGACCACAAGCTCCCCACTCCTGCCTTTGGAGTCGCATTCTTTAATGGCTGCGTGTGAACTGGGCTTGCTCCAAGTTCTCTCGTCTTCTGAGGTGGGGGAGCTGAAGACTGGGGGAAAGCCTCTTATTTGGAATCAGAACATCGCTAGTGGCTGTGTAGTGACATCTGATGCCGAATCAGCATCATCAAATGACAGCGGGGTGTTGTTGTTTAGTCGTTTAGTTGTGTCCGACTCTTTGTGACCCCATGGACCAGAGCACGCCAGGCACTCCTGTCTTCCACTGCCTCCCGCAGTTTAGTCAAACTCATCCTGGTAGCTTCGAGAACACTATCCAACCATCTCGTCCTCTGTCGTCCCCTTCTCCTTGTGCCCGCCATCTTCCCCAACATCAGGGTCTTTTCCAGGGAGTCTTCTCTTCTCATGAGGTGGCCAAAGTACTGGAGCCTCAGCTTCACGATCTGTCCTTCCAGTGAGCACTCAGGGCTGATTTCCTTAAGAATGGAGAGGTTTGATCTTCTTGCAGTCCGTTGCTTTCTAAAAGTAATATCTCTTTGCAGAAGGTTGTGTGACTGCTGCCGCACCCAGAGGGAGGTGCCAAGAGAGAGCAAACGGGGAGAGCGGGGGCTGGTAGTGAATTTGGGAAATTTGCTGCATGCTCCCCCCCCCCCCGCACTAGTAAATGTTCACCCCTTGGTACAAGGGTGTTTGTATGGATAGATCCACATTCCACCTCTTTCTCCACCCCCCCATCCGTGTGTGTTTTCCTTATCAAAGTTACCATGGGCATTGCCCTCCCCAGTGGTGCACATGGCAGTTACACAGCATTGCTGTGAGCTCGTTTTGTCTCTATTCAGCAACTGCATGAAGTGTCCCAAAGAACTGCAGGTACAGTTTCGATCATAAAGATCCCGGGACATAAAACAGGAGTGTGAGCACCACAGGCAATGACCCGGAATAATGAGCTCCAGAGCAGATGGGCTGCATTTTTTTTACCTTCAGTAAATGATGCAATTTGCATTTATTATTTGGCTAATTGTACGAAGGGAGCCGCAAGTCTATGCGGCCGGTGCTGTGCTTCAAAGTCTTCTGAGAAAGGAGGTTTCCTTTTCTAATGTGTACAGTGGTACCTCGGGTTACATACGCTTCAGGTTACATACGCTTCAGGTTACAGACTCCGCTAACCCAGAAATAGTGCTTCAGGTTAAGAACTTTGCTTCAGGATAAGAACAGAAATCGTGCTTGGGCGGTGCGGCAGCAGCGGGAGGCCCCATTAGTGGTGCTTCAGGTTAAGAACAGTTTCAGGTTAAGAACGGACCTCCGGAACGAATTAAGTACTTAACCCGAGGTACCACTGTATTAAAAAGGGAGCCACCTTCTCCTTTGGAAAAGAGACACCAGGGTCACATCCATACCATAAATCCCAAGCATTCTGTTGCAATCCTGGCAGCTGCAGTTAAGGCAGCTGGGAACTGGGTCCCTGGGGAGTCAGCCCCCTTTTCAAACTCAAGTCCCCATGATTCTTTGTGGGAAGCCGTGGTTGTTAAAGTGGCGTAAGAGCACTTTAAATGTATGGGGTGAAGGAGGCCCTTGGCACCCAAACATGTTATTCTTTCCATAGCACTTTGATTTCAGTGCAACCTGCAAAAGCTTTTATGTAAGATTGAAACAGTATATTTAGCTCTACAGATGGAACCGCTGCAAGAGAAAGCACAACCAGCCGCCGCATCTGGGTGTGTTATGAAGGTGCCCTTTCAAGAACTCTGCCTGGGCGTTCTCTCACACCATCAAGTATAAAAGCATTGCTCTCAAAACAGAATCAAAATGACTATCAAAATGGCAAATAATGACTACTGAAAGAGCTTTCGGCACCTAAAAGCCTGCACCGTGACGTTTCTAGGCACCTATCAGGAACATTTCATTTGCTGAAGCAGCCTTTGCGACAACAGAAATTGTACATGTGGGGAGCATGTAATGGCCTTTTCACATCAAAACCAGTCTTTGGAGCTTGTTAAATGTTACTTACTGAGAGACCAAATTAAGCCTTCCTAGAGCAAAAGATACATTGGGAGGCTTAATTTGGTCAGAATCGAGTTGACACTTCCAGAGTTAACGCTAAATGCATGACTTCTGGAAAATGGGCCCCATACCCAGTACAGGGCTGTGAAAATTTGTGTCCCGGGCTTTTTAGGCTCGTCGGCCCATGTACTGAAAAGGGGCACCTTGGTTGCCAGATGTTAAATATATCGACATTATTTTCCACTCTCCTACCCCACTATAAAGGGACGTGGGTGGCACTGTGGTCTAAACCACAGAGCCTAGGGCTTTCCGATCAGAAGGTCGGCGGTTTGAATCCCCGCAACGGGGTGAACTCCCGTTGCTTGGTCCCTGCTCCTGTCAACCTAGCTGTTCAAAAGCACATCAAAGTGCAAGTAGATAAATAGGTACCGCTCTGGCGGGAAGGTAAATGGCATTTCCGTGCGCTGCTCTGGTTCACCAGAAGCGGCTTAGTCATGCTGGCCACATGACCCAGAAGCTGTCTGTGGACAAAAGTCGGCTCCCTCGGCCAATAAAGCAAGATGAGTGCCGCAACCCCAGAGTCGGTCACAACTGGACCTAATGGTCAGGGGTCCCTTTACCTTTACCCCACTATAAAGGGACATGGGTTAGGGTTAGGTCTAAACCACAGAGCCTAGGGCTTTCCGATCAGAAGGTCGGCGGTTCGAATCACCGTGACGGGGTAAGCTCCCGTTGCTCGGTCCCTGCTCCTGTCAACCTAGCTGTTCAAAAGCACATCAAAGTGCAAGTAGATAAATAGGTACCGCTCCAGTGGGAAGGTAAACAGCGTTTCCGTGCACTGCTCTGGTCTCACCAGAAGTGGCTTAGTCATGCTGGCCACACGATCTGGAAGCTGTACGCCGGCTCCCTCGGCCAATAAAGCGAGGTGAGCGCCACAACTCCAGAGTCGTCCGTGACTGGACCTAACGGTCAGGGGTCTCTTTACCTTTATCTTTTACCCCACTATAAAGAGACAAGTACACCAATACAAGCCCATTGTATTTAGCTTGGTAGCGTATAGCCAGCCAGTGCCATTCTTTCCGCAGTGGTATAAAGAGGGTTTGGAGGTGGGACCCAGACAACTGGAATTGACTCACTTTGCTAGGTCATGGAAACATTATTCCAGCCCTTGAAATGCCACACACACACAGCTAGGGTAACAAAAGACCTCCCTTTGATGAGCATAAAGGTAAAGGGACCCCTGACCATTAGGTCCAGTCGTGGCCGACTCTGGGGTTGTGGCGCTCATCTCGCTTTATTGGCTGAGCATGACTAAGCTGCTTTTGGCGAACCAGAGCAGCACACGGAAACACCGTTTACCTTCCCGCCAGAGCAGTACCTATTTATCTACTTGCACTTTGACGTACTTTCGAATTGCTAGGTTGGCAGATGTGTAGGGTACTTTCAACAGTGACTTGCTGATTCAAATAGATACTGCTAGGAAGTGTTCGTAAACAGCTGGGAAAAAGCCCTTCTTCTCCTTAGTTTTGCAGAGTGTGAAATTGCAGTGAATTGTAAATTAAGTAAGAAGTGAAGCAGAAGAGGAAGAAATCTCAGCCTGATTGTCCTGGTAAGGGACAAAAATGCGCAAACGATTTACATTTCCAGCTACAACAGGCAATATTTTGCACCGCCACCAAAAGGGAGTATGTGGACTCATTAGTCTTCAGTGCAATCTTGCCCAAGGGCTCACATTTGCTGAACTGCTTAATGATATTTTTTTAAAAAAAACCATAAAAACTAGGTCTGCTGTACATGGGTCTTCCTTGTCTGATGCAGCTACAGCCTTGGCTGGTTCTGCGTGCTATTAACACAAAAGGGTGTGTTTGTGTGTGTCTTTAAGCCATGTACTAGAGGGCTGCACATAATCACAGCAAAGTGAGTAATCCACTAATCCTCTTTTCTCTTCCCACTGTAGAGAAGGCTGCAGAAGAATTTTAGAAGCTTATAAATTGAATCCTGGGGTTTCTTTATTCTTATAAATAAATAAATAAAGTGTTTACTAAGAAATGAAGGGTTCTAAAGGTTGGCTACCAATGATGCCATCTGCAGAACCGAAGAGCAATGAACAAGAAGTTTATTTTGGATCATTTCCCACCACATTTTTCATTTAAGAGAATCTTCCTGTACCTGAAGGTGGCTTTAATTGTCCAGATATTAGCCTACGTTAACATAAGCCATATTTGCTTACACGTACAAATAGCTGGCAAGTTTCTCCTTCTCTTAATGCCCCAGCTTGGGTAATTCTAGTCATGGTTTATTTCACACCTCTGTTTGGATGGCTCCTGCTGGGATCTAAATAGAATGAAAAGAAAGGCTGAATACATTGATCTTCCTCCCTGGCAACTGTAGTTCACCCCTCCCAGAGCTACAATTCCAAGCACCCTCAACCTAACGACAAATCCTAGGAGAGGACGAAGGGACGCACTCTCAATGCACGGGGCGTCTGGATGCAGCCAGAGATTTCAGATGCAATCAAGAGCCGCTTTGCAGAAGGGAAGGCGGCGTCCTCGGCTCTGGCAGCACCTGAAAGATGACCCAGTGGATCCCGGGATCTGGATCTGATGCAAAGGCAGGACCTGATGCCTGCCGGCTGGGAGCTCCCGCTTGGGCTCCGTGGCCACGATCCGAGGCTGGGCGCCCCCTGGGGGCCCATCTGCTTCTCCCAGCTGGCCTTCGTCTTTCTTTTTTTGGACTACAACTCCCTTCCTCCCTCACTGCTGGGGCTGCCAGAAGGGGATGATGGGAGTTGTAGTACAAAAAGACCCCTTCTTCGCCCCCTTTGGGATGAAGGGGAGGAGGCTCTTGGCTGACAGGAGAGCATAGCTGTCAACTGTCCCTTATTTGGCGGGAAATTCCCTTATCTCAGGCCCTTCCGCCACCATCCTCCTCGTGGTCGCCCAACTGAACGTCTCTGCCTGGGGCCTCCCCTCTGCCCGTCGCTGCCGCTCCCGCTAGCCTGTACTGCGGCTGCGCCACCGAAGGACCTGGATGAGATGGGCAGCCTGGCGTGGCCTATGAATTGCTGAGGAGCCTTGAGAGGAGAGCAAGGGCAACCATAGAGAAAGCAGTTCAGAGAGAGGCGGAGGCGCGGGAAGGTGTTCCAAGGGCTAAGCATAGAGGGGGAAAGTGGAGGAAGGACCGCAAGCGCTTCTCCCATAGATGTGTAATGGCAGAATAGTATAGATGGTCTGATCTGCGGGTTTACTTCAGGCGCTATTTTACCCCCCCCTCCTCCCGCCCCACCTGATGGAACCGAGAGCTGTAGATGGAGCACGAGAGAAAAGATACAGAACTGCAGCAGCATCTTCGTAGCTTGGACTTCGTTTTGCGCGAAAAGTGGTTGCTGCTTGTAGTTATTTAATTGCAGTGTTTCATCAGCTGGTGTATTGAGCAGCAAGCTCTGGAAACGAAGGGCTAAAAACCGGCGCTGCTCTCCCAAATTACAGTGGTACCTCGGATTAAGTACTTAATTCATTCCGGAGGTCCGTACTTAACCTGAAACTGTTCTTAACCTGAAGCACCACTTTAGCTAATGGGGCCTCCTGCTGCTGCCACGCCGCCGGAGCACGATTTCTGATCTCATCCTGAAGCAAAGTTCTTAACCTGAAGCACTATTTCTGGGTTAGCGGAGTCTGTAACCGGAAGCGTATGCAACCCGAGGTACCACTGTATCTGGTCACTTTTAACTTTGTATTTCAGCTGGTTGACTAAAATCCCTTATTTTGGCTGCTGATCCCTTGTTTTCGAGGCTGCTGGTCCCTTATTTTCAAATCTGTAAGTTGACAGCTATGCAGGAGAAGTGCTTCCTCTCTCTCCCCTGAAGGCTCCCTACTCCCGAGGAGGCTCCCTCCTGTGCTCAGCTGCATAGGGAATGAAGGCGTAGCCATTGCTCCGAGCGCGGCCGCCTGAGCGTGCCGCCGCCGCCACCACGCAGCCCCGAGCGGAGACTCCCCGCAGAGGGAGCGCGCAAAGGGACGCGGCCGCGCAAGAGGGAAGCAGGAAGACGGGCGCGCGCGTGTCACTCTGTATCCTTTCTACGTCTATGGGCCTTCCGAAGCCGCAGTCGTCACTTCCGCTTCTCCTTTGGAGAGCGGGAGAGTGGCGGTAGGCGCCCCCTGCCGACCACCCCGCCGGCGTTCCAACGGGAAGCGGAAGTGCCAACAGATGTGTCCCGCTACGCGGCTTCTCGCGAGGCCCTTGCGTCCAATGGGAGCGAGCTTCCGCCGGAAGGAGCTGGGGTAGAGAGCGGAAGTGCGGCTGGAGACTTCGCCGGGAGGGTGGCACGTGGGGCTGAGCGAGGAGGCGAGTTTTCCCTCCCATGGAAGCCAAGCGCCGACGGAGGGGACCCGCAGGCGGAGGAGGAAGAGGCCCCGGGAAGAAGAAGCTGGCCAGGAAGGCCGAGGAGGGTGAGGCGGGGGCGGGAAACGGGCCTCCCCTCCGAGGGCGAAGGCAAAGGGGTTGTGGGGGGGACGTGGGTGTGTTTTATGGGCCCCTCCCCTCCCTCGCATCGCCCGGGTCTGGGGAAAAGAAGAATTCTTGCTGGGAGTTGGAGGTCGCTGGCCGAGATCTTGCGGAGGCTTTTTTATTATTAATATTGCTTTGTCTACCATTTGGTGGAAAAGTGCAATACAAATTTAACACATACAGAAATAATTCTCTGAACCGCCTTCAGACCTCCGGGTATAGGGGGGTAAAGGTAAAGGGACCCCTGACCATTAGGTCCAGTCGTGGCCGACTCTGGGGTTGGTAGATAAATTCAATTAAGAATAATAATAAGGTAAAGGGACCCCTGACCATTAGGTCCAGTCGTGGCCGACTCTGGGGTTGGTAGATAAATTCAATTAAGAATAATAATAAGGTAAAGGGACCCCAGACCATTAGGTCCAGTCGTGGCCGACTCTGGGGTTAGTAGATAAATTCAATTAATAATAATAATAAGGTAAAGGGACCCCAGACCATTAGGTCCAGTCATGGCCGACTCTGGGGTTGGTAGATAAATTCAAATAATAATAATAAGCCCTAGGCTCTGTGGTTTAACCCACAGCACCACCCACATCCCATAATAATAATAGAACACCACAATTAGTAGTCCCTCTGATTTTATTTTTTAAAAATCCTTTCTTCACCGTAGCAGAAGTAGTGACAGCGTTTTTGTTTGCTGTTTTCTTTCCAGCATGGCAGTATGTCCACTTGATCCAAATTCTGTTCCCGTTAAATAATGTATCCTGTTATGTATTCTACGTTTCTGATGATGAATAGACAGTGTGGAATTTAATTCGTTCTCACAGAGGGTGGGCCATTTTCTAGTCACCATAATTATATGAAGAAACCTGACTTGGAAAGTGGAAGACTGTGTTTTGTTTTGTTTTTAAAAAAATCATGTAGGCACTTTTTATTTATTAAATTAAGGTATGAATGTATAGAATCAATACAGTTCCCTACCCCCAGGAAGTGACAAGCCACATGTTTCATATAACTGTTTTAACATCACTGTTACAAACAAAGTGGAAGACTGTTTGATGTGAAGATGCCCACAACACTTCCCTGTACTTTAGCATATAATTCTGCTTTAAGCACACCAGTGGCAGGGATAAAGGGTAACTCAAAATATATCCGTTGGAAAAAAGTTCTGTCATATTAGCTGTATGCTATGTACTGTATGTAAGTCCACCGAATGGTAGGGATTGTTAGATAAAACTAATCTAATAATCAAGTGGTTTCTACCAATAAAGTATTTTTATTTTATTTTTTACAAAATATACAAGTACATTATGCGTTTTCCATCTTAAGGTTTTTGTCCCATGTTGCCTTTTGCTCTTCCATTTATCCTCCCTGAATTGAAATTTCAAAGTTGGACTGAGAAGAATATAATACATATTGAATACAAACTGATCTGTTGTTGATTTTGTGAAATTATCTCTTTTGAAAACTTGAAATAGATACTGGTCCTCCAACCAAATTAAATAGAAAAAGTGGTGAAGATGGCAAGCCGAAATTTAAACGTAAGAAATTTGAGAGAGGAAACAAAAAGCCTGGTAAAACTGGAGTGAAACAATTCAAGAGTAAACAACCATCAGAAAAATTTACCAGGAAGCGCAAACTTCAAGATGATAAAGAAGGAGGTGAGAATAATACTTGGGTTTGTTTGTTTTTTTAAAGATATATTGATCAAAGAAAGATAAATGTCTCAGTGAATGTGCTACTTTTAAGATATTTGAAGGCGTCTACTGTCCACAATCTGTTGATGATGTGACAGGGCCTTCTCTGCCCTTGGCCCTGTTTGTGGAATGCCATCCCCATAGAAGTTGCCATTTTTTTTGGTGCCAGTTCAAGACCTGTCTATTTGCCCAGGCTTTTGAGTATTTTATCTAGTTGGTTTAGCTTACTGAGTAGCTTTAGTTGTTCCTATTTGAGGTGTTTTTATGGTTTTATCACTTTGTATTGCGTGATTTTTTAAAATTTAAGTGTTCCAATCCACCCGGGTACCTATACAGATGATGAGCTATAAGTAGTTCACATCTTAATGATGAATGTTTTCTTTTAAAGAATGTGTGAATTGTGACCAGCCTGCATGCTGTAGATTCATCTCTGCACAAAACTTGCAGAGCTGAGACAGTGGTTTGAAGCAGGGCCCCACAGTGCTATGCTGGCCTTGGTAGTGAAGTAAAACATTGTGGTTCCTAGGTCCCGCCCAGCGTTCAAATTAGCCAGGCGCATTTTGCACCTGGCTATTGTCCACTTGCAACCAAGTGAAGATGCCTGGGCGCCAGGATGGTGCCTGACGTCTCCACCATGTGGGGATCATTGGATCTGACCTGTTTTCACACACTAACAACACATCCTGTAGAATTCTATCAGTTATATGTTATCTGCAGAAGGAATTTCAGAAATCAAACTGCTTTTTCTGTGCCGCCTGAACAGGAGCAGTCACCATTATGAAAAAGATGTTGGAATAGGCCGATATATATGTGGACTGTCCCTGGATCACGTGACTTTTGTTCTTTAGGTTCTCGAAGCTCTTAACGCTGCTCAAGGTTGTCATCTCAACTAGCCAGCTGTTTAACTGAGAATCAATCACAGTCAGTCCATCCTTTGAAAAATAAGACTTTAGAGCCATCTTGCCCCCAAATGGCAACTAGACATTCCATTTGGGTGGCTGTAACCTTGATTTAGGGAGCCATTTGGCACCTAGCTTATATATCTGAGTTTCTAACACTGACTGGTAGGTCCCACCCCCTCCTAGCTTGGCCCCAGGGATGGGGGCGAGGACGGGCCCCGCCTGACTTTCTTGCAGGGAACTAGACAGTTTGGCTTGTATCTTCTTTGTGTCTCAACGACACAGCAGCCAAACCATCCCAAGCTTTCCTCCTAACATGGGAGTGAGGAAAGGTGCAGCAATAGCCACACAACTCCTGGAATAATACCCAGCCAGTCACGATTTTGGCTCCAAGGTTGACGGCGGCACGCTTGCCATTGTAAATGTAGCAAGGATGGATGGTCAGGAACATGAGTTATGAGCCTGAGGTTCAGATTTTAGTTATGTCATGAGTTTTCAGAGCTTGCCTTGGGCAAAACCCACACCTGTAATATCAGGATAATATGGGTCAGAGCTCCATGATAAAGAGCAGGTGTATGGAAAAGGTTGCTAGTTCAACCTTTGGCATTTGGAGATTAAGGAAAGGTGGAGAGTCACTAGAGAGCCTTTGTCTGAGTCTACTCTACTGGGCTATATGTATCCATGGTTCAACTTGGTATCATGTAAATGAACAAGCTGCTGCTTCAGAATAAGCTGTAACAGTTTTAAAAAGTTGGTTCTTTCCTCCAGACTGACATTCTTGGAATTTTAAACAGAGGCACAGCTGACAAAAATTGATTAGGGAAGTATTTCTGTCGGAGAGGATCCCATGAGCAGAGCAGTCTGCACCCAACAGTTGGCACTGTTTTTTAATTAACTTGTGTGATGTTTGATGCATCTTAAAGTGTGCTACAAAATGAATGCATTTTTGTCATCAGGGTCGGCGCCTAAGAAGCCTAAATGGGACGACATCAAGAAGAAGAAGAAGGAGCTGAAGCAGAGCCGACAGCTGAATGACAAAGTCAACTATGATGTGGTGCTTAAGGGAAAGCAGATTTGGGAATCTCTGAGGCAGTAAGAACGACTTGCGCTGCACGTTCCTGAACTTAACACTGTACTTGTTTTTCCTTCTCACGAAGGAAGAAAGTTTGTTCTGCCTTAGACTTCAGTATAATGCACACACAGACATGGTTCATTGCTTCAGTTGTCTGTGTGGATTATAAAACTGAGGCTGTACGTCAGTGTTTTAGGTTCATTAAAAAAATAAAATCATAACTAGATGAATATGTGTCCTTCATTAAAGCATGGATAAAGGATTACATATTACAAAAGAATCTTTGGACAAAGAGGCTACCTGCGAGTTGAGCACCTGCTGTTAAGTGTTTGGCTTGAGTGTAGAACCCCAGGCCGCCTCCACACCTTGCTTTTGCAGTGCTATGATGCTGCTTTAAACAGCCATGGCTCCCCACCAGCTAATCTGGGGGCTGTAGTTCTCAAATTGGTTTGACAACCCGTCCCTCTTCCCAGAAAACCCTGGGAATTGTAATTCTGGGAGAGGAGAATAAGGGTCTCGTGGCAACGCTCAGCACCCTTAACAAGCTACAGCTCCCAGAATTCATTGGCAGAAGCCATGCCTCTTTCAAGTGGTTTTGCTTTAAAAGTGTGGTGTCAAATCTCTGCTCAGTCTTAACTCACTAAATGGCCTTGGGCAAGTGGCAATCTCTTCACCAGTCTGCTTTACTCGGTGGTTGTGAGAGCTCTCCTCTCCCCCCTCAGCCATCCGTTGCGCTGATCATGCTGCACTCCACTCTGCTACCAAAGTGGCAAGGATCTAGTCATGCAGTATCGGGGGTTGGACTAGATGACCCTAGGGGTCCCTTCCAACTACAGTTCTTTGAATCTGTGCTGTGTTTCACTAAAAGGGTGGGTGCCCTTATCATTAGAGTTCCCAGTGGAAGGTATACAGCACTGTGTCCTCAATAAAGTTGGGCAACAAACGTCTTACCTGCCATATTCCCCACCCCAAAGAAAAGGTTTTTGATTGTAGTAAGGGAATGAGTTTTGGAACAGACAATAAGCAAATACTGTAATCTGTTACGCTGCTCTCAGTTGCTTCTGGACAGCACTTTAACATGTTAGTCTTCCAACGTTAGATGCCAAACTTATTAAAGTACAAGATAATTCAGTTACTGTATCAAGAATAATACTAATAATAATAATAATTGTTGCATTGTCTTAAGATTTTCTTGGTTTTGTAGGAAAAAATGTGAGAAGGAGAAGCGGGAAAAGATGTTGAGTGAACTCCAAGAGCTGCTTCGTGGGAAAATAAAAAATGTAAGCAGAATAGCAGAATAGAGTGAAACATGACTCTCAAATGGCTGGACTTGTTGGGGTTTTGTAATGATGGGGAAAGGGCATGTCTGGTTCTGCTGCGCCTCCATGTGATGGGGGCTGGGGGGGGCAAGTAGAATGTCTGTTCCCAGGCCCAAGGGTCATCCTAACAGTTCATCTACCTGTTGCATCACCTGCCAAGTACCTCAGAGGTCTCCAAGCCCAGGACACAGCTTTTCAGCAGGTGCAAGCAGCAGGAATACAGTGGTACCTCGGGTTAAGTACTTAATTCGTTCCGTACTTAACCTGAAACTGTTCTTAACCTGAAGCACCACTTTAGCTAATGGCGCCTCCCGCTGCCGCTGGGCCGCCGGAGCATGATTTGTGTTCTCATCCTGAAGCAAAGTTCTTAACCTGAGATACTATTTCTGGGTTAGCGGAGTCTGTAACCTGAAGCGTATGTAACCCGAGGTACCACTGTATCCCATTCTCTGGATCCAGTTCATTGTATTGTCTTGTACTGGAATGCTTCATCTGTTTTACCATCATCATCAATGTATTATTTTTATTTATTAAATTTGTATACTGCCCTATGCCTGCAGGTCTCAGGGCGGTTCACAGGATAAAATCACAATATAAAAACACAAAGCAAAACAAAACAACCCAGTAACACCCCCCGCCCCCCGCCGGAATAACCCTCCAGAATTGGATCCCATGATGCCTGGTGCACCTTGTAAGGAAATAATAATAATAATGCAGGTTGTAGGAGCCCTTGGTTGTAGGGACGCGGGTGGCACTGTGGGTTAAACCACAGAGCCTAGGACTTGCCAATCAGAAGGTCGGCGGTTTGAATCCCTGCAACGGGGTGAGCTCCTGTTACTCGGTCCCTGCTCCTGCCAACCTAGCAGTTCGAAAGCACGTCAAAGTGCAAGTAGATAAATAGGTACCGCTCCGGCGGGAAGGTAAACGGTGTTTCTGTGCGCTGCTCTGGTTTGCCAGAAGCAGCTTAGTCATGCTGGCCACATGACCCAGAAGCTGCACGTGGGCTCCTTCGGCCAGTAAAGCGAGATGAGCACCGCAACCCCAGAGTCGGTCACGACTGGACCTAATGGTCAGGGGTACCTTTACCTTTACCTTTAGGAGCCCTTGAAATGCCAAATGCTGGAACGGTAAAAAGTACAGGGGCATTTCCCCCCCCCCCCATTGGTTTAGTTTGTTTACTTGTCTAATGCCAGCACACTCATACAGTTCATTTCTTTGGGAGTGTATTATGTTTTCGCAGCCCCAGTTAGCTGCAGACAACTTTTAGGAATTTTGTTAAAGCCAACCGTGAAGATAAATCTGTTGAAATGCAATGCTGCCTAAATGACTTAGGGGGAATGATTCATCTCAAAGGAACCATTTATCCCCACAGATGGCGTTTGCTCACGATTCGACCCGCGTCATCCAGTGCTACATTCAGTTTGGCAATGCAGAGCAAAGGCAAGAAGTATTTGAAGAACTGAAAGGTACAGTTTCCAGAAACAAATGGCTTGCCTTCAGAGCTCTTGGTGTTTACAGCTTCTTATGGTGGTTTCTTATCGCACAGATAGTTTCACCGAACTAAGCAAAGCCAAGTATTCCAGAAATATTGTGAAGAAGCTTCTTGCCTATGGGTAAGTTTTTCCTTTTTCTACGCTTCTCTCCACTTCTGAGGGAAGTCAAGCCAGAGAACGGAGTGTAAAGGAGAGAATGAGGGAGCTGGACTGTGGTGCTTGGCTTCAAATCCTTGCTCAGCTTACTCTCTTGTGTCAAAAAGATGAAATGGGCATTGGCAGAACGCGATGTGAAGGGAACGTTATTGAAACCCACTCCTTCCTTATGATGATCCCACTGAGATCATGGCACTGCTCTGGAAAATGCTTGTGTGTCTAAAGTCCTCTAGCTCCAAAAGACAAAGAAATTGGTTTCGTCTCTTCCTAGTCACTGGATACTACTGATGTCTGTCCCACGTCTGAAAAATGCCAATTTGGTTGATATGACTTGGATATGTGACTCTAAACCAGCTCATAGCATCATCATATGTTAAAAAGTCATGCCATGTCATTTGTAGACAACTTCTTTTTCTTTCCAAAAAATTTTTTATTGGTTTTCACAACATTATAAACACACAAACACATAAGACAAACAAACATAAATCATAGCCTTATTGAAAATTACACTGATTAGCATTGTTAAGTGACTTCCTCGCTTCCCCTTGGTTGAATTTCATTGCATATCCTTTTAACGGTTTTCCAAATCTCAGTTCTTACAAAATTTAACTTAAACATTAACATCCTTAGATCTTCAGATTATGAAATTAAACATATTAATTCATCCCTTAACATAAATTAAATCCTAAGCCAATTAAGTATCTGCAAGCTGTTTTCACTTAATTTAACTTAACATATTTAACTAAGTAATCATTAAATTTAATCTACTCTTCCTGATACTCCTCCTCCTTCTGGTCGCGGACTCTTCCAGTTAGGTTGGCTAGCTCCAGAAAATCCATCATCTTCATCTGCCATTTTTCTACCGTTGGTAATTCTTGGGTTTTCCACTTTTTAGCTAACAAAATACAAGCAGCAGTTGTGGCTTACAAAAATAATTTAATATCTTTCTTGGGAAATTCCAAACCTGTTACTCCAAGAAGAAAGGCCTCTGGTTTCTTTATAAATGTATATTTCAACATTTTTTCCAATTCATTATAAATCTTTTCCCAGAAGTCTTTCACCTTGGGGCAGGTCCACCACATATGAAAGAATGTTCCTTCCTTTTCTTTACATTTCCAACATAGATTGTCACAGTTGTCATATATCTTTGCTAATTTTACAGGAGTCAAATACCTCTAAAACTTAGCTCAGTGCATGAGACTCTGCTTCTCCCTGAGTGCCAGGAAGCCCAGGGGAGAGGGTCAGGATTTGTACCAAGCAACCAAAAACTAGGGTTGGCTACCAAGCAGATCCAAACTGTCACCCAGTGAGTGGCCTGATTCTGGCATCTCTCTCTCCTACGAAACTATGTATATTAATACACATAAGACATTCACACACAGTGAGATAAAACGTGGGCTGGATCCAGACTGCCTTCCATGAATGGAATGGCTCTTCCAGTTCACAGAAGCTTCTGATCCAGCAGAGGGACCCGGCTGTCGCAGGAAGGGAAGGCAACGGCTGCTGCTTCATCCCTCCCCCTGCAGTAGAAGAAGAAGAGGAGTTTGGATTTGATATCCCGCTTTATCACTACCCTAAGGAGTCTCAAAGCAGCTAACAATCTCCTTTTCTTTCCTCCCCCACAACAAACACTCTGTGAGGTGAGTGGGGCTGAGAGACTTCAGAGAAGTGTGACTAGCCCAAGGTCACCCAGCAGCTGCATGTGGAGGAGCGGGGAATCGAACCCAGTTCACCAGATTACAAGTCCACCGCTCTTAACCACTACACCACACTGGCTCCCAGCACTATTCCACAGGGTCCCGCAAAGCAAGAGGAAGGTGGCAAAAGTTGCCGCTCCTTCTGACAGCTCAGTCCCTTTGCTAGTGGCGTCAAAGTTTGGATCAGAGTCTTTCTTTTCTCCCCACCGTTGAAAAAGAATAAAAAATCAGTTGTGTTTAATAAGTGATTGCTCAAAGTCTCTGGTCCGCTTTTCTTTTCCGACTTTTGAACCGCTATCTGTGTTTATTCCTGAAACAGAACGAAGCCACAAATTGCAGAGATAATCAAAAGCTTTAAAGGCGAGGTCAGGAAGATGCTGCGCCATGCGGAAGCGTCGGCTGTGGTGGAGTACGCCTATAACGACAAAGCCATTTTGGAGCAGAGGAACATGTTGACTGAGGAGCTGTATGGGAACACATTCCAGGTCTACAAGGTGGTGTATCGAGGCAACTTTTTGGCAGCTTTCCCCCACAGTATTGTTTTTAGATTTTAGATACTGTGTGCCGTGGGAGAGAAAAGGAAGGGTGGCGAATGGGAAAGGAAACACAGTGGCACCTCGGGTTACAGATGCTTCAGGTTACAGACGTTTCAGGTTGCAGACTCCGCTAACCCAGAAATAGTGCTTCAGGTTAAGAACTTTGCTTCAGGATGAGAACAGAAATCGTGCTCCGGCGGCGCAGCCACAGGAGGCCCCATTAGCTAAAGTGGTGCTTCAGGTTAAGAACAGTTTCAGGTTAAGAACGGACCTCCAGAACGAATTAAGTTCTTAATCCGAGGTACCACTGTACTGCTGTTTTATTTCCAGAGCTGGAGCTCTAAATGTGGGCCCCTCTGTACATGCAGTCAGTGCTGTTTGTGTCTCGCCCCGACAGAATTTCCTTCCTATCTTTGAAGTCCTTCACTAGAGCAGAGCAGAGCATACTTGGGGCTAAAGGATATCGTGTCTTATCTATACCAGGAAGAGGTGGTCTTGGGAATACCAGCTTCGCCACTATGAAAACTAGGAATTCTGTTTATAAGCAAACCTGCCATTCCCGTGATTCTAGTTAACATCTTGATAGCTTCATTAAAACTGGGATACATAGCAACCTGATCCATAGATCTAGGCTAGCTGTTTCAAAAATGTATTGGCATCTGAACACATGTTTGCTTGGTCCCTTCTCTAGGGGTTGACTTTATTAAGAGAAGTTGGTTCTGCTTAAATGACAGAGGCCAACTTGAAAGACCTGTCGCCACGTTTTAATTTGTCTGGTGTGAAACTCTGAATGCAAAGGCTTTATAGACAAAAATAGATATTTGATTCCTGCAGAATTTAGAGATCTCTGGAGAGCATTGTTTAAGTTGATTGGTTTGCAATTATTGATTATTCAGGTACAGTATAAAGAAGTCTTACAGTTGAACTTGCTATACAATGTTTGACTTTTGACTTCAGTTTGAAATGGTCTAGTTCCATGCCCCCCATTGCCGTTTTTAAGGATTTAAAAAGTAATCATTAGCTTACATTTGAAAGGGAGTGGTTTTATTAGGAATTTTCATGTTTGAAAATCTGGATAGAGCCATTCCAATTCCTATTAAAAAATTAAGCTTAATGAAGTTGTTTTAAAAGCTTTGAAACCACGAATACTAATACGCTATTACTTGAATTCTCCTTTCATTATGTGCTGCATCATTTTCTCTTAAAGACTCACAGATCACACATTGTGGATATCTTTAATGAGAGACCAATTAACAGGAGTTCCACTTTGCACACTAATTAGAAACTGTCTTCTTTTGGAAATGGTAGCTCAAAGTGAATGTAAGAAGCAGTTATACCTGCTGTTTTAACCCTTTTAAAAGCTGTGCATGAATAGGAGCTACTTCAGCCTTTTTAATAGGACTCTTTTGCAAATTGCACTGTGATCCTTAACCTGCTTGCAGAGAAGTCAGATTTCTTCACTACCAGATTTGTGGTGCTGATGGGCACTCAGGTGCAACCGCCGGCTCCTCTATCAGTTCAGTTTCAGGCACAGCTGCCCTGGTTCTGTTGGGGATGTGTGAGTAGGAAGCCAAACCCTGCATTGCTCTGAATTGGGATATCGTAGGTTTGACCATCTGAATGAGTCAAAGTCTCTATGCTGGAACTGAGAGGCCACAATAAGGCAAGAGTGTCTTGTATTTCTTCAGAACAAAAAAGGTTGTACCCAGTTAGGATGGATCTTTGCAGAGCACACGTGAACAAAATTATAATGGGGCAGTTCTCCCTTATTTGCAGCCCTTTTTATTATAAAAAAGTATTCTCTGTATAGGTAAAACTGGATGGAGCAAAAAGGTCAAAAGTGAGGCTGGATGAATACACAAATACAGTGGTTACATACGCTTCAGGTTACAGACTCCGCTAACCCAGAAATAGTACCTCAGGTTAAGAACTTTGCTTCAGGATGAGAACAGAAATCGTGCTCTGGCGGCGCGGCAGCAGCAGGAGGTCCCATTAGCTAAAGTGGTGCTTCAGGTTAAGAACAGTTTCAGGTTAAGAACGGATCTCCGGAACGAATTAAGTACTTAACCCGAGGTACCACTGTATAATGAATTAGTGCATTTCCCTTCTTTTTGTCCCAATTACAGTATTAAAATAGGCAGGCAGAGCATTTGACACCTATGAGTGTGTTTCACCCTTTAGTCGCATAGTTTTATACACCTTGCTTTCTCTCCAGCCTGTCATTATGTTTCATCAGGACCTCTAGTATGTCAATAAGACCAGGTTGCAAGATAAACTCTCGCAAATGTATCCTTGGAAACGGAGTGCAGTTCAGGCTGTACATAAAATGTCCTTCGCTGGTCACTAGGTACAAAATGCCTTTTGTCTAGATCTTTCTGGAGACTTCAGTTCCCTCTTAAATGGTTAAATAGTAGGTGCCAGCTGGACCGTCCTTCACAGGTCATCTGAGGTCTGTCACAGGGAAGCCAGTGGCTTATCAGAGGTGCTGTCTGTACGGAGCCTCTCAACTGAGTCTAATGAGGTCACAGTGTCAAGATACAGTGGCAGACTTGCTTTATACTGAAGATTCTTCATTGTGCTTTTGGCTCTTTAATGTCATTAAAATTCAGCGTAGCGGCTTTTCTTAAATTTCAGTCATCAGAACACCCAACTTTAGAGGAAGTGTTGAAGGCTCAGCCTGAGAAGCGGGAGGCCATTCTGGATGAAATGAAACAGATCCTGACTCCAATGGCGCAAAAGTAAGGGCAACAATTTAGCATGAGGCGTATCGCAGCCAACTGTGTAGCACTTCTCTTAAAAGTGTGTTCTCATCCCTTTTAACGTCTCTTGAGATAACTTTGAAACCGTTCCATTTTGAATGTAAACACTTAAGCTGGTGAAAGCCCAGCAGATCTTTCCAAGATGACTTATTTAATGTGGGAACATCAAAGGCTCTTCAAAAACAAAATCAGTCCCCAGTGCTTCTTCTTGCCTTTTGGGTCTCTCTCTCTCCTTAAAAGCAGGAGTGGGGAAACGGGGACCCTCCAGAGGTTGATGGGCCCCAAATCCTGTGATCTCTAACCATTGACCATTGGGTTGGGGCGGATGGGACTTGTGGTCTGCTAACATCTGGAGAGCCACGGACTCCCTGCCTGAGAGAGAGCCAAGGAGACACATAGGAACGCAGCCAAGTCCTGTGCACAGATTGGTTCTCTGGCTTGACAACTAGCCTGCTCTGAATGCAACTGCAGATGTATCTATAACTTCCGTTACAATTCTCTGCACATGCAGTTCCATGTCATGGTATTATGTAAGTACAGACTTCTGTTTGTTTCCCCCCTGTTTCATCTTGCAGGGAGGCTGTGATAAAGCATTCGTTGGTGCATAAAGTCTTTCTGGACTTCTTTATCCATGCTACCCCAAAACAGAGATCAGTAAGTATTGGCACAGCTATGGATTTTGATCTGGTTTCATGTTAACAAATAAACAGTACAAGTGCATGCCAGGCATTTCTACTCCGCAGAGCTGTGTCTCTTAGCAGCTCCTGTGCCTCCTCCGCTTGCTGGATTAGGAATCTGAAACATAACGAAGTCACTTCAGAGGATCCGCGTGGTCTTGATGGGATGCGCACCCTTCCCACTTCCTGGCACAACTTGCCAGGCATCATGTCTTGAAACAGGATAGGGCTGAATTAGGGTGCTCAACTCGGTTTCTTCCAGCTGCATTTGCATACCTGAAGTTAGACATTCTTCCTAATTAAATGCTGGTAGCCCTGTGATGATTGTGACCAGAGCATACTGTTCTTTGTCGTGCCAGTGGCTTCGGGCTTCTCCTTTTTAGTTGCTCTTGTGTTACTCTGGTTCTGAGAATTTGAAATACTTTCCATTCCTGGTTGTAAGGAAAGATAACGCAGGCCCACAGAGCTGATCAGAATAATACCATTTATATTATGGTAGTTGATTTGTGTTAAATTCATTAAAACCATCTCCTTAAATCTGTCTAGGAAATGATTGAGTCAATCAGAGAATCTGTAATCTACTTGGCACACACGCACGATGGAGCCAGAGTCGCCATGCATTGCCTGTGGCATGGAACCCCCAAGGTTTGTATGCAGAGTTCGTGTAGATCAAATGAGAATTGGTGAGACCTTTCTAAAAAGTTTCACTGGGGAGCCTTTTCCCTCACTACTTAGCTGTGCCTGACTTTGACAAATGTGTTTGTGAGACACAAAAGAATGGAAATGCCCAACCCTTTCGTTAGAATTAGTATCTAAAAAGTACTAAGGAGGCTTTATGACTAGCCTTGCGCCTCAAATGAAATGACAGTGCTTATCATGGTGCCTTGGCAAGCAAGCTGAAAATTCAAACTTCAGAGAGAGAGAGAGAGCTGTGCCTTCATTATGTAAATGCTTAAAGCTGAGACTTGTACATAAGCTGAAGTGCTGTCAGGATCTCTTCCAGGGCTTTCCCAAAATACTGAAGACTTGCAGGCTGGTTGCAGCACCCAGCTTGCTTATTTTGCATCCCATAGGGCAGGGATGTCCAAGTGGTCGACTGCGATCGACAGGTCGATCCCCTGGTGCTAGCAGTAGATCGCAGGCTCATTTTCCTCTGGGGTGGGGGGGGGAGAGCATCTGTCCCCACCCACTCGCTGTGTCCTTGATTTGCGCACGATTGCAAAGATGGAAGAGGGAGTTACTGCAGCCAGGTTTTTTACGTGATTAGCAATGTCTGCCATTTCCCCCCACCCAAAGCAGCAGAACTATGGGGTTTCCCCTTAAAAAGCTGAACTGGTTTGGCCTCCTTGGGCTTGCTACCATAAAAAAGCTCAACAACATTAGTCCCCGGCCCACCCCCAAATGGGTAGATCACTGCTAGTCCCCTCCCCCCCCGGAGTAGATCGCAGTCTCTTGGGAGTTGGATGTCCCTGCCATAGGGAGTTAAAATGCCTCTTTGTGGAACATTGAAAGGTGTCCAAGCCCATCAGCAAAGAGAGGAGAGATGGGAGAAGAAGGTCTTCCTCTGTGACTGCAGTGCTCTTCCTCTCCCTGGATTCAGGGGTGCAACAGGGCCGTGGTCCCAGTCTTTTTCCAGCATGTCTCAGACAGCCAGGCATGCTGCCTTGACCTGCTGTGAATTGCTGAGAAGAGATTGCATGTTGTAGTTGAACTGGACAAGGGGAGGTGAAGAGACAATAAACAGCAATAACAGAATGAAGTGAGGAGGCGGTAGCAGGGATGAGATTACAGAGAAACATGGAGAAAGGGGGACAGTTAATAGAGAGCAGAATGGGGAGGGCGGGCAGAGAAATGGGATATTGCATGACGTACTTCCTCATGGAACCCTGATGGACGCAGGAGGCTTAATCGATCCAAGTGGGATCACTTAAGGGATCTTCTGCAGCAAGCTTTGCTTTAACAGTCATCTGCAGGGTAGCTTTCTATCCTTCCTATAGAAGTGGGGTTCAAGCTTCTCTAGCTTCTCAAGGACTCTTTGGCCTCCTCCAAATGGGTATATTTGCTGGAATGTTGCACATTCTGAAGTCAGAAACCCGACATTATGCAGTGGCTCTGCATTCATTTTAAAGCTTGTTGGCCTGACACGCTAATTTATTGCTTTTTCTTCATTTCTCTTGTCAGGACAGAAAAGTCATTATGAAAACCATGAAGACTTATGTTGAAAAAATAGCTAATGTGAGTATTTTTAAAGATTTGTTTGGTGATTTTGAGCAGCAGAATCCTGTGCATATTTACTCAGAAGCAAGTGTGTCTTAGGAGTGAGGCTTAAAAATGTCACTGTTGTGGCCTTATTTTCAATTGAAACTGCATGGATTGAGAAGTTTTATTCTCCAGTGTTCAAGCTTATGTATGAAACATCAATATACATGAATTTAAGGAAGAGATTTGAACCTAGACAAAAAAGCAAATTCCATAGCAAAGGGCCAAAAATAGAAGCAGGACTTCTAATTCTTCATTTGAAATAGCTCTGCTTTACACAGAAACAACTGAGGGATGATGACAGGGCTGGGTTTTTTGTTTTGTTAATAAAGCATTCCCCACAAATGAAACCTTAAGCACATTTACTCAGATGTAAGTCTCTCAGAGTTAAGTGAGGCTTAATTCCCAGTAATTGTGCATAAGAATTAGTATGATGGAACTTGTTATTGTGTGAGATGAATAGTCATTGTTGATCTTTAGCAAATGAACTGGACCGGCTGCTTGGTTAATCGGGCTTCTATGTCTTATGTCTTATGATGTTCTTGCTTTTGGGTTCCTATTTCAGGGCGAATTCTCACACTTAGTTTTGCTAGCGGCATTTGACTGCATTGATGACACTAAACTTGTGAAACAGCTAACTATATCTGTAAGTAGTCTGACTTCCTAAAATTCTCAAGATTTCCCATTTCACTTAGTAACAAGGTGTAAATTACACTGGAAACGCTCACGTGTTTTTAGGCCTGGTTTGCAAACATTTCAAGTTTATTTTCTTGTGAGACAAAACTAACTTCATTGTGGTGGTTTTGCTGTTGCTTGGAATGCCATAGCATGCTCCATTTACTCACTGCTTTGATTTGAGATGGTATGTGTGCTGGAAACTCTCAGGTTATGCTGAATCGCTTGGCTACCTAGTGAGTGATTATGCAAAGAATTAAAATATTCCTCCCAGGGCAATACTGCTCTTCAGTATCAAAATAGATGATACTTCAGCTTGCACCATTTCAGAGTATAAGGTAAATTTCAAGGTCCAATGTAGTGCATTACCTATAAAGGTAAAGGGACCCCTGACCATTAGGTCCCGTTGTGACTGACTCTGGGGTTGCGGTGCTCATCTCGCTTTATTGGCTGAGGGAGCTGGCGTACAGCTTCTGGGTCATGTGGCCAGCATGACTAAGCCGCTTCTGGCGAACCAGAGCAGCGCACGGAAACACCGTTTACCTTCCTGCCGGAGCGCTACCTATTTATCTACTTGCACTGGTGTGCTTTCGAACTGCTAGGTTGGCAGGAGCTCACCCTGTCGTGGGGATTCGAACCACCGACCTTCTGATCGGCAAGTCCTAGGCTCTGCGGTTTAACCCACAGCGCCACCCGCGTCCCTTATCTATAAACGTACACCCAGTCAAAAACAGGGTGTTGAAGCACGTGGTTCTTCTGTTCCCCTCCCCTACATAGAATCACAGAACTGTAGAGTTTGAAGCATCCCAGGGATCATCTAGTCTAACCCCCCGCAAGGCAGGAGGAGCAAAGCTGTGATTCTCCAGGAGCCTGCTTGTTTGTGCTAAGCCATGGTTTGGTTTAGCATTACACGCAGACCATGATTTTGTTATGTAGAATCTAGTTCTCCTGTGCATTGAATTCTTCGACAAGTTTATAACTGCAAAATGCACCCAAAGAGGTCTCCACATCGTTCATAGAAGGTGGTAACGCTGCATGAATCCATTGACAGCTACTTCATTAAAATAAGGAACGGGAACGTCTTTTGCAATATTTCATCACCATTTCCCAAACTATCCTCACCTCTCTGTCTAATAAGTGCAGCGTTGCCACCCGTGTTAGATTAAATGGATGAATCCGTCTTCAGGCAACGTCAAGGGGGCACGGTTCTGTCATGACTTCATCTGCCTCAGGCTTCTGTGCAAAATAGAGAGCACTGGCGCTGGCTGGAAGTAGGCTGGAAGTCAAGCAGCAATCACACGCTGGAGCCTTGTAGGAACGTGTTCATAGAAAAAGTTAAAATAGATGTCTTGTTAGACTTTGCACATGGGATGAACCCCTTTCCTCTAACTTGAGAATAAAATAAGTATTGACGAACAAAGCTGGACTCCTCAAAATAATTTTGCAATTAATCCACATCTAAAAAGTTTATACTAATTGTACCTGCAGATATGCTTAAAGGTGTTTTTCTATATATATATACACTCTCCCCTTTCTAAGCATGCAGAAATAAAAAGAGAAGAATTACTTAACAATACAAGGGAAGGAGATGGAAGGGATGGCTACTGTCTGTCTAGTGCACATGGTTAAGTCAGTTTTTGTCTGTGTTTGGGATGGGCGTCCCTACATGGGTGTATTGCATGTATTACAGCAGCAGTGAAAACTATGAGCCAAGATTGTGATCCCTCTCCAAGTAACTAAAAATGAAATTGTTTGTTGAAAACAATCTTCCACTAACAATGCTTTTCCTCTTCTTTTAGGAAATTAGCGATTCCTTAACCAGCATTGTAAATAACAAATATGGAAGGAAAGTCCTCTTGTACCTGTTAAGTCCCAGGGATACTGCGTATTTCTCACCAGCAATAATCAAAATCCTGGAACAGGGTGATGGAAATGCTTACAGGTAAGCAGAAAATGCCATTTCCACAGTTTTGTGGACGTCCAAATTTAACATTGTCTGCCAGTTGTGCAGAGAAGCAGTTATTTGAAGGAAAGGAAACTAGCAGAACAGGGCTTTCCCCGTGGCATTTCTGTTAACGAGAGTGGAGGCTGGAGAGGAAGGCTATGAGATGATCACCATTTGTTCACACTGCTTGTGTACATTTGCATCTGCTCCCAGGGAGGGGGAGTGGCTGGCTGCACCCAGGTGGAAATGTCTTGCATTGAGCACACGTTTACCCTGCTGCATCTTAGAGTGGCTAACCCATGATTCTAGAAATACCGTATTTTTTGCTCCATAAGACGCACCTAGTTTTAAGAGGAGGAAAACAAGAAAAAAATATTCTGAACAAAACAGTGGATGTATGATTTTTGTGGTTCATGCTGTGGCCACAGACATGTGATCTGATGGTGAATTTGGGGTGACCCAATGCAAAAATCCAGAGGATCCCTGTGGATCCGTGCTTTGTAACCACGTTTTTGCACCATTGCGGCCCCACGCAACAGTGAGTGTGTGTTTTTTTGGTACAGGATGTAGCCATGGACATGCTATGTGATCTGATGGTGAATTTGTGGTGACCCAATGTAAAAATCCTGAGGATTCATGGGCTTTTACCTCCCACCTCCCAGGCAGCCTCCGCTAGCGTCCCTTATCTCTCTTCTGATTCCACCATCAGCTGTTTCCTTTCAACACTCCCTTCCCTCTTGTTTGCCTTAGTGAAGTGTCTTTTCCTTAGCTGGAGCAGTTTTTTGCTCCTCCTTTTCTTCTAATTTCTCTCCTTATTGCTTTAGTCTTCCTGTTTTCCCCCTTTGCAAATTTGCTGTCTTTACCACCCCCCTCCCAGGCAGCCTCTTTTATCTCTAGCATCCCTTATCTCTCTCCCCGACCCCCTTCCCTCTTTTCAAAAAAAACAAAACAAAAAAACATGACCTGCTTTTTGCCCCTGGGCAATTCGGCTCGAGGGACCACGCTTTCGCTCCATAAGACGCACAGACATTTCCCCTTACTTTTTAGGAAGAAAAAAGTGTGTCTTACGGAGTGAAAAATACGCACTCCAGATGCAAAAAAGGAAGCTGCCCTTGTTACCCCCTGCGCATCCGCCCCCCACAACAGGTGGAAGGTCCCCTGCTGAAATACACCCATCTGTGAATAAGGGAACCATAACTGGTTTCTCTCTATGAGAGCCACATGCAGCCACCCTGAACCATTTCTCCATCCCTTGCAATTATGGCACTTGCCTCGGCCCCACGTGTAGCCCCCCCCCCAAAGCAGTGCTGGTTCTCAGAAAGGGGCCTCCCTGTGCAGATGCAGACAGGCTTGTCCCCTTCAGTGGCAGGTGGGCGAGGGTCTGCTATTAATGTGAACAGGACTACCCGGGGGTGTTTCGATGATTTCCTGAAGGTTAATCCTCAGACCCAGCCATTTCTCAAGGGATGGAAGGAATCATGTCGGCAATGAGCTCCCATACCTCTCAGCTACGATGTAAAGAAGAGCAGTTCTGCATGCTTATTATTTTGTGCTTGTCGGACAGCTCCCTCTCATCGCAACATTGCCACGTGTATAATCACCGATGCTTCTGGGGCATTCTGAATTGAGGCGTAAAAGCGGAACCAATTTTCCATTTATGCAGGTTACATTTAGTGCGTTCCGGGGAGAAAGCAAGAGGGCTACGTTTGGATTTTAAATTGGACAATTTCGAGTGAATGGATTATGTTGTACCAAACCAAATTCCGGCAGTAAAAGAGCTGCTTTTTATTCCAACAGTAAAAAAGATGTAGATGTTCGCCGCCGTGAACTTCTGGAAGCTGTTTCTCCCGCCTTGTTAAAGTACCTGAATGAACATGCTGAAGAAATGGTGATGGACAAGGCAACGTTCATTGTGGTGACGGGGATCCTCAAGGCTGCTGTTGGCGACGTCCAGCCAGCCATGAAGGCCATTGCTGGCCTCGCGGCAAGAGAGATGGTTCCAGGGGGCAAAGATGGAGAGGTAACTGTGCCTGTAAAGGAGCAAGCGGTAGAGTTAAGAATTGGGGGTCCCTCTCTGGGGGCCCCATCCCTGGGATCTGCTGCAATTTGGCTATCAAATTGGGATAAACCAAATTATCCTGATTCAAGCACTGGACTACAGCAAAGGGCTTGTCGAGTCTCATGCAGGATCCTGGGATCCAGCTGGAAGGAACTGCATAATAATTCTTCCACGCTGAAGGAATGATAAGTAGATAGTGAGATTTTTTTTTAAGCACAATTTTTGGATCATTTTTAAATGATAAGGAGCAAATTGTTGGGCTGCGTCCAGAACTGCAGCTCCACTTGGGCAGCAGGCTTTGTACAGGCGACAGAAGGTCCTCTTTCTCTCTTGTAACTCTCTGCCCTTCCTCAAAACCGGGTCTGGGGGCCCCTCTGGAGAAGGTTTACAGGGTTGGGGGGGGGTGAAGAAGGAACGGAAGCCCCGTTGTGCAAGTGGAACTCGGCTCATGCAGCGTTGGGTAGAACCCATTATTTTTAACCTGTACCTGAAACTTAGGATAACAACATCGTTTCTTGTAGCTGAATGAGGTTGTAAATGTCCTAGCTTGGAGTAAGTAGACTACTTTTGTGGTTTTATAGCTGTATGAACCACTGACTATACTATGCCAAATACACAATTTATTTCCATAATTTCAGCGTGTGGCATATTTTGTCACTTGCCTAAATGATACTTTCCTATAACCTTGAAGCCCACTGGCATTTTAGGAACACATTTGGAGAAAAGAAGCAGATACTTTGGGCTGAGGGTGTTGCATATAATTTATACCCCATTTCTTAAATTTTGTATTGGTATATCTGCTTGTAACATCATTGTAAGCACTTGGCAAATAAAACTTTCGTGTATTTTAACCACCTAAAAGCTTTATTTTTTTTTTTTTTTTAAATCATATTTATTAAAGTTTCCAAAAATATAAAAATACAAAGAAAAAAGACAAAAGAAAGAAGATATTTAAAAATCTTACTTTCATTCCCTACTTTCTGGGACTCCCCCTCCCCCAATTGTATTCCCCTTTCCTTAATTTGGTTCTACAAGCTCTCACTCCCAATTTAAAGCTTAATTTGTTTAACCCACTATCCAGATTGAATTGTACAAATCTTACCACCGTCCCACATCATTAACAGAAAAAAGAAAAAAGATTTTCCCCAAGATCCACCCCAGTTCCTTCCACAAATTCCCTTTTTTTTAAGCACGTCCGATCAAAGTAAAATAACATGCGTAAGTTATGTAAAGAAATAGAAAATAAGAGATATAGAAAAATTCAAAAAATGGTTACACAGCCTTTGGATTTCAAATCTCCCCCCTTCCCGGTTTGAATTCCCCATGTCCATCAGTCTATACATTATCAGCTTGGAAGTCTCATTTCATGACCAGATTTCTCCCCGATTCCATCTTGCCGGTTTTCTTTTAGTTTATTAATTTAAATAATATTTGACTTCAAATGTCCAATCTAACAAAGGCCTTTAATTTCCTTGATCTTTACCATTCCTCCCGTTGTTCTTTCCGTGTCGTAATCAGTCCTTTATTCTTCTTATTCCTCACTTTCTCAGGTTTCTTGTCCTGTTCAGCTGCTAAAACTTTCTAATTCAGAAATCTAGTGTCTCTGCAGAGGTTTGTTATTCAGGAACAAAAACTTACGTCCAGTCCCTTTCTTTCTTCAATAAAAAATTCCATTGTCTTCCTCTGTAGACAAAATACTCTTTCAGTTTTGCAGCTTTCCCAGAAGATAACAAATCCTGTGCGAATCCCAGGGTATTTTTCCACTTACGACCGTTCTTGTAGTATCCCGAAACCCCTCTAGGGGTTTGTAATAACTTTGTATCCTCTAATCCAAAAGTCAAATTGTTGCTTATTTTCCAACAGTTTGTATCCATATTATAGCAAATTGTAACAAAATTAACCAGCAAGGTCCTCATAACAAAGTCCTCTTTATATTCTCCAGCTTTGACAGCCACTTTGACAGCTGTCAAAGTCTCCGTCTCTCTTCACCAGGCTCCACGAATCGCCCCGGTTCCCAGGGGGGGGGGTTGCATTTTCTTCTCACCCTCCACTCTTCTCCTCCAGCACATTTCTTATAATTTCCCATCGTGAAATTAATGATTTTTATCAGAAACATACTTCCCTTTGGACCTTGGTTACCCAGTCCTTGTTTTGGAATGCTTACAATAGGGGGGGGGGATTGACTTCCTTTTTAAATCGCCCCCGCTCGTGCCAAATCCAAAATTTTGAACCCGGTTTCCCAATTACTCACGGGTTGTTGTTAATAGTCCAAATTTTCAATAGAAGAAGTCAGCGCTCTCCGTCGAATGGCATGCGGCTGCGCTCGGCAGGGAAAGCAGTGGACTCAAAGCACCACGCCACTCCCCGGCACCCAATCCGAAGCCTTTAAAAAGGCTCCTTCACGAGTCGGGAGGGCGCTAATGGTGCAAGCCGAGTCACCCATGTCCACGGACTCCGTGCCCGTGGTTTTTAAGGGTCCCCGCATCGCCGGCGCGGTAGGACCCAGCCCCTGCCGAGCAGACTCCCTCCGGAGCTCGGAGGGAGTCCGCCATTCGGCGATGGCGCTAACCCGGAAGTCCTTAACCACCTAAAAGCTTTAATTCCGCACCACTAAAATTGCTTAAGAAATCAAAAGGCAGGAAAGATAGCTAGTTAATGAAGTGAAAGTAAGATGATGGGTAGCTTAAATTTAGTAGAAACTCCAGTGCTTAATGTCTAAACAAACAGCCAGGCCTCTAAACTTATTTAAATGTTCTGAATGGCTTTCCATTTGGCCACCCTTGATTACTTAATGTACCACTTAGTCATGTGGAAAAAACAGGTTTTGTTTATAGGCAGCATTTCTAAATATGCCTGAGCCTTGATCTGATTCCTGGCATTTCGAAAGGTACAGATTGTGATACAGCCAGGGAAGTAAAAAGCACTGCAGGGACTTGACTTTTCCTGTTCTTTTCAAAGCTTCATATTGCAGAGCATCCAGCAGGTCACCTGGTTCTGAAGTGGCTGGTTGAGCAAGACAAGAAAATGAAGGAGAGCGGCCGGGAAGGTATGCTAGTAATTCCGCAAAAGACAGTGGAGTCACTCGTCACAGTCTGTCTAAATGCGTAAGGGACAACGTGGGAGGGATGCAAAGGCTCGTCTGACTAACTGTTAACCTTGAATCGCTTTGCTTGAAGTGTTTAAATGCATGCCTCCGCCCTGGAAGCGTCCAGGAGATTTTATAGACTTCGCTTCATCCAAGCTTAAAAGCAGCACAGCTTGGAAGGAGCTCTCCCTCACCCTTAGCGGGCCAAACAGCTGTCATGTCGGTGGCAGTGCAACCCTATATACCTGCTCCGAAGTAAGGCCCTCTGAGTTCAGTGGTCCTTGCTCCCAGGAATGTGCTTAGAGGATTGCATCCTAAGTTCCATTAATTGGGCATCTTGTGTACTTCTGTGGAAGTCGGGGGCTGGATACGGAAGGGACGTTGCTGACAGGAGCCATAGGAAGGTTTGCGCAGCTAATACAGAGATTGCCCATTATTTTCTGCTAGTGCGATCCAGTTGCACTTGGTTGTTGCGCTTGCAAGCGCACTCGATTGTTGCGCTTGCAGTGCCAGGTGAGTTCAGGCACTGCTGCTGGTGCGGGAGATTGGGGAGCACAGGAGAAAGTCAACTCCAGGCAAATGGGTTCTAAACAAATTGCAGTCACGCAGAGTATAATCTCTGTCACCTACAGCTTCAGTTGATTTGATCTTGATAATACGTTTTCCCATTTGAGTCTATGAATTTGTACTAGGGTGGGGGTTGTTTTGTGTCCCCACCAACCACTCACAATTTCTTCAAATTGTTTCTGCTTGCAAAGCCCCCTTGTTAAACCGACAGAAGTTTCAGGACATTTTTCTTATTTTGCAATATATCAGAGTTGGGAGGGTCCCCAGTGGTCATCTCGTCCAGCCCCCTGCAGTGCAAGAATCTTGACTAAAGCATCCATGAACATGGCAGGTGCTTTCCATGCAAAGAATTGTGGGGGTATTTTAAGCTCTTGGTGCTGTGAAATATGGAACTGCCCTCCTCTTCCATAACTGGTGCAAGTAGATAAATAGGTACCACTCTGGCAGGAAGGTAAGCGGCATTTCTGTGTGCTGCTCTGGTTCGCCAGAAGCGGCTTAGTCATGCTGGCCAAATGACCCGGAAGCTGTACGCTGGCTCCCTCGGCCAATAAAGCGAGATGAGTGCCGCAACCCCAGAGTCGGTCACGACTGGACCTAATGGTCAGGGGTCCCTTTACCTTTATTACAAATGTATTGAATAGTCAATGGTTCTGAGGCGGTCTGTGAATATACAATTTACAAGTGTTAAAGCCCCTTTACGCAAAGTTTTAAATGGGTTTGTGTGGTGTCTAACCTGGTCTTTCTTTTTAACAGAATGTTTTGCAAAAATACTCGTAGAGCACGTGGGCATTGATCTTCTGAAGACCTGGGCAAACGTCAATCGTGGTGCGATTATTCTGTGTCGGTATGTACTGCATTTAATGACTGAACTAGCAGTAAAATGCTGTATATGCTTTAGGCAGCAAAACAGCTTCATTGTGATTTCTTACTTTCCTGTTCTTCTTTGTTATCTGCTACAGTCATAGATGCCTTATGCTGCTGTTCTATTTGCAATCGGGATGTAGCCTTTGCTTGACTAGTTAAGCATCACTGCATTGCCTTGAAAGCTAAATCTTTCTCCTTGGTTTTTGCTAGCCTGACCAAAAAGTGCCAGGAAATCCCTTCTGTGCAGTACTCTTAATCTGGAATTGCTTTTGAAAGACTTCCCATGGGTTTCTAATACCTTGTCCTATTGCCTCATCTCTTGTTTCAAGGCGTTATTTGGTTTATCTGTATAAAGCAACAAGCGTTTACATTCAGGAGCAACCGATGATTGCCATTTGTATGGTAATTCCATCTACCTCAGTGACTCCACACCATAGCGGCTGCCCCTTCAAGGCGTATAATTTAGCCAGCATTGACTGAGAACATGAGCGCGAGATGCATCGTAGCGCGAGCAATGGGGCTCCTCTTCCTCTGCTGTGTGCATCTCAAAGTCTGCACGGAGGAGTGGGCGGGGGGGGGGGGGAGAGAAAGAGAAGTGAAATCCTGCTGCAGAAATACAGTACTTTTCGCTCTATAGGACACACTTTTTCCCCTCCAAAAATTAAGGGGAAATGTGTGTGCGTCCTGTGGAGTGAGTGCAGGCTCCTTGGCTTCAGCGATAGCAACGCGAAGCCTCCGAAGCGCAGAGGGAGTGCTCCATCAGAGAGAGCAAGAGGGGTCGGTGCGCACTCGCACACCGAAGCCTTTGGAGTACAGCACGAGGTCCTGCCTTTGGAGCACAGCTCCAAAGTGTGTCCTATAGAGCAAAAAATACTGTATTTCTGCAGCAGGATTTCACTTCTCTTTCTCCCCCCCCCCCCCGCCCACTCCTCCGTGCAGACTTTGAGATGCACACAGCAGAGGAAGAGGAGCCCCATTGCTCCCGCTACGATGCATCTCGGGCTCATGTTCTCAGTCGCACTCGCACACCGAAGCCTTTGGAGCGCAGCGCGAGGTCCCGCTGTGCTCCAAAGGCGGGACCTCGCGCTGTACTCCAAATGCTTCGTGTTCCTTTTGCTGAAGCCGGGAGAGCAAGACTCTCCTGGCTTCAGCAGAGAGGGAGAACTGCACAGCGCCCCTTCAGAAATGGAAGGGGCTCCGTTTCTCCTGCCGCTTCGCTGAAGGGGCGCTGAGCGGAGAGGGGGAGATTTTTCTTTTCTTGTTCTCCCCCTCTAAAACAAGGTGCGTCCTATAGTCGGTGCGTCCTATAGAGCGAAAAATACGGTAGATTCTCATTGTGCAAGCAGGTGGGCCCCCTTGGGTGTCGCCCAGAGTGATGCTGCAGCCCTTTTTGAACCGTTGCCTTTCCATCCTTGGCTCACACCTGAAGCAAGCAGCTCAAAAGAGCCGCTTTGCTTGTTTTATGGTACTGCGTTTGGCAGCCCAGTTAAACGGAAGTATTTACAGCCCCCTCCTCGCTCACAAAGTGTCTTGACCATAATTGGTGGCACATGAACGACTTGCACTAATGAGCCCCTGCTTTTGTGTGCAGAAATTCCCTTTCACAGCAAATCTGCCAAAGATGTTTCCAAGTTGGGTCTTAATTTCTGCCTTGCCTTAATTTGGCAGCCCAGCTCCTGATGTTGATCACTATGGCAACGTGTACTGTTAAATGAAAGCGATCGGCGGACGCGTTCAGTGCATCACAGAAGCGGAGGAATGGAAGGGAACTAAATGCCACATCTTCCTGCCCTCTATAACTAAAGCAGGCTCCTTAATTGCTCCCTCTATTAACTTGCCCCCTCTTTCCCCAAAGCAGATAGATGCCTTCAGGTCTAAGGGGTCAGCTGGTAAAAGCAAACTGAAATGGCACAAATCAGCAAAGGTGCTGCTGGAGGGACAGTTGAACTGAAGCCCTCAAGTGACCAGCTCCTCTGACATCTGTAAACGGATCTGGCCCTTTCTGCACAAGTCCTTGCTTTCCAGTATCCCATCTCGTAATTCACCGCCCCCATTTTTAGTGCTTCTTCTGACACAAAGGAAAATAACCTCCCTGGCTCTCTGGGTCACTACAAATACAGCAGGCTTAAATCAAGCGTCTGCTGATAGGTTTATTACATTAATGTAGAGTTTTAACGCTCAGCTGCTGGCTTTCGAATATAGATCTATAGGGATTTTTGCACGACACTTTGGAACAGATCCCTTGCATTTGACAAGCACACTTAATTCCTTTGAAATCTCTAATCCCGCATGCAGATGTTGCATAAAGATTTGGGAAGAGCTCTTTCAACCTTTACTGTGAAGTTTTCTTCTTCTACAGAGATGTGGGAAATCCTGGTATAGAATGGAAACGGCTCAGTTGCTCTGCTAAAAAATGCTGAACTTTGCTTAGAATGTGTATATTCCTATTGCCGTGCAGCCCTCTTCCAAGTACAGCTGTCGAGTGTGTTTTAAATGAGTGATCCTCCCAATTTTTGATTCACATAAGATATTTGGCCAGTCTTCAGTGCTTCTCAAATGTTTCCTTTTCCATTTTTAGATTCCTAGTCTCTCTTCCTTGCTTTCAGTGGAATGCTGATGCAGCTTAGCAGGGGCTGCCATTGACTGAGCAGCAGCTTTTCTGAAAGTCATATTATATGTTTTCAAATGCATCTCTCTCTGTGTGTGCGCATATGCATTAGTTAGTAGATAATAAAATTTCAAGATTGTTATACTGCAGCACAATGCATGAACTGCAGCGTGACGTCTGATGAGCAGGTGGTTCCCAAGACCAGGTGAGCCCCAGAGCAAGAGGCAGGCCAGGCCAGGCCAGTTCCTCCGTGACCATAGAACCCTGGAATTGTAGAGTTGTGGAAGGGACCCCAAGGGCCATCTAGTCCAACCCCCTGAAATGCAGGAACCATTTTGTGTTTCTTTGCTGCCACGCCCCTGTTGCTGCTGCTGGTGAGGCAGGGGATGGAGGAAACTTCTGCCGCTGCTCCTCTGGGAAGCAGCGAGAAAAGGCAGCATTTTAAAGCACATCTTTTCCCCTTGCCTTTCCAGAGCAACAGCTGCACTCCTCTTGACACCCCCACCACTGGCAGGGGAGCAGCAGGGGGCGGTTGAAGGAAAGAAAGTATTTCTCACCTTTGTCGTCATCCCCAGCCCCTGGCTGCTCCCCATATTGCTGCCACCCTAGAGGGGGTGCAGAGTGGTGTGTAGAGGCTGTTGGTGAGCAACACAAGCAGAGGCGCAGCCCATAATTTAAGGTTACCAGACGTCCCCAGATTTACAAATCAGTCCCCTGACAAAATCCTACCATTCCTATTGAAGTTGAAAAGTGTCCCCAGATTCATTGGAAAAAAATCTGGTAACCTTACCATAATTCATTGCAGGATCTTCAGGGCAGCACAGCTTTGGGCAGTATCCTGAACTGATGACAGGGTTCGAAGCATGAGCTTGAAATCTGTGGGCTCTAGGTACAGATTCAGCCTGCCCCTCCTGCCCTCCGGAAGAGAGGCTAGTTTCTCCTTTGGGGTGACACCCGTGCACAAAAAGGGAACGTGAACTTGTCTCTCTGCGCAAGTCACCAGCTGGCTTCCTACATCTTTGGCTTCCCTTTCCCTAAGATTAATAGCAAGCCCCAAGAGGCACCAGGCGTCCTGGATGTGCCCATTGCCCCTGCTTAGCAAGAGACCGTTCATCTCTAGAAGGGGCAATGGCGGGGGGCCGGGATAACTCTGCTGCAATATCTGTGCTGGCGGGGCACATTTCCACCTTCTCTCTAAGGCTGCTGCACCTGGTTCTTGCCTGTGTTTGTTACCAGGATGCAAAACATAATTTATTATTTATACCCTGCCCATCTGGCTGGGTTTCCCCAGCCACTCCGGGCAACTTCCAACAAAGTATTAAAATACAGTAGTCTGTTAAACATTAAAAGCTTCCCTAAAGAGGGCTGCCTTCAGATGTCTTCTAAAGGTCTGGTAGTTGTTCTTCTCTTTCACATCTGGTGGGAGGGCGTTCTGCAGGATGGGCGCCACTACCGAGAAGGCCCTCTGCCTGATTCCCTGTAACTTGGCTTCTCGCAATGAGGGAACCACCAGAAGGCCCTTGGAGCCGGACCTCAGTGTCCGGGCAGAACGATGGGGGTGGAGACGCTCCTTCAAGTATACTGGACCGAGGCCATTGTGGGAGTTTATTGGGATAGTGGCCTGACATGCATGCCAATGTTGAATTCAGAAATGCTTCCTCTGAGTAGCAGGTTTTTTCATCTGCTCCCAAACGCCCCCCCAAAGATCCCAAATAGTGGATAAGGTGAAACTAGAGGCAGGTCTTTAGGCTCGCGGTGCTTACAATTCCTGCTTCCCCCTGGGAAACTGCCCTGGGGAGTTAGGGGGCAATCTGGGAGAGAAGGGGATCTGGTGCGCTGATCTGCAAGGGGCCCTTGTGGAGCGGACTTTCACCTCGCTTCCTGCCGCCCTTCTTCCAGCGAGGTCCTCTGCTAGCTTGGAGTCAGTTCCACAAATGGAAGGAGCTCTTCTGTTCAGGCCAGGGCAAAGCAGGATCTCTAATGTACCAAGGCATTAAAGGCATGCAAACTCCGCAGCGTACCACTTCAAACTAACAACGCTGTGCTTTTTGGATAAGGCAGAACAGTTTGACTCCCTTGCCATCCTGCTTTAGGTCACATTGAGAAACAGATTTTTAATCACTCCGCAAGCCACATTAATTCTTCTCCCATTCTGTTTGGTTTGGCAACATAATCCTTATTAGGTATCTAAAAAAAACCTGCTCATTTAATCAGAAGGTTATGATAAAAATAACATTGCAGTTCGAAATGAATCTGCCACTCCAACTTCCGATCAAGGCACAGGGCTCCTTTGTCAAATGTGAGGCTGCCACTCGCTAACTGGGATACAGAAAAAGTTCTCCAAACTGGTCTGTGTGGTTTTCCCTGGAACTATGCCTGGATCTTCGTTTGCAGCTGCATTTTAGCCCTATTAATACTACTGTCAGTGCAAACATTTTCTCCCTCAAACCATTTTCCTCGATGAATTAAAAGTAAGATACTTGGAAGCTTTTTTTCCTTTTTTGCAGTTTTGAAGAGCAGTGATTTATATTTTGTAAATTCTATGGCTGGTCACTTTCCTGTGTATTCTGACATCCCAGTGTCCATGTTATCCCGTGTTGAGATGGCCAACGTCTAAATTAAATGCTTCAGAATTTAAGAAAATAAACTGCTGCTATTTGCTATTAGGCAATTATCCCAATGGATGCTTTGACAAAGCAGATGGTCTCCCAAGCATTGATTTCTCTTTCTGCTTGTCACATTTCATTCTGATTGTAATTTTGATTTTTGATATTTTCTTTTTGTTTATAGCCTTCTTCAGAGCTCCGATCAGGAAGTGGCAACAGAAGTAAAAGCTGGACTAAAAAGTATTATTCCAAAGCTTAAAAAAAGGACTAAAGATGGCACAGCAGCAGGAAAGGCACTGCTGGAGAAATTATCGTCATAACCTAAAGAAGTTATTAAGTGGACAACTTTTCTGTTTGTGGAAGTGAATCTTCCTTTTAATACATCTAAAGGACAGGTTTTTGGGGTAAAGATGAGTTAACCTTTTTTAAAAACAACACAACACACAATATGTCAATAAGCACTTAGGCTTTTTCAGAATATTTGGTTATCTTTTTTCTCTTCTTTGGCCTCAGTTTAATTGTCCCTGTAGAGGAAGATCTCTTTGATTAGCCGGGCAGCTGAAAACTGTATTACCATGTGCCTTCCTTCCTTCATCATTTTAGTCTCCTTTTCCACATTCAGCTCCAGGCAGCAACTGCTTCCCCCTCTCTCTTCCTCCCCACCTTTGGTCTCCCATCGTTCCAGCCACCTGTTTGACTTTCCTCCTTTTGACTGCCAACCTTTCCTCTAATGCTTGCAGATCTGCATTGCAAATTCCCCTTCTGCCTCCAAGTTTCTCCTTTTCATCGGTTGCCTGCTTCCCAGTTCTCCCACTCCACTGTCTCTACCACTGGTGCCATGGCTGCTGCGCATTTTCCGTCTCGATTTCAGGTGAAAGGAGCCCCACTTTAGCCAAGAGCTCTTCAAGGCCAGAGTTGTGAGATGGACTGGAATGCTCCTTAGTGGGAGGGTGGTTGGTGTTCGCTTACAACACACTCAAAGTCTGAAACCTGAGTTAGGTTCCGATGTGATCATTTACTCAGTTGTCACAGTAAACTCTTGGTTCTCCTTAACCAGGGAAGGGAGAGCTAAGGGCAACGGGAGGCCAAGGAAGGACATGTGCTGGTGATTGCCCAAATAATCAAGGAGCATGACGCTTGCACTAAGTGAATAGGCTTCCTCTAGGCTTGCAGGTGGTTCACGTTTAAAGTCCCTCTTCACTCTCTTGCCCAAAAAATCCTCTCTAATCTCAGCAGAAGAAAAACATGCTGTTCCTATGGAAACACCTTTTTTAACAATTCTGAACACAGCTCCTAGATTTCTAAAAAGACGAGTTTGGTGGAATAACTGTTATTAGCAGTGTTCTTTTATGGAATAAAGTATTTCCTTCCTTGAATCTGAAGGTATGTGGACTGTTAATGAACTTGAATGGTAAGGCTAAAAACTAGTTCAACGTTTTCTCTGCAATTTGGCTGACAGCTTTGGGTGTGCCGTACTCCGGTTAGGACTTAATCATGCATAGGTGGCAATACGTGACTCTCCTCCCTCTTTGCCATAATTCCCTGGAGGAAAATTGCTTTACTCAGTGGACAGAGGAGAATGCCTGGCTTTAATCCCGATACTTCAGCTGGAGCGATTCAATTCCACTTGAGTCCAAACGAAGCTTAATTGGCACTCACACATATGAAATAACACAGTGGGTTTAGAATTAATAATGCGAAAATATTATCTTGCAGACCGTAGCGCTGCAAGTACTGTATTTTTCTGGGTATAACAGCGTATAAGACTCCTATTTTTTGGGAGGAAATGGGGGGAGATTGCCCAGAGTTGTTAAACTTTTTTTGGGGGGGGGGAAGGATTGCCCAGAGTTGAGCTTTTGGGGGGGGGGGGGGATTGCCAACAATGGCTCGCCTGCCACTGACAATCGCACGCATCAACGAAGCCACCAATCGTCTGCCCACTCACTGCCAGCAGCCGCCAATTGCCCACCCAATTCCCACAGCAGCCAATCGCCAGCAGACCTTGCCGCAAACACCAATCACCCGCCCAAATACTGCTGACAATCTCCTGGTCACGGCAGCCACCAATCGCCCGTCCCACCTCTGCACTATCCGTTTATAAGATGACCCCCAATTTTTAGCATTTTTAAAAAATTAAGAAACCTCGTCTTATACATGGAAAAATACCGTAAGTTAGAAGTAAATATTAAAAGCTTGTCAAAGTGGATCATGTAGATGGAATTCTTAGTACGGAAGGGAGAGATCTCTCCTGCAAAGCGATTGGCTGGAGCTGCTTTGGCACTTAACAAGCTCAGCGCTGTCTGCTAATGAACCCTGACATATACCTGCTGCATTGCCCAAAGGAGGGGGACCAGGGAAAGCCCTTATCTGCTGATGGGGCAGTGTGGTGCCAACTGCACTCCCCCAATCCGCCTAAGCGTCATTACCCTGTGTCACACTTAAAGGTTAATCTCAACTCGATCTAATTGGCAGTGACAAAAAGCGTTTGCCCACACAGCCACTCTCAAGGCTCATCAGTTCCCCTAACAGGATTGTCTCTTGTGACAGTGAAACAGATAACTTTGATTAGCATCAGATAACCAATTTAAAGGCCAGCAAAAATGGCCCTGGCTGGGACAAAGGGTGGCGGAAGTTTTGAGCTCCCCTTCAGATTTGCAGTCCCAGAGCAAATGCAGTTTTTCCAAAATATCAACATAAAGTTTACTCAGTGGCCCCGTCCTCTGTGGAGGAGCCAAATAAAGTTTAATTTAGCCGAAAGTAAATATTGGAGGTGTGCTTCTCAAACAGCAGATTATGAACATGCAGTTTTGTTAACAAGTAATTAAATGATGGTTAACTTGTGTGCTTTCATTAGCTTTTATCTCAGTTGTCTGTTGTAACTGCTTTTTCTGCCCTTTCCAGACTCAGGAAAGCAGTGTGTGTTTATTTGTCTTTTAGATGTTGCTTTAATCCAAATAAGTTATCCTACAGACACATCAAAGATCCAAGGAAAAAGTGTTGGCATTGTACGTTTTGTGCCTTCCAAAATTTGGATGTGGACAAAGTGGGACTTGTATGTCTGTTCTGCGATCATGGAATGATCTGTCCATCTACCCGGACATAAACACGGACATGAAACTATTTGTTTTGAATAGATCAGTTTTCATCAGTGTTTAGCAATGGACTTGATTCTGTGACTCTTTCGCTGTGTTGGATGTCTCTGGTTTAGATATCTTCAAGAACTGCTCTTAGTCACAGAAGTGAAACGGAAGCTCATGGTGTTAGGAGGCAACATACACTGGGAAATTGGATAGGGCTGTGGCATAGAAATTTCATCAGGTCCTTGGTGCTGCTGCCATGCAGGTGGAATAGGAATCCTGCTGCTGCCATTAGGATGCTTTCTTAGCCTTGTCAATCCCCACACCCATCGGGCCATCTCTGGACCACCCAGTTTTCCTTCTGAGATGGCAAAGTCGCAACAAGACTTAACCGTGCCAATGTCATAAAGGGAAATTTTTTTGCTTTGAATGCACTTGCAACGATACGTCCTGTGTCCCACCCTCCATAATGTCTCAACAAGTGAAACTGATTTGTAAAAATGTTACATGGAAAAAATACGAGAGACATTACACATACTTCTGTAAAACAAGAAAATCTCTAATTAAAAAAAATGTATATTTCAACATTTTTTTAATTCATTATAAATCTTTTCCCAGAAGTCCTTAACCTTAGGACACGTCCACATCCAGGGGAATGTTTTCGCCTGGCGCCTAAAGACATTTTTGTGTGTGTCCTCCCTCTTTTCTTTCCTTTTTTGACAAATTAGATGCAGAATGTATCTCTTCTGGAAAAAAACAAAAACCCCCGATACGTCCTGTGTGACTTCAGATCTGGAGCTTCACTGTGGTCATAGAATCACAGAATTGTGGAGTTTGAGCCCTGAAGGTCATGCAGTCCAGCCCTGACAATGCAGGGATAGGCAGCTGTCCCTTACAGGGATCGAACCTGCAGCCTTGGTGTTCTCAGCACCCCGCTCTCACCAGCAGAGCTATCCAGGGTGAATAATGGGGTAACCACTCTGCATGGAGGACCTTAAGGTCCACAAATGACAACACTTTGGAGGTCCCAGGTCGCAAGGTGGTTAGATTGGTCTCAACTAGGGCCAGGGCCTTTTCAGTACTGGCCCCAACTTGGTGGAACACTCTGTCACAACAGACTAGGGCTCTGTGAGACTTGACATCTTTCCACAGGGCCTGCAAGACAAAGTTGTTCCGCCTGGCCTTTGGTTTGGACTCAGTCTGACCCTTATGTTTCCCTCCCCTTATATGGTTTTGATCTATGGGCTACTATTAAAATGAGGCTGCATTTGAAATTGCATTTTAACCTGTATTTTAATTTGGTGTTTTTTTCCTATTATGATTTTATTGTAATTTTACTGGTGTTAGCCGCCCTGAGCCCGGCTCTGGCCGGGGAGGGCAGGGTATAAATAAAATTTATTGTTATTGTTATTATGATAGCAGTGAGTAAGAAGGGAAAGTGCCCAATTTAATAGATCACAAACTAAGTGTGAAAAGCTGTTGGCAAGAGTTGTGGGTGGTGGGAGCTGGGTGGGAATGGAGATGCAGCCCAGAGTTCGGCCATTTATGGTCCATTCATTCCACTGGAAAGGACATTGTTGTCTCCCCACCGCCAGCTTCCCATGGCTCACTGGGACAACTAGTTAGGGCAGAGAACAGAAGGCACTTAACTGGTGTCACCAACCCTAAGCTCTTTGCAAACCTGCTTAATGTATAGGCGTGGAATGAGGCATATTTGTTATATGTATTTTCAGAAACTGAGAAAGTAAGTTTAAAAAGACCACTCACCAGTTGGTTGTGTGCTTTAAAGCAATATGTCTGGCACTTCTGTCTGTGCTCTTACATCTCGTTGTTCATTTGTGTGTCCGTTTTAAATTGCCTTAACAGACATATTCCCAAAATATGATTCCTGTAGCATTTGGAAGCCGTAATCCGGGATAAAAAAGGCAGATTACATTGGTATGTTGTGTAATTTCTGTACTACTCCATAAAGAAGTTAATAAAGGTTATGTAAACAGGGGATCAGCGCAAGCCAAGTATTTCTGTGCATTGCAAGTTAAATGGGACAAAAATCCAAGGTTCTAAATATAGCTGTTAAACCAAGTTTAAAACAAGTGCATGAGATTGCAGCCCAGAATTCTGACACTGTCCGGAGTATTGAGGTTCCTGCAGTTTAGGCCACAGCTGCTTTTGCTGTTCTGAAGCTAAAAATGAGGCAGGATTTAGGATCAAATGTTACTCTTTGCCTCAGGGCTCTGCGGATAGAGCCAGCTGCCCAGTGAACTGTGGCTGCTCTTTAAGCACTCCTTCAACAGCCAGGTTTCCAAACTGGGACATCTCATGCACTCCTCATCTTTCCCCGGGTGGGGGGGGGGTGTTTTTGCACAACGGCGTCTGGGCAAACCCCAGTTCAGCCACAGCCCCTTTTTAGAGGGGGGCTTCCAACGGGGCCACCAGGAAAGGACAACATTTTGATCGAGCTTGTGGGGCTAGCGGTGGGGGGAAGTGCTGCTTTTCCTGACTGCCAGCCTCAAAACCAGGTCAGGGAGCAGCGCAAAGGCATCACACGCCTTCCCGCTGCCCCCAAGTTTGTGGGGCTGGCGGTGAGGGGAAGCGCTCCTTTCCCCCACTGCCAGCCTCAAAGACCAGACTCTCCTGGCTTCAGTGAAAGCAACGCGAAGTCTCCGGAGCGCAGGCTTCGGAGGCTTCGCGTTTCTATCGCTGAAGCCAAGGAACCTGCATTTGCTCCATAGGACGCACACACATTTCCCCTTAATTTTTGGAGGGGGAAAAGTGCGTTCTATAGAGTGAAAAATACGGTAGTTTCATCCTTTCTGAAAGTTTTCCATCGTGAACACGTCTGTCTTCTCCTTTTGCCTGGAGTGAAGACGATCAGCCAGAATCTGAGCTATATTGCTAGACTTTATTATCTTAGTGTCTCTTAAGAGTTTCATTAATCTCTGCAAAAGAAAAGAAAGAACACACTTTACTAAGGTCATAAAATGCATCACAGTGTTAATTTTCCATTGTTGGTTCACTGAGACAGTAACCATGCTTGCCTGAAGTAATACGTTATATTTGGGTATTATTTGGGAGGCAGGGAGAAATAGGGAGACTTGGCAGCTGAACTAATGAAAGGCTTTGCCTTGCATATGTTGTGCATCTCATGTTTATCTTTTGTTTTTAAATCTTAACATCAAACGGCAATAAACCAGTGTCTGGTGTGTAATCACATGATAAAAAGCTCTTCCACTTTTCTTTTTAAATCCTTGTTCATAGAAAACCAGCTGCTTTGGAGGAGGGTGATAGCCTAAGCGTTACTCTGGCATGCTAATTTTCTATGCTTTTCAGGGGTTTTCCTCCCATTACAAGAGCCCCTACTCACAATCTGAAGTGGTACATTCCAGACACAGGTTGCCACCCCACCTGTGAGGTGGTTGGCTCTACACCTGCAGCAGGAGGACGTGACATAGACCATTTCAGAACACAGGTGGGGATCATGTTTTGGGATGCTCTCCATTAAAAGCTACTTGCAAGCAGAGTTGGGCGAATGCCCAGCCTTATCATCCTTCTGCTTGATATGCTGCTTTTTCCTTGAAGGTGTGTGGCTTGTCTCCCTGCACATGAGCATTCAAAGTTGTTTCTCCCTCTGCACACAAAATGTTTCAGTCCATTCTGCATCCTGTGTAGTTGGATAGATGACCCTGAGAATATAAGAGTCTTGGATTGTATGGTGTAGATTGTGATAAGCTCTAAGAATGAGTCCCTCTTCAAAGGGACAGGACACTTTTATCACTATTTAATAATCCTTGGCAAGAACGCTATTTTTCTCACTCGTAAGTTCAGCTCAGTCCGGCATCCTCAGCACCCAGCAGAATCAGGGAAGGGCCACAGGCCCTGACACTGGGTGCCTGCTTTCCTTTCTTAAGGATAAGAATTAAGGACCACAACACTCATCCTGGCACCATGACAAGAACTGCAGGAAAGAGAGGACTGTCCCAGAATGTTTCCTCAGGAAATGAAGGACTGCTCTCCTGGTCATGATCTGCTGCGGAAGATTCCTTTGCCCAACCCAACCCACACACCAGCTCTTTTTCAAAACTGCATTTTGTGTTCCTATACATCTATTCCTTACATCTGTGGCAGTCAGAGGCAATATGTCTGAATGCCGGTTGCTGAGCGGACAGATTTGTCCATTTTGGTCTTTCTGTTTCTCATTGTTCCAACCTTACAGTAAGTTCCAGTTTGCAACAGCCAGGGGTGGGGAGCATGTTCTCCTCCAGATGTTGTTGGGTTCCAGTTGCCAGTGGTACAGCCAAGGATGTTGGGAGTTGTAGCCCAACATTTCTGTACTTCAGTTGCTGCTTTTACCCCAGTGCTCTTCCATCCTGTCCAATGCTTCTCTGGATAGCTGATTTTTTAAAAGAAAACCCTATCTAAGGTAAAGGTAAAGGGACCCCTGACCATTAGGTCCAGTCATGGCCGACTTTGGGGTTGCGGCGTTCATCTCGCTTTATTGGCCAAGGGAGCCGGCGTACGGCTTCCGGCTCATGTGGCCAGCATGAGTAAGCCGCTTCTGGCGAACCAGAGCAGCGCACGGAAACCTTCCTGCCGGAGTGGTACCTATTTATCTACTTGCACCTTCCTGCCGGAGTGGTACCTATTTATCTACTTGCACTTTGACGTCCTTTCGAACTGCTAGGTTGGCAGGAGCTGGGACCGAACAACGGGAGCTCACCCCATTGTGGGGATTCGAACTGCCAACCTTTTGATTGGCAAGCCCAAGGCTCTGTGGTTTAACCCACAGCACCACCCGAGTCCCAAAACCCTATCTGCTAATGTCATTTTTTGCTGCCCTTCCTTGCCTGAATGGAGTGCACTGCATCAACCAACCACAATGTTAACTGTATTTGTGCAAAATAGTAAATAGGAATGTGTTGTTTTCAACGGGCCATTTTACTTTTAATGTGGACAGGTCCGTCATGGTTTTCCCCCAAAACTCTGATAGGAGGCATGGATTTCCTTGTTTGGCAGGCTGGTACATTTCCCAAGCTCTTCAAGCAAACAATCATCCAGCCTTGATCTGGGAAACAGGAACACTTTGTGAAATCACTATGTACACACTGACTAGCCTAACGCAGCAATTAAAGTCGTGGGGAAATCCAAGTTCAACTCCTGCCCAGCCCGGAAGTTCATGAGATTTTCGTGAGAATGTATTCAGCTATTCTCATGCAATTACCTTTGAGCTCCTCAGAGGAAGGCTGGGGCCACAGCACATGTGCTCACTCCACCCCCATGAGAATATCTGCGAGTGCATATCAATTCCATCTTCGTAGGCGCATTTGTGGATTCCCAAATTGGACACGTGCAGGTGTGCTGTGCTGGGGAAAAAACATACTGGTACTTTCCCACTATCTGACAGATTACCCTTGTGTGTTCCATGCATGACTGAAGAGTTGCCAAATTTCATGACAATCGTATTTTCCATGGCGGGGGCATAACGAATTGTCTTTGTGCCCCAGAACAGTTTTCCAAAGCAGGGTTGAACCACAACACAGCATACCACAATTTGGTTGTGTGTTTGCAAGCAGTGATGGACATGCCAAAATCTGTCTGAACCATCAACTTCTCAATATGCAATTCTATGCATATTTACTCAGAATAATTTCTGCTGTAAACTGTGTCTAGGATGTTCAGTAAGATAGTGTGGGATAGTCTCTAGCTGGTCCAAGAGGACCCGGTGAACTTATGGCTCAGCAACAATTTAAACCCTGCTCTTTCCAGTCCTAGACCAAAACTTTAACAACTACAGGAGACTGTTCATTTCATGCTTTTGTCTACGGGTGGAATCAAACGTCTCACTCTTCCAATTGCTACATTTGCACAAGCATCCCGGTTTGCCAGATGGAATGATGTCCCCATCTTCACCCACCCTTTGCTGTTCTGGGGGTTGCCCTGCTCCCTTCTCCTGCCAGAGTCACTTGGTGGACACCCCCATTGTGCAAGCCCTTTCTCAGGGCTTCTGCTCACACGGGGGGTTAGGAACAAATCTCACGCACTTTGTTGCATCTTCAAATACTTTGTAAAGGGTTCCCACTCATCTTTAAAGTCACAATTATCCTTGTCCTGTAGCTTATATCTCCCGGCAGAATGACAAATCTCTCATCATTCTGCCCGGACACTGAAGTCCAGTGCCCTCACTGCAAGAAGCCAAGTTACAGGGAACCAGGCAGAGGGCCTTCTCGGTAGTGGCACCCACCATGTGGAACGCCCTCCCACCAGATGTCAAAGAGAAAAATAACTACCAAACTTTTAGAAGACATCTAAAGGCAGCCCTGTTTAGGGAAGCTTTTAATGTTTAATAGGTTGTTGTATTTTAGTGTTTTGTTGGAAGCCGCCCAGAGTGGCTGGGAAAACCCAGCCAGGTGGGTGGGGTATAAATAAATTATTATTATTATTATTATTAATTACCCGAAATATATTCAGGAAAAGTCACAGACATTTTGTTCTCGTCTGTCGAAAATATGTGAGTGCCAGATGTGAACCTAGCTGCTGAAACAGACACCAGCTCTCCCTCCATTTAAGCTGCTCGAGAGGGGCTTTAAGAGAGAGAATTTGCTTTCTTCATCTGAGAGCAGAAGAGTCTTGTGGCACCTTAAAAATGAAAAGCTTTATTGCAGCATAATCTTCTGTGGACTGGAGCCCACCCTCGTCAGTGGCAAGAAGGCTGTATACATAATTATGGGGTGGGGCATAATAAACAGTAATGCCAAACAGCTGTGAAACTCGAGGGGATGACAGTAGTTCTGAAGCCTTTTCGTGCAGATTCTGGAAGGGGAGTTAACAACAGATGTGCAGATTCTACAGCGCCTGCAGGTGTCAATGAATGCACAACTTAGCCTTTGAACAAAATCAAATCAGCACTTGCATAGATATATATTTGTCGCTGCGGCTTCCAGACCCGTCCTCCCCCATTCAGAAGATCCCAGTCTGTCACAAAGATGTCCTCCAGCTCTTTCTGTCAGACACATCCCTCCGTGTGCAGTTTTTGACATGAAAAACAGCAGATGGCCATATTTGGGGTAAAGCAAGAGGTGATGCTGGTTTAATTCATTGCTTCCCATTGATAGACGAGTGTTGCCTCCCGCTGTCTGCCAAACAGCATTTGATGCATCTTTTCTTGTCTTTGCTCGGCTTCCGGACGGTGCTTCATCCTAATTTGTAGAATGTGATGACATACATTCAGCAGCTCCAAGTGAATTCAATAATGTGAAATGCGTACAGCTTGCCTGTGCTGCTTGCCTATCAGTTCTGCTTCTGCGCTTATTAATAGACACTGGCTGTTTATAATCACCCTCCTGCTTTCTGGCAAATTGTCTTCCCATCAGTTTTCTGCATCCGTTCTTTGCACTCTCGCTTATCGTCTGTTCCTACAGCTTATACGGTGCCTTCACCATTGCACTTTAGAGGACAGGAGTGTGTTGCAAACAAACCCCAGTTTTTAGTGATACCACAACGATGCAAAGGAATGACTACTTGCTACATCTTTCTTGGGTTGCGATTTTCAGGCTCTTTACTTTCAAAAACCATCTATTAGCTTGACAGGGAGATGGTAACATGCAATTCTTACACTATAAATATTGGCTGGATTTCTTAGACAGAGAAGGAGCATTGTGTTTTGTCAAACCACAGTTTCTGTTATAGCCAAATCAGGAAATTGTGGTTTAACCTCTGTTTGCAACTCAAGATATCTAATACAGTAGGGGGGCATCAGTGGGGCCACACGGGTGATTGCCCTGGATGCACATTTCTTAGGGGCACAAAAAAGTTCAAAAGGGGGGGGGAAGAAACAAAGAAGTGCACCCTCCCTCTCACACAGAGAATCTCCTAATGTCCGTGTGGACGGACTGAGGAGCAGAATTGGGCGGTGGGCAGTTGTTTGGGTGCCCTCTGCATTGGGTTTAGAAGGATTGCTCCCGACCAATCCCTTATCCCGCTCTCCATCATACTCAACACTCATGGGGTGTCACAGTTGCCACTCAGGTCAGTTGCCAAGCTATTGCGCCTTTGTTCTAGCCCACCAGCAGGTGGTACTGAGGATACTTGCCTTGCCCGGGGCACTGGCAACCCACGCTAGGCCACTGATCTAGCAAGAATCCTGGCTTGGTTTCACAGTTAAACCACAGTGTCTCTGTTTAGATGTCCTGTGAACCCCAAATGTCTAGCATTACAGTGGGAAGGAGAAGAGCAGGGAGTGTAGAAGCACAATGCTCATCTTTGTCATGTCTGTACTGTCCTACCATCATAAGATACTGGATACCAATGAGCATAATTCCTGTTAATGACAGAGATGCAGCTGGGTGGAAAACACTTGGAGAATATTCAAAAATAAAAATAATTACAATGTGACCATTGTAATATTCATCACAGAGTTTACAGAGCTGGGTTATAAGCCAGACATCTTTTTTTAAAAAAGAAAAAGAAATGAGGGGTAGGAACCATATTTCAATCTTCATTCAAGAATCCCAAGTTGTAACCTGATGTCTCAGCTCCTCGGAAGGACTTAGCCTACAAGATCCCTCCCTGGGGGCCTCCAGACTGTGGCTAATTTTGTGTGGGATTCAATCAAATTCCAGCAAATTCAGCTTGTGCAGTTCTTGTTGACTGGGAGGTCTTGTGCAACAAACCAAGTCCCACCCCTGTGCTTTTTGAGATAAATAACATGATGGAGACAGACATCCCAACTCTAGGGGGGCGAGGGGTCTTTGGCCCCTTCAATATTTGTTTAATGTCTGCAGAAATGCTCTCATCATCCTGATTTAAGCCACCAAGCTGCAACAGACAAGCTGCTCTCAGTTGGAGGTGTCTAAGAGAGTTGGGATGGGAGCACAGGCAGGCAGGGAGAGGGGATTTGATTCAGTTTTCAGTTAAAGACAAATCTGCTGAATTTTCACTTTATGGAACAAAATGCAAACCAAACCACAGCTGTCCTTCAAAATTTGCAGTTCTCCAAATCTTGCAATGTAGTTCTCCAGCCAAGTAGTGTGCACAAAATTCACACACGAAGTGAAAATAACGCAACATGCAATTGATTAGTAGAAATTGCTTTGCAGAAATGTGTATATTAGAAGAAAAACGAAAACACTGATGAATTTTCATCAGGGCTCTTTTTTGTTTGTTTTAATGGCAAATGGATGTGGAAATGGGGAGAACGCAACTTAAGATGGGAAAAAGTAGAAGCTGAAATGGACAGACCCCACCTCCCCGCGAACGAACAAGGGTGAAGCAGTGGCAACTCAATGGAGGCTACCAGCACTTGCTTCCTTCTCTCCCCACTCTCACCCCATGAATACTCAGGTTTCTTACAATTACTTGTTTTTGGTACCTTCTGATCCATTTACAGGACAAAAGGCGCTTGACACACCCTCAAAACAATAATAAAATTCTGGTACAGGACACAAATATATTCCTACTTGAAAGTCTACTAAATTCTGATTTTGAGGCAACATCCATCATGCTGGCAAATATGTAAATACCCAGAAAAAGCAGCACAATCCTTTGCACATTTACTCAGATGTAGGCCTCATAGAATCAACTGGCTCTTGCTTCCTAGTAATAGTGCTTAGCCTAAGTTAGTTGCCTTCGATTCGGTTGTGGTGGTGCAGCAATTGCAGATCAAAGAAACAAGACTGCATTCCTTCTCATTTCCTCAAGCGGATCCTTATTTGGAATCACTCACTGGATCACAATACAATTGATTCCAGAGGCTAATTGGATACCAGCTGTAACATTTATCAGACAAAATATTAAGAAGGATTATCTTCATTTGCATCTTTTTTTAAAAAGAGAAAGTTTTGCACTATACCCCAGTCAGTCTTTTCCTCCCAGTTAACTTGTGGACAAACCTGAGGGAATCTGTTGGCCTTTCAACTCCCAATCCCTCTTTTCCGTCCAAGGTATTAATTGTATCTGTGTCTTGGTAATCGGTTTGGCCTGTTTCCACAGCACTCAGACATTTTCTTCATGGCTCGCCTCGCAAAATCCACTTTGCCCCTGTCTTTGCGTATGGCTGTGTATTCGTACGCTTTCAGCTTGATGTAATAGTCTGAGAATTTGTTGTACAGGACGGAGATGGGCATTCCGTTCAGAATGATCCCGAAAGCGATGCAGAGGAAAGCAAAGAGTCGTCCGAGGTGGGTTTCCGGACACATGTCTCCATATCCAACAGTAGAAATGCTTACCTTGAAAAGAAAACACAAAACAAGGCAGTTACTCAGAACATCCAAGCCACCTTTCTATGCTGAGGAGAGAGGGGTCATTTAGAGACTGGTCTCTGAAGGACAGAGGCGGTATTTTTTCCTCCCCATTGCAATGTTGGGAAGGAAAGAGAGATTCATCTGCAATAGATATGAGAATCTGCCTCTGCTCTTCCCATCCCTGAAGATCAGAGATGGAGTCACAGTGCACAGAGGAAGGTGCCCATGGTGGGGACTCTCAAACTACCACTTCTTCCCAACACAGAGAACTCATGCATACATAAACTGCACACCATTTAGCTGCCTTTCCCTCCCTTATGTGACAATGATCTCTTTCTATGAATGATGGTGTGTTTGAGCAACTTCTGAGCCACAGCAGTGTCCTCAGTAAAGATGGCCAAGCACGTCCATGTCACTTTCTCATTTCCCCAATCCTAAATTCAGTTCTCTATAGTTATGCATCAGTTTGTGAATTTTCCAAACAAACAAACAAAATCCTCATGAAAAGTCACCAGCATTTCCCTGCAATTTTCTCGTGTGATACCATTTCATATACAAACTTGCCTAATCTACATTTGTTTTTTGCAAAGCCATTTTCACTAATATAACACATTTTGTATGCCATTTTCACTAATTACTTGGCTGGAGAACTGCATTGCAAAATTCGGACCAATGCAAATGTCGAAGGATAGCTGTGTTTTCATTTGGTGAGTTCACCTTTAAATGTGAACTGAATCCAACCTCCCCCCCATCCCTCCTTGTCAGCTGCTAATTTGCCACCTTGGTTTTATGTGAAGCAGGCAGTGGTGGACTGGGTTGGGGGTGACAGAAGCAGGTCCCTCAGACCATTTATTTTCCCTCTCTACCCATTTATGGTCCTAGGAATGTCTTTCCCGAGTGTCTTTTTCAACATCTATTGTTTAGGTTTGGGCCACCGTACCTTGGTCTATAGGGACGCGGGTGGCGCTGTGGGTTAAACCACAGAGCCTAGGACTTGCCGATCAGAAGGTCGGCAGTTCGAATCCCCGCGACGGGGTGAGCTCCCGTTGCTCAGTCATTGCTCCTGCCAACCTAGCAGTTCGAAAGCACGTCAAAGTGCAAGTAGATAAATAGGTATCACTCTGGCGGGAAGGTAAACGGTGTTTACGTGCGCTGCTCTGGTTCGCCAGAAGTGGCTTAGTCATGCTGGCCACATGACCCGCAAGCTGTACGCCGGCTCCCTCGGCCAATAAAACGAGATGAGCGCCACAACCCCAGAGTCGGTCACAACTGGACCTAATGGTCAGGGGTCCCTTTACCTTTACCTTGATCTATGCTGGTTGAAAACTGCAACCAATTCCATGCTGGCATTGAAGTCAATCTGCCTGTTTCAGAATTATGGTGGAGCTTCGTTTATTTTAGGAGTAATTTGTTTTAAGACATTTATTTGCCACCTTTTGCCAAAAAGGCCACAGGGTAATTCACATAGGAATGTAATAAACAAGCCAGTCACCTTTTGTTTCTCCCAGGTCCCTCATTCGTGAAAAACGACAGGGCAGCAGCGCCTCCTTCCCATAATATAATAATAATAATAATTTATTATTTATACCCCGCCCATCTGGCTGAGTTTCTCCAGCCACTCTGGGCGGCTCCCAATCAAGTGTTAAAAACAATACAGCATTATTGTTCTGAAGGGCTGCCTTCAGATGTCTTTTAAAGATAGGATAGCTGCTTATTTCCTTCACATCTGAAGGGGGGGGTGTTCCACAGGGTGGGCGCCACTACTGAGAAGGTCCTCTGCCTGGTTCCCTGTAACCTCACTTCTTGCAATGAGGGAACCGCCAGAGGGCCCTCGGCGCTGGACCTCAGTGTCCGGGCTGAATGATGGGGGTGGAGACGCTCCTTCAGGTATACTGAGCTGAGGCCGTTTAGGGCTTTAAAGGTCAGCACCAACACTTTGAATTGTGCTTGGAAACGTACTGGGAGCCAATGTAGGTTTTTCAGGACCGGTGTTATGTGGTCCCGGCGGCCACTCCCAGTCACCGTATCCAGGCCGTCAAGGTTCTTGGTTCTGCTGTCTCCCTAAGTACACTTTGGCCTCTCCCCCCTCTGCTCTACCTATCTTCAGGAACGCTTGCCAGGAAGGCAGCTTCTCCTGTTGATACTCCTGCAACTTGGAGAAGGAATGTTTGCAGGGTGGACAGGGGGTTGGTGGAGGAAGAGGAGGCCAGATCGAAACAAGGAGCTGAATCCGCCCCCTGTTTTCAGGGACTCTTAAAGCTGCAAGAGATGGGGAAAAGCAGAGATGGGTGGATGGTGGTGGAAGAGCCGAGTGCTGGGAACCCAGCACTGACCTGTTTTGTCCGAAGAATGGCGTCTCACTCTGCATTTGTCTTTCTGCTGACCTTATCCTGCAATCGTTATTATAGCCCATGCCAAGGTATTATAGGGATGTTGAGAAAACAGTGAAAGAAATGGCTCCAGACGGAATGTGCATTGGGCTCTCCTTCCCTTTTTAGTGCCTTGGCTTCCGTCTGGCAGCATCCAGTGCAATATTCACTGGAAAGGCAGCCATGCAGTGGGGAGGGCATTTTCCTCTTTTCACCCAAAGAAAAAGGAGCCTGATGTTTCAGATGAGTGAAACGTCCTGCTCCCTCCCTGAGCCTGCAGCAAGCGAGCTTATTTGTCGGATGCACCTGGCGCATTTGATGGTCTAAAAGGGATTAGTTTTGTGGCCTGATGGAAATTAACTCACTGGAATTGAATGTTAATGCAGGAGGGAGATCTCCGAAAATAAACAGCCAGATGAGAGAGCCAGGAGTCCTGGTGGGGAATTTTTCACGTGTGTTTCTTTATGCCTTGGTGAGATGAGGATCAGAGGAAGGATAGGCATCAACTCTGTGGGGCCCTGGTCCCTTTGCCCCCCAATAAAATATTTTGGGGGGTTGGACCCCAATATTTTCTGCAAGTTGGTGCCTCCCTCCCCAGCCACTTCCCCCCACTTGGGCACCGCCCTCTTTCCCCAGCTTGTCTCCCGGCTTTTGGCACCTGCTTTGGTCCTCCTCACCTTGACTGGGCCAAGTGAAAAATACACACAGAGAACTAGGTGCTGCTGTTGTCTACAGGTGTCTGCAGCTGTGCAGGATTCAAGCATGGGGAATGGGCATCTGCTCCACTGTTGGAGCATGGGGAAGACGAAGGAGAGTGGGATTTGGAGTTTGGGAGGGTTCGTTATGCCAACAGCCACCAGCCCAGACCAACCACCAGGATGAGAAGATGGGTTTAGATAGACATTCCTGCAACCAGTGCTTTTTTTCTGGGACTTCTCAAGGACATACAACACCAACACTTTTTTTCCTAGAAGAAAAGCTCTGCCTGCAGCCTCATGCTGGAGTTGTTCCCATTGCTGGTGTTCATTGGTCACACCCACAACATTCATTTGAAACACTTCTACCACTTTCAGAGTGCTGCCTCCCCACAAAGAACCCCGGGAACAGTTATAGGTGCTGGAATCACAGTTCTAAGAGGGCATCTCCTGCCAACTCTCAGCTCCCCTGATTCTTTGGGGGGAAGCCTTGACTGTTAAAGTGGTGCAAGAGTGCTTTCAATGTATGGGGTGGTTGCGAGTTACCGTGTGATTGTCATTTTTCTTCCCAGAACAATACCTGCTAAGCCAGGGGTAGGAAACCTTTGACCTCCAAACAGGCCACTCCCTTTAGAACAGTGGCCCTCCCGATGTTGCAGGACTTATTTGTGGAAACAATAAACTTCTTTCTAGATTAATCACAATTGCCTAAAATGAAAATGCTTAGCAGCTAATGGATGACCATATTCATGATCTCTCTCTCTCTCTCTCTCTCTCTCTCTCTCTCTCTCATATCTATCTATCATCTATCTATCAATCTATCATCTATCTAGTGTGGTGTAGTGGTTAAGAGCAAAAGACTCGTAATCTGGGGAACCGGGTTCGCTTCCCCGCTCCTCCACATGCAGCTGCTGGGTGACCTTGGGCCAGTCACACTTCTTTGAAGTCTCTCAGCCCCACTCACCTCACAGAGTGCTTGTTGTGGGGGAGGAAGGGAAAGGAGAATGTTAGCCGCTTTGAGACTCCTTCGGGTAGAGATAAAGCGGGATTTCAAATCCAAACTCTTCTTCTTCTATCATCTCTCTCTCTCTCATCTATCTATCTATCTATCTATCTATCTATCTATCTATCTATCTATCTATATCTATCTATCTATCATCTATCTATCTATCTATCTATCATCTATCTATCTATCATCTATCTATCCCCCCACACCATATATATTAGCCTTAAAGGGGAAGGGTTATCAGAAGAGCTTTCCAGCTAAGCTCTAACATGCTTTCATAAATTGGCAGGATGCAATTTATATTCTATAGCTTCTCTAGTTTCTGTAGCACTTCTAGTTTCTGCTCACAAGTCTGTTTACATAATCTGCTGTCCAAAGTTAACACTCCCTGAACCTGCTCCAAACTTGGATTTATTTACCTATCCAAAGGGGTCAATCAAGGTCACGTCACACAAGATGAGTTTGATTGCAGGAGATGTTTGTGCTGCTGAAAACTATACAAATCCCATGCACCATCTTTCACATGTGCCAGCATTTTGCCATATGCAGGGAAGTTTCCATGGGAAGAATGTGGACACAGGCACAAGGAACAGGGTTTTTTTTTGTTTTAGTGAAGTGATCGCCTTGTTGCCTTCACATTTGATTAGTGCTGGTGACTCAGCAAAGACTTTGGACACCAAAGCAATATGGAAAATCCGAAAACTCAAGGGGTAGAGCTCTGTATAAAGCTTGGTGCTAGCTACCCGCCAGTGTAGTCAACCCTGAGCTTGATGTCCCAGTCCATGGAAGGCTTTGTTCCTGTGCTCTTATTGCTGAACTATTTGCAGGATCAGCCTCTGTCCTCGGGCTACTAAGACCTCCTGATTCCTCCAGCTGCGCTAGAAGAAATGTCCATTTTCCCATCCCTGGTGGCTTAGGATGCATTTCAACTAGGGACCTATAAATTATAAGCTCCGTATTGCATTACAAGCAACTGAGCCAGAGGGTCTTCCCGTTTTGTTATTTTTGTCTGCGGCTGGCTCAGTGCAAATGCAATTTAAAAAATAATAATTTTGGGCTGTGTTGTAGCTGCGATCACCAGCTGTCTGGAAAGCCTTGTGACGGACAGCTGCTCTTATTTTCCTATCTCGAAATTGTTCATCCACAGGCACATTTGGAAACGAAACAAAACTTCTGTAGGGACAGATTCCCAGCCTCACCTTTTTCCCAGATTCCCAGCCTCATCTTTTTAACTGCTGGGTGAGAGCTAATATGTGCCCCCTTTTGATTGCATCGCTAAACCACTGAGCAGAGCTGCTTTTGTAAACTCACTTGTAAACTCACTTGTAAACTCACCCCCACAGCCTCCCTTATGTATCTGCTACAAAAATACCAGCAGCAAGCTGTCAAGTAGGCACAGATAAGTCACGGCAAAGTTGAGGCCAGGCAGACATGTGCTTTCCCTTCTCGTTTCCTTCTTCCCCTTTCTCAGCGAGAAGCAGCACAAATTCTGTGGCACAGCCGCAAAGAGCTCTCCGGTTCAAGCTGAGCGGCACTGATTTTAGCCTGATCTACTATAGGAAAGCTTCCAGCTGACGGGTGCGTGTGCATGCATGCATGTTCTGTAAAGTCAACACTCTGAACAGATGTTTGGAAAGCCAGGCATGGGGGGGACCGGGACCCTGCCACTGCCAAAACAGGCACGCTTGCAAGTGAAAGGGTGGGGAGAAGGAACGAGAATTGCATTGCCAGGGAGGTACTTACGGCAGCCCACCACCAGGCATGGGGGATGCTGGTGAAGTTTGTGCTGGAGACATCATGTTCCACGGTGTAGACCATGGCGGAGAAGGCAAAGATCCCCAGCGCAATGAAGAGCAGGAGGCAGCCCACCTCCTGGTAGCACTGGCGCAGTGTGAAGCCAAATGCGCGCAGGCCCGTCGAATGGCGGGCCAGCTTCAGGATACGAAAAATGCGCATGAGGCGCATGATGCGCAACACCTGCCCCACCTTCCCCACCCGCCCCACTTTCTCTATGTCGTTTTCGTGCTGGGAGCCTTGCCCACGAGGCTGGTCCTCATCCACGAAGCGCTCCAGGAGGAGCTGGAGGTACAGGGGCAGGATGGCAATGAGGTCCACGGCGTTGAGGGCACTGCTGACGAAGCAGCGGATGTCCGGGGTGGAGACCAGCCGCAGCACGTACTCCAGGGTGAAGAAGGCGATGCAGAAGGTCTCCACGTGCTCCAGCAAGGGCCTCCTCTCCAGGGTGGCCTTGTCTCTGTGCTGCATCTCCTCCACCGTGTTGAGAGCCAGTGCCACCACCGAGATGAGCACAAAGAAGCTGGAGGCCACCCCCATGGCTTTGGCCGTGGTGGAGGAGAAGGGCTTCTCCATGAGGTTCCACAGGCGCCAGCGATGCTCGGCGTAGCGCATGTGCCGGAAGAGGTGCTCGCTCTCCTGCACGGCCGCCTGGGCCCGCAGCTCCCGCTGCACCTTGAGCTGCTCGTTCAGCTCATCCCGCCTCTCCTCGAAGCAGATGCGGCAGCAGCGGGGCGTGTACTTGAGGCGGACCCCCCAGTAGCTCAGCTCCTCCAGGAAGCTGCGGGGACACAGCTCGTCCCGCACCCGCAGCACCCCGGAGGCGTAGAAGTTGTAGACCAGCTGGAAGACGGCCGGGTCCCGGTCAAAGAAGTACTCGTCTCCCTGAGCCGCGTAGTCGTCGCAGAGGCCCAGCTGGCGCCAGCGGTCGGTGGAAGTGGCCAAGCGGCCCAGGCGGGTGGTGGGGTAGATGGCCACCGCCTGGTATGTCAGTCGGTAGCTTTGCCCGCCCACGTTGATGTTGAGGACGGAGGACGATGTGGTGGCTCCAGCTGGGAAGGCTGGGCTGAAGGGAAACATCGAGGGGAGCCCCTTCTCCTCTTCCTCGCCCTCTTCCTCCTCGTCCTCCAAGCAGGAGTAGCTGCTCTCAACTTCCTGAGCCAGCTGCAATGGGGATCCCCAATCAGAAGCACCAAAGCCCCCAGTCCCCCCAGTTTCGTTGCTTCCCACGGTTGCATCCCAGGTGGCCCCCGGGCAAGATTCAGTTTTATAGTCCGAGATCAGAGGCTGCTTTCTTTGCTTAAGGTTCCACATGCTTCCCCTTAGCGTTCGGTGGTGGGTGCGAAGCTTCTTCTGGTTGCCTTCTCCTTCCTGCCCGGAGCATCTGCCGCCGGAGCCGTTTTACGTTTCTTTTCCGACCGACCAGCAGCTCCAGTTGTTGCAAAAACTCAGTGTGGGATCCAGGCACATGGGGACTGCTGTTGACCGCTTTAATCTTGCTGACAGGGAAGATCTGAGTGCTTAGAGAAGGGGATTTAAAGGCTATTATCCTGTTTCAGCCTCCGCTCCCTCTATCTGTGACGTGAATGATTATGGATCCAGAAATCTGTGGATAATCAGTCGAAAAATAATAATAAGTGTAGCAGAGTCATTACTGCTAATAAAAATAAAATCAAAGGGCTTCTATTTGTGTCGCCTCAGCACATACTCAGAAAAGACTTTCCTATGAAGGAGCAACAATGGATGTTTTTTGGAATTATCCAAGAGACTTTCATCTCATCTCTGATTTCCTATGTTTTCTTCTTCTTCTTCTTCTTCTTCTTCTTCTTCTTCTTCTTCTTCTTCTTCTTCTTCTTCTTCTTCTTCTTCTGTATATCAACTGCTCTTAGAGCCGTTCCTTATGTTTACAGCCCATTTTACAGGCAGAAAAACCAACACTTAAATTTGCTGGGGTTCCTGAGAGTCAATGCAAGCGTTAATGTCAAATATTATGTAAAACAAGGGTAGCAAACATTGCTGTGCATAAATTGACATTGACTGCAGAACTCGGCAACTGCAAAATGCCAGCTTTCGTTCTTTTGTTTTTAGATCAGGTTTCTAGACGTCAAGGCTATGAAGACAAGACTTGAAGTTGACAACGATTTGACAATGCCTGGTCAAATCTCAGAGGCCAGAGGCCGACGATCCAGAATTTCCAGTGTCAGATTCATCAGGTGGAGCTGCAGAAAGGTAGCTCCTTTCTCCCTGCTTTGACTTGCAAAAGGGTGAATAAATTATGCAAAGCATGTCATTATATGCATCCTTGCTTAATTATAAAGGATTACAATTCCGCTTCTCGGAATTTGGATTAACTTGCTTCTGAATTTCCAGGGTGTGTGTCTGTTTGTGTGCTGAGGAGAGAGTGCTCTGATCATCATCCAACCCCTTGTGTGTACCTAACAGAGCTTAAAGATGAACTTGCCCACCTGGAGATGCTTCAGGGTGAAGCATCCAAAGTGGCAGGCGAGCATCGTGCACAAGGGAAGGGCCAGAACTCAGTGGACAGAGAACACACTCTGAATGCACAAGGTCCCAAGGTCAATTCCTGGCATCTCCTGATCCGGTTGGGAAAAGACTCTTGCTTGAAACCCTGGAGAGATGTTGTCAGCCAGAGCTGGAAGTATGGAGCTCAATGAACCAACAGCCTGACTCAGTATGTGGCAGCTAGGGGATGGGGATTTACCATATTTTTCGCTCTATAAGACGCACCAGACCACAAGACACACCTAGTTTTTGGAGGAGGAAAACAAGAAAAAAAATATTCTGAATCTCAGAAGCCAGAACAGCAAGAGGGATCGCTGTGCAGTGAAAGCAGCAATCCCTCTTGCTGTTCTGGCTTCTGGGATAGCTGTGCAGCCTGCATTCACTTCACTTCGATCCCCGGCATTGAATGTGTTGGCCTAGTGTGGGGCTCTGAGGTGAGCTTGGCTGTCTGGCTGGTGTACCGGCCACCTAGCGCACCAGCAGCCACCCTGTCAGGCCTGCTGGAGGCGGTGGCCGGCTGGGCCTTGGAGTTCCCTAACCTATTGGTATTGGGGGACTTCAACATCCATGCTGATGCCACTCCCTCCTCACAGGCTCTGGACCTGGTGTCTTCCATGGCAACACTAGGGCTCTCCCAGTTTGTTTCAGGCCCACACATCAAGCAGGCCACACGCTGGATTTGATCTTTGGCGTAGGTATAGATGTGATCATGTCTCCTTCAATTAAGGTGCCATGGTCTGATCACTACGCTCTGAAAGCCAGGATTGACTTTCCACCCCCACCCTGCTTAGGTGGCGAGCCGATTTGGGCTCGCCCGCAGAGGCTGATGGACCCTGATAGATTCCGTCAAGCCTTGCGGGACCTTGCTCCCCCTGGCGACTCATTGACTGAGCTTGTTGAGGGCTGGAATACCCAGCTCCTGGCAGCCATAGATGAGATCGCACCTAAGCGCCCTCTGCGACTCCGCAGAAACCGGGCTCCCTGGTTTACCGAGGAGCTTCGGAAAATGAAGCGGGACCTCAGACGGCTAGAGCGAGTATGGCGGGGTGCCCGTGACGGAGCCTCAAGAACATCTTATAGGGTTTTTATGAAAACCTATGAGATGGCGGTGAAGGCCGCTAAGAAGTCTTACTTCTCGGCCTCCATTGCATCTGCTAGCTCTCGCCCGGCGCAATTATTTAGTATAATTAGGTCTTTAACGTCCCTTGAAGGACAGCCAAATTTAAATAACAATCTGACACACAGCTGTGAGGCATTTGCGAGCTTTTTTGCGGAGAAGGTCCTGTTGCTCCGCCATGACCTCCCTGCCAATTTGGATACAATAAAGGAACTGGAGGCCCCTCGACTGTCCTCGGGTCCAGTATTGGACCACTTTGATCGGATATCCCCAGCCGATGTGGACAGACTCCTCCGAGCTGGAAAGCCCACCACCTGTCCTCTTGACCCGTGCCCGTCTTGGCTGATTAGAGCGTGTCCAGACGAGGTGCGGGCCCCCCTGGGGAATATCATCAATTTGTCCCTTGGCACCGGGATATTTCCAGGGGAATTGAAGGAGGCAGTGGTGCGCCCGCTCTTAAAGAAAACATCATTAGATCCCTTAGATCTATCCAATTACCGCCCGGTTTCGAATCTTCCATTCCTGGGTAAGGTGATTGAGAGAGCGGTTGCTGAACAGCTTGGTAGGTTTCTGGATGAAACATCGGCTCTGGATCCATTCCAGTCTGGCTTCCGCGCTGGTCATGGGACCGAGGACGGCTCTGGTCGCCCTAACAGATGATCTCCGCAGGCAGCTGGATCGAGGCGGGTCGGGGCTGCTGATTCTTCTAGACCTGTCAGCAGCCTTCGACATGGTTGATCACGAACTCCTGGACCACCGCCTTGCCGACGTGGGGATCCAGGGCACAGTCCTTCAATGGCTGCGCTCGTTTCTCTCCGGTCGGGGGACAGAGGGTGGCGCTTGGGGGGGAATTGTCATCCTGCCACTCCTTGGTGTGTGGAGTGCCCCAGGGTGCGATACTCTCCCCGATGCTTTTAACATCTTTATGCGCCCCCTCGCCCAGCTTGTCCGGAGTTTTGGGCTGGGTTGCCATCAGTATGCCGATGACACCCAACTCTATCTGTTGATGGATGGCCATCCTGACTTGGCCCCAGATACACTGACCAGATGTTTGGAAGCTGTGGCTGGATGGTTACGCGGAAGCCGGTTGAAGTTAAATCCTTCGAAGACAGAGGTCCTCTGGCTGGGACGGGACGATATGGGATTGGGGGCAACTCCCATCTCTTGCGAGGTGCAATTAGTGCCAGCACCGTCCGTTAAGAGTTTGGGTGTAATCTTCGATACCTCCCTCTCTATGGAGGCGCAGATTACAGCTATAACAAAGGCGGCATTTTTCATCTCCGCCAAGCTAAGCAGTTGGCCCCTTATCTCTCTCGCCCTGACCTAGCCACTGTGATCCACGCGACGGTCACCTCCAGACTGGATTATTGTAACTCGCTCTACGTGGGGCTGCCCTTGAGACTGACCCAGAAACTCCAGCGGGTGCAGAATGCCGCGGCGAGACTCCTTATGGGGTCTTCGCTGCGAGATCACATTCATCCGGTACTATACCAGCTGCACTGGCTCCCGGTGGAGTACAGGATCAGGTTTAAGGTGCTGGTTTTAACCTTTAAAGCCCTATACGGCCTAGGACCCTCGTACCTACGGGACCGCCTCTCCTGGTATGCCCCACAGAGGAACCTACGGTCTGCAAATAAAAACATCCTGAAGGTCCCAGGCCTCAGAGAGGTTAGGCTGGCCTCAACTAGAGCCAGGGCTTTCTCGGCTGCGGCTCCAATCTGGTGGAACACTCTGTCACAAGAGACTAGGGCCCTGCGGGACCTGACATCTTTCCGCAAGGCCTGCAAGACAGAGTTGTTCCACCAGGCCTTTGGTCAGGGCCCAGCCTGACTCCCACCTCCGGCAACCTGCACAGAACTTTGCTTAACGGTTGCCATTAATTTGATTTTAATTAATTTTTATAATGAAATGTTTTAGAATGTTGGATTATTTGATTGTTTGATTATTTGTTTGTTGTTAGCCGCCCTGAGCCTGGCTTTGGCTGGGGAGGGCGGGATATAAATAAAATTTATTGTTATTATTATTATTATAAGACGCACACACATTTCCCCTTACTTTTTAGGAGGGAAAAAGTGAGTCTTATAGAGCAAAAAATACGGTAATTTGGGTTTCATTTACAGGTGAGCTTGCCAGATTTTCACATTCTGAAGCAGTTACATGAGCAGACATCTTTTGAAATCTGCAGTGCAGTGCAGAATCTCACGAAAATGCATACACTGGGGAAGATTGTGCATAAAAATCCATACATTAGTGAGAGTAAATACAAAAAATGTATTATTTTTATCCTGTATTCTGTTCTGTGAACTGCCCTGAGATCTTTTGATGAAGGGTGGTATATAAATTTAATTTTAAAAAAATTACAAAAAGAAATTGCTTTGCAAACATGTGCAATAAGCAAAATTGCAGACAACGTTGTGTTATAGAAGGAGAAATTTGCATGAAGAATTTTCACGAGGATTTGATTTTTTTTATTATTATTTTTGCAAACTGATGTGGCCATGTGGAGAAGTGAAGTTATGATTGGGAAAGGATGCTCTACACTAACTAGCAGAGCCTCTCCAAAGTCTCAGGTGAGAAGCCCTGGCAGTGCTGCCTCTGGGCATCCATTTCGGTGGAGATCTCATACTGGTGGCATGAGGCCGTTTTGCTGAGCTCTGTTTTTGTGTCAAAACTT